GGTTTACTTCCAGTTTCTGGTACTCCAAACGTGTATGGCATTATACAGACTATGGTTGCCTGGACTTTAAATGATGGGTCCCCTTCTACAGAGATCAAAGTGCCAAATTTCCAAAACCAAACTTTTTGCAAGGACTTAAATGTGAAAGACGGCCAAACGTACACAATGTTTATCCGTTCTATTGATATTGCTAATAACACTTTTATTGAAAACAGGACAATTCATATTGACCGATCTGTACCTCATATAAACAACATTTGGCTCGTTAAAGATGGTTACAATGTCTTGTTTGTCCATCATATGACAGATTTGTCAAAGATGCAATTACATTTTGAAGCTCTAGATCCACACAGCGGCGTAAGACAAATAGAATGGGCATTTGGTAATACCAATACAGAGCTTACTTCTGGTTCTCTGAGTGTAAGATCTTTGAAAGAGGTAAGGGTTAATATAACTTTGCTAGTTAATTCGAATTAATTAGAAAACAAACTTATGTTAATTACTATATTTCATAATAAATATATGAAGGCTACATGTTAGCCCTAGTAAAACTCTAAAAACTACGAACCTTCACTACAGTTTTCATATAGAAATATAAACCAAATAAAATTATTTTCTTTCGATTGATTTACAGTTTAAATGACATCAACAAACAAAATTAAATTCAAGATCAATGACTTTTTAAAAGGACAGCGGCGACCAACCAATTCTATGTTCAAATTGTTGTTTTTTCATTATTATAAAACCGTAAAGGGATCCACGTTATGTGTATAGTATCTTTATTGTTATGGAAAATGGTAAGATAACTTGCCTGAGAATGTTATTGATGAAAATGTAACAGAAGTACCAGGTTTCATATCCACATATTGCAATCGAATCAAGTTTTGATCAAATAAAACCTATTTAATAACGAATAAGATCAATTATGTAACAACGTCGGTTCAATAACATTCTAACTGCTGTTTGTTAGGCTAAAAGTCATTCGTTTCTTGTCCTCTGCCTATAAAAGAAATTCAAGATTCTAATTCAAGTTACTCTATGTTTATTTACAGAACTCCTGCCCACGTAATGCTGAAAATTGCTATTGTCCGGATGTCGGACAATGTGAGATCTTTAACTACACTGTACCATTAAACAAACTGATTGAAATCAACAAACATGTGGGCAATCACAACAGAAATTACTATTTCACTTTAAAAGTTACAAACAATGCACATTTGTTTAACATAGAGCGTGTTGATATATTGGTCGATGATTCCCCACCAGACGTTGGCGTTCTCTTTGAGGGTAAATATTTTTCTAAGTGCAATATCGTAATATTATTCACGCATTTTCACCCATGATTTACTAAGGCCCTGCTCTATCAACCTGAGACAACTCCCGTCCTAAGATTTGTCAAAGATATTCTTACCAACCTAAGAAAAATTTGCGGCCCTCACTAAATTGTTTCTCAACACCTTTCTGCGATGACGGTTCGCTTAGACATTACCCCCCGGACAAAACTAATTTTTGCTTTCCGGATATATTCGCGGAAGAAAATCTTGTTTTTAATGTAACGAATAGTTATATATACAGGGATATTTATAGAGCACAGCACGACCAAATCATAGCTATACTCCGTCATCATGAACTCGAAGAAGATTAAGTTTCGAGCTAGGGGAATTTTTAAGGAAAAGGTGATAACGTTCGGTGGAAACGAGGTTCAAGGTTTATGAGGGCATTTCATCGAACTTTACCTCAATATTTTGTTGATATATTTCAAAAGTGAAACTAGAAAAACTTCATCAAAAATTAAACTGCAAAGTTATGATAAAAAAAGGAAAGCTCATCTTAATCATTTTTACAATACTGACCTTTTTTTTTTCTTTTTTTTTTCTCCTCAACTGCAGTAACATTTTCTTTATATTTTGGTTCATGAATCATAAGCCTTTCATAAGATTATTAACATCAACATGTCCGTATCTACAGAGCAAATTATTCCACCTTGAACTGACACGATGTATTTCCATTTCAGATTTGAAATTAACTTACATTGAACTAGGAATTATATGTATCGGTTCTTTTTATCATCTTTACTGGTTAATACAAAACAGTTGTAGCCCAAATTGTTTCATCTAAAAAAAAAATGATTCAATTTCAATAATTTTTCAAAACACAAGATAACTGTAACTATATGCGAAATACAAGTTGTTGAGTTCGAAGCTATTTCAAATGCATTTGTATTTTGCAGGACCTATGAATGCTAAAGATATTGATTATACAAGTGACAATAACTTTTTAACCCATTGGCATGGCTTTATTGATCATGAAAGTGGAATCAAAGAATACAGAATAGGTACTGCGTCTCATTGCTTGAGCAGTAAAGAACTTTACGATTTCAACAATATACCTGGCATTGATTTCGTTACAAAGGTCCCATACACTGAGACCTCCACTCGTATTCCTGCAAACTTTACGGGCAAACGGTATGTATCTATCATTGCCTTAAACAATGCAATGGACCCATCAGAGGCAGTATGTTCTGATGGAATAACTCGAGATCTTTCACCACCTTCTATCCAAAATCTTACATTGGAACATGCATCCTGGTCCGAAACTTTAGTTTGTCATGAAGGACGAGCATGGCTTTTCCATTCATCGTTAGCAAAAATAAAGCTTGGCAACGTATCAAAATGTAACGATTTATGTAGAAACTATCCTCAGCTGCATCCTCTCGCGTCAGCTCTTCCTACTTTAAACATACAAGAAAAAGATTCAGATGTTTCGCAATTTATGTGTGAATCAAAAAGCTGGTACCTGAACGCCTCGATTATTTACCTACCAAATAACCATATTAAACTAGATTGGGACATTGAAGAGGATGGAAGCCAAATTGATGATGTTTTTGTAGGAATTGGAACTGATCCTTCTGAGTTCAATTCGCCGAGAATTGATGCATATAAGTCAGCATCGAAACGGAATGCGTTTAAATATGCACATGAAGGAATTGGATCGAATGAATTGTTCTTCGTATTTTTGAAAGTTGTCAACAAAGCCAGTCGAGAAAGTGTTTTAAGTTTAGGTCCTATCTTGATAGATCAAACGCCTCCGATTTGTAAAGAAATTCCAAAAGTAAACATCGAAGAGGAATTTATCGTTGTTGGTTGGGAAAATGAAACATTCTATGACATCGAACAAGATCAGAAAATCGACTCTATCTATTTTGAAATAGGTAATTCTAACCTTTATAATATATCCAAACAGAATTCTGTCAATTTGATAAAATGATTGTTATTCTCTATATTTACTACACAAATACTGAAAATGATACGTATTTACCGTATTTATTTGGCTACATTGTCAAATCTTTATTATACATTCGTTTGATATAATCATTCATAAAGTATTCTATTAATTTAGAATCATAGCATAGTTTAACATTACTGATGCGTAATTATATTCACTAAATTTTCACTATTTAATCATGTGTAATCTTCCATACATCACAGGACATGACGACACCAAAGTAACACCATTGTTACAGTGGGACCTTGGAACGTCTGCGCCATGTTACGAATATAGTGGTGGTTGTTTCAGATATCCTATCAAAAGATTACAAAAGGAAGATAATGATCTCGGTTTATACTTTTTCATAAATATGCACGTATACAACAAAGCTGGCCATTTCATCACTGTTTCCACAGATGCATTTCAGATACCTTCAACCTACCCTCCGGGTCACGGGATTGTATTTGACGCCGATCCGGAACATAAGTCACATACATTTGATGTCAATGCACACTTTACAGCACATACTTTATGTCTAAAATGGGACGGTTTTAAACATCATGAGTCAGTTAAAATCGAAATAGGTATTGGATCTAATAACTTGACAGACAATGTTGTTCCTTTTAGCACCCACAACCGCTCAACCAATTATCACTGTATAAAATCGCCCAACATTAAATTTCAACAAACCTACTATGCACTTGTTAAGGCGTCTTGTACCGGTGGTCTCACAGTCTCGCCATCAAATGGAATCGTCGTTTTAAATGAGAGTAAACTATTAGACTCGCTAGATGTTTATCTTGGAGAGGAATGCTCAACTGTTGATTTAATACAATCAGAACGTATCAATTCTACAATAGCAAATAATTCAGTGACATTTCCAGCTCATGTAGGTAAACGATATAAACTCTCTGTTGTCAACAGCTCAGTTGCTTCACTTGTCACTAATGATGGTATAATTGAAAACGACACAGGAAATAATGCATTATATTTCGTATCGTTCAGTGAATACCCTGTTATTTACTTTAATTTTGCCCCCGGATCAACAAATCAAGAAATAGAACTACTTATTCATAATTGTCCCGATACAAAATATTTAACTAATAGAAACGTCGTGACGGCACATTGGTTTTATGACGATCGTGTGGCTTATGGATTGGTATTTCAAATCGCTTTATTAAGAGTAACAAGGACATACAGAAATATATCTGTTGTACCTTTCATGCAATATGAATCAGTTTTATATCGACAAACTCACAAGTTTCTGAATATTGATTTAGAACTGAACAAGTATTACAAACTTGCTGTTAAACAATGTACTAACGTTACGTGTCTCGATCCGGTATTTTCTAAAGATTTTAGCGTAAGTGGGGTACCAGAACCAGGCAGGATACTTGTGTCCAGTCTTTTAAAAGAAGCTTATGACCCTCATGCAAAGATAGATTTGAAGTGGAATGCTTTTCAAAAGTGACAACTCGATACTTTTTTACCAGTGGGCTGTTTCTGCTGACAATAAGGGAAATATGATTCTGACACAGTGGCAAACAATAAAGCCAACAACAGAAATTTGTATCAGGTCAGTAGGTATTTTATATTGAAACAATCACAAAAACGAATAATTTGAAGTTGCAGTTACAATTTTATTGATTGCTCTACTTGTTTTACTTTTGAATTCGCAGAGAGTATGTATCCTTCTAATGTTATATTTGTATAATATTTTCTTTATTAATTAGGTCAATTCATCTGTTGATTTACCTGTGCATCTCCACTCAACGAAGTTCAGTTGTATCCGTGCTTTCGACATGGCAGGAAATGAAGCTATCCTCTGTCATCACATGGAATGCATAACAAATGGAACTTATATGGCGTCTGCCATTTATGATTTTGACTCAAACTCGAAAGCCTGGAAGACAATTCTTGAGGTAAAAGAAGATGTAATATGATGTGTTGTAAAACAAGTAAAACATACAATAAAGGCAAAATCTCAAAGCAAGCTCTTTAACAAAATTTGTAAAACATTGAACTACATGTATAAGTATTGATTAAAACCTCCACAAAGATCTTAGTACACATGACCTTACTGTTTGTTTTGAAAGAAAGACATTCCAGCCTTTTCTTCATGCTCACTTTAAGTATATTGGCGTAATTCAAATCAAATATTTTTCAACATTATCTTACAATTTTACTAAAATGCTGTACACACTATTATACTCTACTAGCCTTCTTTTAAAGATACTCCATAGCTCAAATATTGGAAGCCTATATACACTTCTTCATGACAACGAATTGGACTTTGGAACATCGGGAACAGAAGTTGTTGGTGTGATTTTGTATGCTGCCGAGCGGAATATCACATGGTTTTTGATGGACGACAATCGTGTTCCGTTGTCGTGTGAACTAAGTAAAAAGTGTATTATTTCAAAAGTAACAAATACGGGCTTTGTATCATTTGCGAGTGCAGTTACAAAGCCAAATTCCATTCACTTCATATGCGCTTACTCTAGCAGAACATCAGTAATCAGAGAGGTGTATACAGAAGTGTTAGACGAAATTAAAACATGTAGCAACGGCTTTGTCATTGACAGTATTGCGCCAGTAGCTGGCAAAGTTGAAATCAAAAACAAAGATGGTTTCCTTACTAGTCTTGATAACGTTGAAATTTCCTGGGATAAATTTGAAGATAACATAGATGCGATAAAACTTGGATATCCTGGTAATATACCAGCATACAGCTATGGAATAGGTATAAATATGCAGATTACTTTACTAAGTATCATATTTTAGTAAACCAAACATGATTTATATCATTATAATTTCAGAAAAGTGGGTTCAATTCTCTAAATAATTCAATAACTGATATGTACCTAAAATCATTGTAAGCACCAAGTTATCAAAGTTTTGTCATTTAAAATCATTTAAAGCAAAATAACAGACACCTTTGCGTCAACTCTGTCATACCACAAAGTTGTGTATTATATATTCTAGGAAGTCGCCCGCTCGCAGACGATATCAAACGGTTTACAAATGTTGGTTATAACACAAGAGATGTTATCAATAATTTGACTTTGTCTGATGGATCATCGATATTCATAACTGTAACAGGTTTGTTAAAATAACATTCCAATGTTCAATATTATCAATATAAGTAACTCTTTAGTATAATCATAGAATATGATTTTTTTGGTACAGGTGCAAAAAAAATTGCCTTAAAAGAAATAAATAGTCGTTTCGTTTTGTAATGTATTTCTAGAGACATTTTAAATTCAAAAGGCGAAAATTCAAATTTTTCAGATAAATTTCTTGCTTTATTAAGTGTAATAATATCTATCGACTAGTGCCATTTGCATACATAAATTAACAAGCAATTTGGTGTATTTGCACAGCAAGAGACCATGCTGGAAACGCAGCATCAACATCTTCCAATGAACTCATTGTTGATACATCACCACCTTTGTGCGGTAAGCTGGAACTATCAACAATTGGACAAGTCCACGACAGTTCCTATTATCTAAAAGATACGCAGATAACAGTTCATTTATCTGAATTCAAAGATGAAGAAAGTGGTATCGATCATTTTGAAATTGGTGTCGGCACTCAGCCTTTCTTTACGGATATCTTGCCAGCAGGTGTCTTCTACCAAAGCGATATTATCATACATATTCCAGACCACGACATAAAAGACGGTCATACGTATTATATAGCATCAAAGGTAAACATATGATAGTCTATTTCTATGTTAGTTATCCTTTCTTTTATATGTTTGCCAGCATATAAACAGTGGTACTCAATACTAATGCAAATTACCATAATCTATAAAAATAAGAAACAATACAATAGGAATGGCAAAGTTTAAATAACGAAGACCAAAAACATTTACCTGAGACCAAATCATTATAGATTGCTTATGTATGTTAACATACTGAGTTTAAATTTGGTTCATTTTCTCCTTAGGCTATTAATAGAGCTGGATTATCATCAGAATTCACATATTTACGGACTATAGCCGACAGTACGCCCCCAAATGGTGGTCATGTTTTTGAAGGCAAAATAGGAAGTCAGGTAATTATGATATTCATTAAAATGCATGATTTCCTAATTTCTTTATACTATTTAATACTTTTATTTCCCACATAAATAACTAGTAGCTCTAATCTCCAGCGATACTAGTCTTGACATTTCATTGTATAATTCATTGATATGCTATGATTTTTGTCATAGAAAGAGGAAGATTATCAGTCTGATATTACGGAAATAAACGTGCATTGGAATGGTTTTAGCGATCCACATAGTGGGATAGCCTTTTATAGAGCAGCTCTTGGGACGAAGCCATTTACTGAAAACATTGAGCCCTTTGTAAATGTTGGACTTCTGGAATGTAAGATTTTATTTAGTTCACCATATTATGTAATTAACAATGACACATCTACCTGAAGCCAGATTGCTGCATAAATAAACTGATTTAAAACACTAATGTTCATTTTGAAGAAACTCCCTAAATCTTAACTATAACAACATATATTAAACATCACTATTACTGTATAATTTTGATTTTATATTCATTTGCTTTTTATTAAGATACAACGTGGCATGGAGAATTTTCTACTGGTAAAAGATATTTTACCACAGTAGAGGCATGTAACGACGCAGGTCTCTGTATAGCCCGATCATCTGATGGTATTACTCTGGACACTTCACCACCAACACCAGGATATGTGCAGATTGGTTCAGACGAGCTTCACAAGAAATATCAGTCACATACGTAAGTAATAAATAAAACTCAATTATTAAAGGGCTACAACAGGTACTTATAGATAATTAACATTTCATTTAATGTCTCCAGTTCAAGTAAGTTATGAAAGCATTTAAATGCATTCATTTTTATGTTTTCACAGGTCATCAGTCCACGTGAAATGGGCGGGGTTTGAAGACCCAGAGTCTAGCATCGATCACTACGAAATGTGCATTGGAACGAGACCAGGTACATGTGATATTTCAGAACGCACAAACTGTTTATTGCAGTCTAATATAATCAAAACAGGGCTTAGTCTTCCATCAAAAACACCCTTATTTGCAACCGTTATTGCTTTTAATAAACTTTTACTCAATGTAACAAAATCATCTGACAGCTTCTTTGTTGATGGAACATCCCCATTTGTTTCCATAAGACCATGTTTTATGGTTGCGAAAAATAACATCGATGGGAAACTAGGTCAATGGGATAGATCTATTTTACATATAAAGTGGGAATTTCTTGACGATGAAAGTCCGATTGTTCGTCATTATGTTTCCCTTGTTACGCATCATGAAGGTCACACTCCCGTAGAAAATATACAAATAGGAGCCGAAAACAACCTTACAATAAGTTTGGACGGTAGATCATGGCTTCATAATGGGGATACGTATTTCGCTACCGTTACATGCTGTAACCTGGCTGGTCTTTGTGTTTCTGAAAGAAGCAATGATCATATTGTTGACTCGACACCACCGCATCTGGGTGGTTTCCAACCACCAATGTTTTGGGAGAACATTAATGTGTCAGAGAATGCAATGAAGACAAATATAACACTTTCATGGTACGGTTTTCATGATCAGGAATCTGACATCGAGACATATTTTATCACAATAAGTAAAACATATAGCGGAAATGAGATAACAAATGGTGTGGTTACCGTTAATGTTGATCCGTCGGATAGTAAAACTGAGCATACGTTTTCATTTCTTGCAACTGATGAGTTAGTAAGAGATGATAAAATATATTTAACAATATGGGCACAAAACTCTGTAGGACTTAACAGTTCAATGGCACGGGCTTCAGTATTTGTGTTATCAAGTCTGTCAACAGCTGATGTTTCAAACCACAGAGGCACTCTTGAGCTTGAAAAACACTCCTGTGATATACAGTATTGTAATAAGGATTGTACGTGTGCAGTTGTTGGCAGACCGTGTGTCGAGGTACAATCAAACTCGACTTGCCTTGAAGTACCCTCTCCGTTAGTAGATCAGGATGTTCCTAACATTCAAGTTTTCAATGGACTTTATGAAAACTCACCTAATATCTCAACGTCCTCTGCTTGTATCTCCGGAAGTTGGAAAGTAGGCGATGGTAAAAGCAACAATACGGACATTTCACGCTTTGAATGGACTATGGGTTTACAGCACCAACCTTATGGGGACGGGATATTTGATTTGAAGAACGAAATTCCATGGAATGATGTAGGATTGCAGTCACAAGTTGTGCATTGCTTACCCGTAAATAGGTCTCTAATAGCACGCGAAAAATATGTAATTTATGTTAGGGCTTGGCTTTCAAGTGACAGATATGCCACGTTTCATTCGGCTCCTATACTAATAGATCATTCGCCTCCATCTTTGACACGAGGTCACACAATTTTGGATTCGAATGAATTATGCAATATGGATTTCGATATAATAGACTGGATGGATACAATTACAGTGTGTTGGAATGGAGTTTTCTCAGAACAGCAGGGATTCATCGTAAATTACTTCCTAGCAATGGGGACGTATCCCTCTGGTATGATCTTCTTTACTTTTGTTTTATCCATCAATATTTCATAATAGATATAGATATTTTGTATGTAAGAAGCTATTTCGTGTGATTTTTTGTTTTTTGCACTTGTTAAATATATTTTTATTTTTCACATCTTCAGTTTTTTAATTATAATCAAAAGATTTATACAGGGTGATTGGAGTGTACATGCAGTACTTATCCATATTATTGCATGACTTTTTAAGGTGACGATATTATTCAACGGCAAGATGTGGGTTTAATCTCTAGTTTCACCTTCAGAAAGCTGTCTTTATCTCACGGAACTAAGTATTTCTTCACAATCACAGCTTATAACAACGTAGGGTTGCACACGTCTGCTGTATCTGATGGTTTCATCGTTGACATGGACGACCCGATCAGTGGTGTGGTCTACAACACTCCTAAGCATAGAAACGCACCATACCAGTCCTCTACTTCAACCATTGGCTTATCTTGGCATGGGTTTCAAGACAAGGTTTCTGGAATACGAAATTATTTTTCAGCAATTAGCGATACGCCAACTATTAAAATGGGCATAAACTTTACAAACACTGGACTTAGTACAAAACATATTTTCAGAAATTTAGAGCTCAAACATGGGCAAAAGTACTACGGATTTGTTAAATCTGTAGATAACGTTGGGCATCAAAGCCTGATTGCTGTATCAAATGATATAAACATTGATACTACTCCTCCAACTGCATTCACATGTCATACATATACTGATATCAAGCATGTATCAAAAATGACAGACGTTAATGAGAAGGCAATAAACTTACATTTCAATGCTTCTTTGGGCACATTATATAAAATCACTGGCTATGTGTTATTAGGTAAAAGTGATGAAGCAAAAGTTGTTCTTCATTTAGGTCAGATCCACACATTGCTTCCACTCATGAAATATCATAATCAGACACTAATTTTCGAGCATACTTTCTTTGCTTTGACTTCTGGTTCTCAAATAATTTCGATTGAAAATTTAAATTCAAATCACAAATACTTTGCTTTAAACATGACGCTATATAAATGCATAAAGGATTTTGAAAGCAGTACTGGAGCGATTACACTCACGCAGACTTCAAGATCACTAGTTGCAGTGCGGGTGCTTGTAAGAGATAGAGAAAGTCCTATTAGTAAGGTGTGTGCAAGTATATTTTTAATTTTTACATTAATAAATTTTCATAACTTTCATTTCTATGTAGATATCGATTAATTATTTCCTTTTCAATAACAATATATTTAATTATTTGATTCCTGTTTGGATCCTTTAAATATGATTAAAAATGATTTTGTATATAAATAAAAACAGTTAGAAATACGTCATGAAACATCTTTAATAAAGTTTTAAATAGATTGACGATGATTGTTGCATTGTTTATATTTTTATTCACTACATTCTTGAACTGACATGTAAAATTTAATTGCACATGTCGAATACAGGGGATTTGTTTTGAATGATTTTAATAAGTAAACTCAATGGACCTTCTTCCGTCAATAAGGCCTAGAACAAAACATTGTTTGTTTCCCCTCCCGCACCCTGCCCACGAAAATGATTAATCACCAAATAATCTTATTACCAAATAAAACAAAAAACATAAAGTAGTAGGGCGGGTCAGTAAAATTGACAGATTTACATCGGTTTCAATCCTTCGCTTTTTTTAATACGCTAAACCTTTGGTTTTACATAAACTATTAATAGATGCTAAGTTTTGATATTCATATAAATCTGATATATATATTTTAGTAAGAAAGGATTTTGAGAAAAATATAATATTTTACCTACCTACATAATCTACCAAAACAGGCATGGGTGATAGGAGAAGAAACAATGATTATTTAATGCTGGCCTGTGTTTGTATGAAATTATCATTGGCATATTTACCATAGATTCAAATAGGAGCAGGAACCACGCCTGGAGGTTTTCAGGTTAAATCTCTTTCACGGGTACATCATCTTAATCATAACCATCTGATACAAACCAACGTTCAACATAGAACCAATGTCTATGTCACAGCCATTGTTGAGAATAAGGCAGGACTAAGGACAGTATTCAAGTCAAAGCCTCTTACCATTGACCACACAAAACCTGTTGTTAAACATCTGTCTGGGAACCTGCGATATGTAGAAGAAAATGTATCGGGCATTGTCGACACTAAAACAATCGTTCATGCGTCATGGGATGTAGTTGATGACGAAAGTGGAACAAGCATCTGCTATTGTTCAATAGGTGTTCATCTTGATTATCTTTCAGTATTTTTTTTTCAAAAACTATTTTCTGATGTAAACATAATTATTATTTATCATTATTATTATGTATGAAATTGTAATCTATTTCTTTGTGACCAGTCAAGGAACAAAGAAAACGTAGGCTATACATATCTACAACATGTAACGTGATTTATTCTAATATTTTTCTAAACATTTTGTGTTCATCATACAGGCTTCGTTATGGCACAGCGGCAAAACTATTTCACTGCAATATATATATTTCAGGTCATAAACCACATACACAGGATATTAATGCATACTGGATTGCACAAACCGAAACGTCGTGTGAATCAAATGGACTTATTCTCTCGCATGGTCAAAATGTCTTCGTAAATCTGAAGTGTTTTAATAACGTTGGTCTATCAACTGAAAATGTGACAGATCAACTGGTTGTTTCACTGCATGCATCCGACACATTTGGTGCTGAATTAGCGTTTATACCACTGAATAAGGAAGTTGATGGAGATGTGGCACGCATTGGATCAAGTTTGCCAGTGCAATCAAATAACTCATGCCTCCAGTTAAAATGGAGTGGATTTACAGACCTGTCTGGTATAGCGCATTATGAATACCGAGTATACCAAAATAAACACACTGTTCTTAAGGAATGGGAGAAAACTAAAAAGGACATGGTTAAGATAGCAAATATTGATTTAAGAAGTGGGGAAGTCATGGCAGAAGTCAGAGCTATAAACACAGGGTCGCTTATTAGTGACTCTGTAAATGCTTCGCTTTTTGTTGCGAACCATCCTCCAAGATTAACAGGTAACTTTATTGTAAATGTTGTATACGCAAAATCAGCTTACTCTTGTCATTCTAAAACAAAACAAATAGCGCTATTGCTATTTATTACGAATAACACGAATAATTTTGTATCCTGTATCAGTCGAAACTTCATTAACAAGGTAAAAAATATTTCAACCTAATATATTAATACTTAATCCAAAGGCAATGTGTGTTTTATGTTTTTTGTATTCTCAGGTCTTACAGCGAAATTTACAAGACAAGGTGAGCAATTACATTTGAGCTGGGCTAAAGTCTTTGATGCTATAAATGATGTCCCGTTTACATTCAGTCTTACAATAGGTACGAGAAAAGGATATACAGATATCCTCGACATAAATTATATCAGCGATGATAATATTGATGTGCCTATCCCTAGATCTACGATCATTACACCTATAGTGAAGGAAGTCTTCGTATCGGTCGATTGTATCTACAAGACTGGACTGCGAGCTACATATGCTACTATCTACAAGCTTGCTTGACATTTTATGGACTTTGACATTAAAAATAAATATACGTTTTGCTTTGGGTTTTTTTCTTCCTTTTTTTAACCATTTGCTGTCTTTTTAAGGCGCCTTTAGATAGTTTTGTAGTTTGTTTGACTGATACATAATTTTTTGACATTTAAGCTCTTCGTCATTTTAAATAAAAATGTATATAGTGTCATGACTAACGCATTTTTTCACCGCTTTAGCATTTTTGTTTAAGGCCTTTATATTTTTAAGTGGATACCTTTTTCAGCGTACTCCATTTCACACTGAGATCTGTAATAAGTAATCAGTAAAGGTCCATTTTCTCAGAAACAACTAACTGTATTCATTTCAAACTTAGTATACTTGTTCATTATCAATGTGAAATATCAGAAGGGCAAATAATTTATGCATTTTTATAAAAACAGGTTATGCCATTTTTTGCTAAATTTTGCTCAATTATCTTCCTTTTATGTTTTTTTATGTTTTTAAATTATTGTCACATATACATGTATTTACTTCAACTTGATAAACTTGTCTACGGTCAAGAGCAGATAATTCTGTCAATCAGTTCTTAAGAATTATTACTTGTTTTTCTTGTTTGCCTTTTCCATTCTATCAAGTACTGAGAAAATTAAAATGTGCTGCTCATTGGATACATCTGTATGTATCTCATATTTTGAATTGATATAGACACGATGTTTTATTATAATATTAAAGAACATATTATAAGCATTTGAGAGAAAAAAGAACCGTCAACTTGAGAACCTTTAAAAGCGCCTCTGATTGACTGAAACTAACTTTACATAAATCAAGATGTTTATACAAAATTACATTATATGATAGACACGCATTTATCTTCTTTCGTTTTCTTGAAACGGATTTTAATATCATTTGTTTTCTACATACTATTTTCTTTACTGCGTTTTTACTAGTAGATACCTGTTTTTGCATTAATTATATAATCAGAAATAAAAAGTTGAGGAAAATTTTGACTTGTTAATTGCTTTTGATAAATTTATACTTCAAAATAAGTTGCTGACCTTGAATTGGGCCTGATTGATATGAATGGTTAACGGTGATAGTTGAATTAGGGAAAGTCATCTTACAAAGTTAATGTCAGTCATCAGTTCTTATAGAAGACATAGACCGATTCATGTTGCAATGACAAGGGCAGATGGCAGGATGAATTTTAATTCGTTACAGAGATTTTATTCATTCGTTTCATTAGATTACATCTAGATCAGCTTAGCGAAGTTTAACTCTGAATCCAAGAATTCCAATATATTCACTTTCGCTACTGAATAATCAAAATATTAAAACAAATTTAAACACTCATGATAATTAAGGGGATGCAGCATAGAACAATGCAGGGTGGATATGTGATCCACAGGTAACGCGCTGAACTAATAATCCGTTGGTCGCAAGTTTGTACCCCTGCTCCATCACTTACATACAAATAATGTTTTGTTGTTGTTGTGTTTTTCCTATTATACATGTATATTATTATAGTATTCAACCCAGCCATGCTTCCTGTTTTAATTTGGGTCCTGTTCGGCTCCTTGCCGGTGGTCCTGTGTTGCTGTATCGTGTTGGGTCGCATTAATTAAACGCCACCCTTGCCTTGTTGATCTTGTTTAACATATCAGATACTATAACTCCTCTGTTGCGTCTAAATAACGACACTAAATAAACCTTTAGAAAAAATACTGTAGTTATATTTAGCCAGTTAATTCCTACGGAGATTGAAAATGTAATTTGATTAATTTGATGAGAACAAATAAAGTAATAACAGAAAGTACTAGTAAATAATTAACCCTTAACCAATTCAATTTCTGAATTGTCCATTACCAATTTTCGAGATATCAGAAAGAATATTAAAAGTTGTTCAGTCGTCAGTAAATGTCATGATCAGACTGCAGGTATTCTTTTACTTTAAATGTTTCTAAATTTCACGTCCTTTTCTTGTTCAAATGTTCTGTTAAAGTCGGTGCATGACTGCAGGTATTCTTTTACTTTAAATGTTTCTAAATTTCACGTCCTTTTCTTGTTCAAATGTTCTGTTAAAGTCGGTGCATGGGGATGGCGTTGAAAGTAGCTTTCACTTGCCACCACCGACTATTATTAAATTCAGTCAACTTGAGCCTACAACATTTTATCATTTCCTCGTGTCTGGTCACCTTTAAGGTATAATTTGTTTCTAATTAGATACAGGTAGTATACTTCACTAGTTGATAACAGTCTCGTGTACACTATATATATACCGTGGACGACAACAAGACACTTCACTGATATATTCATGATTATAACTCAAACATATACGTGTACGTAATATATATGGTGAACTGATATCATATATGTGGTGTACTATTTTATAAACTTTCAGTACAGTACATATGATTTGCGTATTTGTTTTCTGACACGATTGTTTCAGATTCATGAGCATTTTTTAATATGATATCTGTAAGTGTAGTTCTTTGCGTCGTGTCAGTGGCAGATATAGACTAATGATGTGCACATGAATTTATTAATAAATGATTAAACGACTGTTTTCTTTCTTAAATTTTATTTGCTGGTGTGTTAGTTATATAGTATTGTGTTAGTTATATAGTATTGAAAGAAGGAAATCATAAAGATGACTCAAGCACACCGTGTTTCCATCAGAGACTTGAGTGAGGATGATATACAAAGGGTAATGTTTTAATTTCTTATATATATATACCTATATTCATTTACTGCACAGCAGTACATTACATTACTACTGAAAAATATTAAATTGTTGTTAGCATCCATGCAGGCTTTCATTCACGTTTGATTATCTTCCAAAATTCCGTTTTCCTTAGTTCGGCTCAACGTTTACACGTTAAAGGCACAGTGACACGTTTTCTTCTTGTACTTGCCGCTTTCATTAAACGGGTAATATCGGAGGTTTGATCATCACTGACGTACGAAAATATCTTTGGACATTTCTTAATTACGAATACGAACATATGGTTGTATCTTGCAATTCCCACAACAAGTAATAATATCGGCTACCGAACTCCAATCACGTCATTCGCGGGCTTCTAATATACGAATAAGTTGGGTCGGACTTATTGCATAGATATTTTTCGGACATCATAGAAAACATAATCAAATTTATAATCGTATTTGAATGACTAATTGACCATTGTATGTAATTTTAATTAACACGAATGTCATTTAAGTTATTACTGAATCACAAAATGAATATCATCATTATCGAAAGAAGAATCTTCTCTATCATAGGTGTCTTGAAAGTCGACATCGTTTTGTTGTCTTCTACTAAGGACATACTGCATAGACTCTGAGCATGTTAAAAACATTAATGGACTTCCATCTTTCTTGGCAAAACTGGTCCTCGAATTTAGAGAGATATTCAAAACATGTTCTTGCTGAATAGCAAACGGTATAGACCATGATCAGGCGGCATGTTTTGTTGTTATTTGTTTGCTGATTTTGAGTCTGAACTGGTCGCATGGGTGGAATATGTTCAAGGTTGACTCTGAATATTTATTTATTTATTTTTAATATAAAATTGAAATGAAAGCATATATATTACGTATATGAAATGGATTAACCTTTTCTGCACAATAAAAAGTAAATAACATATTAATTAAACTTTGTCAACCATTTTCTTTCACTTTTGCAGGCTTTTGAGAAGACGTTACAAGAATTTAATCCTATCCCTGGCATCAAACTAGTTCGCATTACTGAAGAGTATTATGAAAAAGCTTTGAATTTGTGCCGTGATCATTTTGTACCTCATGAACCGCTGATGAAATCTCTGGGAGTCAAATGGGGTGATTTTATTGAGGCATATTGGTTAAAAGCTCTGAAACTCAACCTTTCGCTAATGTTCGTTGATGAGGGAACGGATGAGCCTATCGCATTTAGGACAATAATGCATATTTTCAAAGATGACAAATTCCAGTTTGATGCTGAGCAGCTCTCAGACGAATTAAAGATACTGATAGATTTTGCTCTGTACTGTGACAAGCAGGCTGATTTCTTTGACCATTACGGTGTTACCGAGGCGTACCGTTTTCTTTCATTGGTGGTTACACAGAAATACCAAAGACGCGGCTTTGCTTCGAAGATTTTTCATGCTGCGATTAATCTAGTTCGCAACTTTGGTTTTGATGAGGTTAATATCAAAGGAGAAGGTACATCAAATTTTTCTAAAAAGATTTACGAAAAGGAAGGGTATGATGTTTTGTATGAGCATATGTTCGATGAATGGGAGGTCGATGGTAGAAAGCCATTTTTAAACACTGGAGAACATAAATCAATGAAGATATATGGAAAGAAAATTACCCAGTGATCATAGAAACTAAAAAAATAATCCGCATGTAGCTACAATTTTTATTGAACAACAAAAATGTTTAATCACACATTTAGCCTTTAAAATGAAAAAGGCAAACCTGTAATTCATTAAATTCAATATATAATAAAAGTGTTAATCATGTCAAGTGTCGTTGACTGTTAAATGATTTGCGATAATGTCATAAAAGTAGCGAAACGTAAAGTGTTATTTTGTCTTTCTTACAAAAAATTACTCATGGCCAAAACAGTATGAAGGTTCTTGTATTTATAGATGACTCATATTTCAGATAATTTATTGCGCAGGTATCAATTAAGTATAAATGACTGTAAACAAAATGAAACTACAATATATTTAAAACAACAAAAACAAATGGTCTCAAGTTTAGGTGGCCATTCCAAAAACACTGCGTGATTTTCCGTCTGAGTCACTGAATGTGTACGTACAGTATATCGCCGCTATTATTGACCAATGTAAGCACGTTAAAATGTTTTTAAAGTGATGGTCCAGTTTTATTTGTAAAAGCCAACCCCAGAATGTTTGGTATTAATAATCAGTTACAATGGTGGTGATTTGATGCGTTGATATATGTCTAAAATAGGACTTAGAGTACTGCAGAGGGTTTCTGGATGACTGAATGGCATAGTTTACATTGACAGGTCTGATGTTATTCGTTGTTGACTTTCACAACAAGTACGGTATCAGGATGATGGTGCACTGTGTCACATGACCAATACTGTCACTCAGTGAAAGGGGAGAATATTATGGTTTGGTTCAGAATTGCAACAAAAGTCATGAGAATTATTCTTTCAAGAGAATCTTCAATATACGTATGGAGTTAAAGCAATGACCGCCACTCCCATTCACTTAGAAAGTGATACCTCTCGAAACAAAACAAGTATATTTTTACATGTATTATTTAAGAATGTCGAAGGCTTATTAAGCTGACAAAGAGAAAACAGTCAGTTATTCAGGCGTAAGTTAAAAACCCTGTAAGGTAGGTAGTGGCATAAATTTTCATTACTTTTCATTTCTTGCAAAATTTATCAATACGAATAAATTAATAAATTATCTGATTGCTCGTGTAAAGATAAATTTCATTCAATTATGTTACAAACAGTTATTATAATAATAACCTAATGCAAGTATTTACCAATAAATATGTTAAAAATGGATTAAAAATTAGATGTTGACCATAAAAAAAAAATAGTGCAAAGGTATTCATGGATGTCACTATATATCTTAAAGAAGTAGGTATAAACGTGCAATCTCGTAGGAACCAGAGTGAGTTAAGACAAGAAATGTCGAACGACACGTATGCCCCCCTTTCTAGCCCTTGGCTCACATTATTGGTAATTTTGTTAGAGAAACTTGCCATAAACGGGTACATGGAAGTGTTCAATTATGGAAAAAAAGAAAAACATTGAAGACTGTGATAAATAGTTTTCAAGATAAAGAGACATTTAAGGCCCCTGTGACCTAGACCTTTGAACTAGTGACCCAAAATCAGTAGGGGTCATCTAATAGTTATGACCAATCAATATTAGAAATATGAAGACTTTGTTATAAATAGCTTTCAAGATAATGAGCCGTAAAACCATACTAACATTCAAGAACCCGGTGACCTTGACCTTTGACCTAGTGACCCCAAAATCAATAGGGGTCACTAACTAGTTATGCCCAATCAGTATGTGAAATATGAAGACTTTGTGATAAATAGTTTTCAAGATAATAAGCGGAAACCATTCTGACATTTAAGGCCTCTGTAACCTTGATCTTTGATCTAGTGACCCTAAAAGCAATATGATCATTTGTTGGTTTTGACCAATCACTATGTGAAATAGGAAGACTTTGTGATAATTATCTTTCAAGATAATGAGCTGATATCATACTACCATTCAAAGACCCTGTGACCTTGACCTTTGACCTGGTGACCCCAAAATCAATAGGGGTCATCTACTAGTTATGACCTACCAATATGTGAAATATGAAGACTGTGATAAATAGTAACCAAGATAATAAGCGGAAATCATATTACCATTCAATGCCCCTGTGATATTGACCTTTGACCTAGTGACCCTAAAATCAATAGGAGTCATCTACTAATTATGACCAATCAATATGTGAATATGTAGACTTTGTGATGAATGCTTTTCAAGATAATCAGCGGAAACCATTTAGACATTTAAGGCCCATTTAAGGCCCCTGTGACCTTGACCTTTGACCTAGTGACATTAAAATCTATAGGGGTCATCTACTTGTCATGACCAATCAATATGTGAAATACAAAGACTTTGTGATAAATAGTAACCAAGACAAGAGGGCCATGATGGCCCTGAGGTCGCTCACCTGTATATAGCCCCCCCCCCCCCCCCCCCCGTGCCAATGTTTACCCAAGGGCTTTTATTTGTTTATTTGAACAAACTTGGTAGACACCCATAAGAAGATGTTTCATGCTAAACATCTAAGTTCTAGCTCATTGGGTTTTTTAAAAGAAGATTTTTTAAGTTTTTACTATACACATACAGTTAAAAACAATGACACCCCTGAGGCAGGGCTAGTTTTGACCCCCGGGCTTTAATTTGTAGATATTTACTTATAGATGTTTCATGCTTAATATCTAAACTAAAGCTATTTGGGTTTTTTCAAAGAAGATTTTTAAGTTTTTGCTATACACATATAAGGAAAATCAATGACCCCCGGGGCGGGGCCAGTTTTGACCCCAGGGCTTTTATTTGAACATACTTGGTAGACACCCATTAGAACATGTTTCATGCTAAATATCTTAGCTCTAGCTCTTTGGGTTCTTTAAAAGAAGATTTTTTAAGTTTTTACTATATGCATATAGGGAAAATCAATGACCCCCTGGGGCGGGGCCAATTTTGACCCCAGGGCTTTTATTTGAACAAACTTGGTAGACATTCACAAGAAGATGTTTCATGCCAAATATCTAAGCTCTAGCTCTTACGGTTCTTTAAAAGAAGATTTTTTAAGTTTTTACTATATGCATATAGGGAAAATCAATGACCCCCCAGGGCGGGGCCAATTTTGACCCCAGGGCTTTTATTTGAACAAACTTGGTAGACACTCACTAGAAGATGTTTCATGCCAAATATCTTAGCTCTAGCTCTTTGGGTTCTTTAAAAGAAGATTTTTTAAGTTTTTACTATATGCATATAGGGAAAATCAATGACCCCCTGGGGTGGGGCCAATTTTGACCCCAGGGCTTTTATTTGAACAAACTTGGTAGACATTCACTAGAAGATGTTTCATGCCAAATATCTAAGCTCTAGCTCTTACAGTTCTTTAAAAGAAGAATTTTTAAGTTTTTACTATATGCATATAGGGAAAATCAATGACCCCCCTGGGCGGGGCCAATTTTGACCCCAGGGCTTTTATTTGAACAAACTTGGTAGACACTCTTTAGAAGATGTTTCATGCCAATTATCTAAGCTCTAGCTCTTATGGTTTTTTAAAAGAAGATATTTAAAGATTTTTCTTTCGGTTGCCATGGCAACCAGAGTTCTGCATGGAATTAAATTCTTTGAACAATTTTTAAAGGTGACCACCAAAGGAACATTCCTGTGAAGTTTGGATGAAATTGGCTCAGTGGTTTATGAGGAGATGTCATTTAAAGCAAAAGTTTACGGACGGACGACGGACAACGGACGGACGGACGCCGGACGGACGCTGGACGAAAAGCGATCACAAAAGCTCACCCTGTCACTTTGTGACAGGTGAGCTAATAATAAGCGGAAATCATATTACCACTTAAGGCCCCTGTGACTTTGACCTTTGACCTAGTGACCCCAAAATCAATAGGTGTCATGATCTGTCATCTACTAGTTATGACCAATCACTAAATGAAATATGAAAACTTTGTGATAAATAGTTTTCAAGATAATCAGCGGAAACCATGTAGTCTACCGACGGACAGACCAACAGACCGACATTAGCAAAACACTGTACCCCCTCTTCTGCGAAGGGGGACATAAAAATAATCTCAATGGGAGCATGGTGTCAAATCTCACTGGACAGATATTTATAATTATGATAGGGAACCTAATATATAGGACCACATACTTAAACATCTCCGAGACTAGGTATTTACCTATATATCTAATTGCACTGGAAATCCATAATGTATTCTTAAAGGAAACAAAATACTCATTTTCTTCTGTAACTTACATGGGGATTTTAACATTAACAAAAGTGACAAGAATATTTATGAATTTACTTCTTTTATTTCAGAGTTCATATTCATTTGTTAAATATTTACATCATCATCTAACACATCAACATTCGCATCAGAAAATAATAACTTCTTATTGAACTATGTTTTGTTTCTGTTTTACTAATTATAAATACAAAATGTATAATAAATTGTTTAACATTTACATATCAAATGTCAATTATTTTGAAAAATTTAATCTGGGGAAATTATCTTATTATAATAGGGTAACGCTTGATTTTTAATTTAATTTTATTCTTTGTGTTCCATTCATATATCACAAATTTTATTTAAAACTTCCCTGTATTACAGCTTTATTGTGTAAGTTCTGCAAAATCATTACAGAATGCCTAGAGAAAATTAGTTGCTCACTTCATGTTCATAGACATCTTTAGAAAAATAATGGCATATCAATTTCGCATAATCTCTGGTAAAAAGAGAAAATATATACTTAATAATTAATATGAAATCACAACTTAAAAAAATAATTGTTTTTGAGGGCTCTAGTGTCAATTAAAAGAAAATTTCTAGTCACTTATCAAACAAAAACAGATAATAATTTTTAAAATGATAAAATTTAAAATAATCACTATGAAATGAATTAACTGAGCACAGTTTTGTCCGTTTGCTTTTGAATGATAAACAAAGAAATATGAAAATGTTGAAGGGAAATTAATGGGAATCTAAGCAGAGTTTTGCTCATAATTTGGTCATCTACATGATGCCCAGATAAATTACAAATATGAAAACATTGTCTTTATCTATTGATAAAATCCCTTAAACATGTTATAACAATAACCATTTTTGGCACGTCTGTTTCAAATGAGAATTTTATCAAAGATTTTAAATAAAGTATTGAAAATGACTATTGAAAATGACCCAATTAAATCAGTTTTGAAGTAATAAATATACCCTTTTTACTATCAATTTCTCACAAATAACTCCACAAATATGGGTTATCCAAGGTAATCCCCCAGTACAAATAAACTTTTACCATTGAAGCTTCATGCTCACAATAGATTAGTTTACCTGTTACACTTATTTTCAATAGCTGAAACTGTTAAAAGTTTTTTTGCACCCCTGGGATTACCTGGGAAAACCCAAAATAAACTTAATTTCCGGAGTAAATCTTTTCAATTCCTGCACTGTACCATATACTATAATATTTTATAATATTTTCCACATATACATGTAACGAAATATTGTTGTTTCACTTTCATTAAACCTTGCGTACCCAAAATTATGACATCAACAAAAATTGTGCACACTGTTACTTAACTATGGTCATCACAATTATGTTAAAACAAACTCTCAACAATTTTGTTATGATACAGCCTATTTACATAAAAAACACATATTTTCAAAAACTAAAATACTCTACAATAGTTCTCTTCTCGCTATATATCAAAGAAAATATGGCGTTGTGGTACGTGAAGGTATCACACGTTCATTGTCGGGTACAGCTTTAAATAGCTTAGCTTCACGATTATCTGCATCTTTAAAGTCTATGACCGTGGCAATATTTCCACATCTGTAACAATAGTTTGGTGCTGACCAAATTGTAACCAGTTTTTCATCAAACATGTACTTAAAACCTGAAAAATAAAGGCAGTTATTAGATACTGAAAATTTTATTGACATGTCTGTCCACTAAAATGAGAAAATAAATTTACTTAGCATTTAATTTTTTTTATTATCAAAGGAATATCAAAAGTCATCCACAACCTTTCACTTGGAAGCAGAGAACACATTTTGTTGAGGTTATATTGTTACTACAGCTTTACTGGTGAAGGAAAAATTATTTGTGCATAAGAGTCACCAAGGACAACTTGGTCCAAGGGAAAAAACTTTTGTTTAAGTTCTGTCTCAAATCTCAAGATTTTCATTGGTCAGTGTACATTCTATTGCAGTTTCTGACCAATCAAAACCTGAGATTGAAGTGTAGAGATTTCTTTATAGCCCTGGATCCTGGTTTTAGATAAGCTAGTTTAATTGCTGTTTCACAAAAATCTAAATTCCCTGATGAAATTCAAACCCAGGATGGTGCCACTATTCTTGACACAAACTGGCCATGACACAATCAAATTTATCCAGACATAATCAAGTTTTACCTTTATGGGACTCCAATGAGGTTTTTTTTTTACATGACAGGACTACAAATATTATTCCAAAATTTGATTTTAGTCTAGACCAATAACTCATAAGCAAATTTTCAGATCATTCCCTCACCTTATTTTTCCAGAATCATCATTTTTATTGTGCAAAATGACCAAAAAAAGAAAGTCATTGCAATGCTTTTCACTCAAATCAGGCTTAGAATTGCATTAAATAAATCAGTTTTCAATTAAATATAGTATATTTCAATTCAGTATATTTATTATTTCATGCAGATTCTTTTTCCATTTTAAATGCTTCACTTAACCTTTGTAAGAATATTAACGTGTTTAGGTTTTTATGTTCTCTGTGGAGCTCCTTTCACATAATTATCCTGAACCCTTCTGCAAAGGTAGGGGTGAAAGGAAGGAAAAACTGGCAACTTGTTTAATCAAATCAAATTTGAAATGGGAGGGGTGCATAATACTGGAATTATAGAAAATTTAGCATGAGTTTTTAAGTAAGTGATACTTCTTTAGACCTACCTTCATGTACTAACTGATGTGCCCGACATATCAACTTTAGACCATTGATGTGAACAAACTGAAACACAAATATCAAAATACATTATTATGCGAACTTATCAACTATGCAGTCTCAAATAATCTAGAACACATCTGAAAGCTATATATCACTCTAGAATCTACTTTTTTATCTATCTATGATTTATTTATGGGCCAAATACATCACAACAAGCATATATCTAAAGGAAATGTACCTCTTAATGAAATCAATGACAAATTTTCTTTTTTATGAAAAACATAGGCACTTAGGGACCATTTTTTAATTTTTTATTGAAAATTAATGTGCCACTACCTGTATTACTACATGTATAAAGATTATTATGGACTCATTAATATGCTGTGAATTCACTTTATCTGTAGGCATGAATATATTATAGTTCTGTCACCAAAAGAAAAGTAAAATGCAAATAATGTAATGTAAAAATGTTACAACAGACAAAATGAAATTTCATTGGATTTAACTTCTGCGAACTGACCTATCCACAAAAGAAAACACAAAAATAAGTGGCACATGTATAATAAAGAGTTTGCAGTTCAAGTTTGATAGTTTACTTACACAAAATAATTAAACATCTCCATTTAGCTCAAGCAAGAGGTAATGACAATATTCATGTTTGTGTATGTTTGTTACATAAACTGAATTTAATAATGTTATGCAAGTTATGCCCACATGGAGAGGATCGGGAAACAGATGTGTAAAGCCTGCTCGTTAAATAAAGTGGTACTTATTTACTACTTCTTGATTTTTCTTAGTTTTTTTATAAAAAAAACAATTCTATAAATCTAAAAGGTTATACGTTTGTTAAGTATTTTTGTACATACCTCATTATCCCTTTGGGGCCCCCCAAAAACCATCCTCCCCTGGGAACTCAGCCCAAGTATCAACTTCTTCGGGGTTGACCATACAAAATTTGGTTTATGTTAAGGGAAATTTAAAAATATATTGGCATTATTTTTTCCCTTCCATAAGGTTAAAATTTTCCCAAAAGTCATATGGGGTTTTCTTTAAAATAAAAATTCCCCCATGGCGATAAAAGAAAGTCACTGTAAGAGGCAAGTTGTTAACTAAACACAGACATTAACTTGAAAGTTAATTTTATCAACAAAATGTATCTTCTTGAACATTGTAATCCAGATAACAATCATGTTGAATATATTCAGAAATAATCTTCTCACATAAAATATAGGAGCACAGTAAGACAGATTAAATATATTGTTGTTAAAATTCAACTTCTGTGTAATATGATTAACATAAACAGGACCCCACCCCGTTCACATAGCCAAATGTATCTTTCTTTTTTTTAATTGTTAAATGAAAATTTGTGGTCATTGAAAAAACGCCAATGTCTTTACAAACATGAGGAACAGACAGTTTCTAACTGAGACTTTATTTAATAAAATTAATATGTTTATCATTAATCAATGCAATTTCCAACACATTATTTCAACTTTTTCTTCCATGTACAGTTGACTCTCGGTAACTCGAAATCCAAGGGACTGGGCATTTAACTTCGAGAGAAACGGAATTCGAGTAACGTGGAACCCCACCATTACATGTATATACATGTGCCTGATTGAATGTGCCAAAGGAGTAGGTTTGTTATTGTTGTTAGCTGCAATGCTGCAATATTTAACCATTGAAATGACGGTAAATCACTTACAACTGCAAAATTATTAATGAACAAAAAATATATCATTCAAAATTTAATACATGTATATTAATATGAAACAGAAACACACAATTACATTTGATTTAATTCATCATCGGACGGAAAACGAAATTAGCAACTATTCCTGAACCGGAAGTACAAATATGACAGATAATTAATTAAACAAATGTCCTTTACGTGATAAAACACACATCAATACCAAGGCTGTTATTTGACTTAACACCCGTCAGACTGGCATGAGTCAACTTTCTTTAAGAAATGTAATTAAATTTTAAGTTTAGTTTTATCTAACTGTTAAAACCAATTAAGTCCTGAAACGGCATTAAAGCCACTTTTACGACGTGTAATAATACATTTTAATCATGAGTGGACAACATCTCACCTGATGTTGCCGACCTTTTGATCAGACGTTTGTTTTCACACTTCGACTAATTGAGATGTAAATATGTTGGACTTTAATTGAGGGACCAAATTTTTCTTTTCGACTAAACAGGAGTCTCGGCAAGTCAAAATTTGACCTAAGCGGAGTTAAAATACAAAGATAAAGAAGAAAATTTGACGGGACTTTAGAAATTATTCGACTAAGACGGAATTTTGAGTAAAGCGATTTTGACTTATTGAGAGTCAACTGTATTAGCTTTATTTTACCAGTATTAAATTAGACCATTTTTATAAATTATTTTATACTGTGGTATTTTCACAATTCAAAAGGCCCCAAACCAATTCACAAAAAATCTTGAACAAAAACGCTGTTATAATTTAGTAGATCTTGTTGTGAGTCAGATTTTTCTGATTCAAATTTTAAGTAAAGACCCAAACATCACAATAACAGAAAACTATAAAGGATATCACAAAAAGCGCCTTTGTGTGGAATTTCTTGAGCCCTCTCTATAGTTCTGATCTGGTCTATAGTTTTCAAGTCAGGTGACAGACCTCCATGTACACACAATATACATTCATCTATAATCTAAAATATACAAACAAACTATTATTAAGACTTAATGTAGTATGGAAAACCAAGTTCTGAGATCAAGTTTAATAGTATCTTCCAAGACTTCTCTAAAGATTGTTGAATGGAGAAACCAGGTTGCAAACCAATTAAGGCTCACACAAAAATTATCTGGATCGGGATGAATACAGCTTCATTAAATCTACTCCTTTGTTTTAGTTATAAATATGGTATACTTTTTCTACATTTCTTAATTATGGTGTTTAAAACTATGATATAAAACTGTAATAATTTCACGAACTTTTTTAATCCTTGTACATGTAGGCTCGTTTCTAAAGTGCAGCAGTATTTCTTAGTAGTGATGTTCTATCTTTTTTTTCAACAACTTACAACTTATCTTTGAAAGGAATAAATGAAAAATTCTTACTGATGACTTTCAATTAACCAAAAAGTCACCCATACTGCTATAGACTAAATTCCACCCTATACTGGTTGGATAATCAGAAATCTTGTGAAACATCTATTTCAACTTTGTTGTGATGAAAATTTGGAAGCTTATTTGAAACCACTCAAGTCCATTTCCTGGAACTAACCAGTACTTGTGTCATATGAGGAAATATGGCTTTGACCTGTGTACTTGTGTGTAGAACTCGGATCTATGACCCCTGGGATGAGAGGCAAGACACCTTAACCACTATACTATCATACTTACAGCAGCTACTGTGAGTAAATCAAACACTTTGCAACAATATCTCCAGGCATTGGCATTTCCATATTTTGTTTGACACTCATCTGTATAAAACATAATCAAATCTATGTTAATACCTAAAATTTTAACCCAAGGGCTTTTATTTGAACAAACTTGGTAGACACCCATAAGAAGATGTTTCATGCTAAACATCTAAGCTCTAGCTCATTGGGTTTTTTCAAAGAAGATTTTTAAGTTTTTGCTATACACATATAAGGAAAATCAATGACTTCGGGGCGGGGCCAATTTTGACCCAGGGCTTTTATTTGAACAAACTTTGTAGACACTCACTAGAAGATGTTTCATGCTTAATATCTAAACTCTAGCTATTTGGGTTTTTTCAAAGAAGTTTTTCTTAAGTTTTTGCTATACACATATAAGGAAAATCAATGACCCCTGGGGCGGGGCCAATTTTGACCCCCAGGGCTTTTATTTAGACAAACTTGATAGACACCCACTAGAACATGTTTCATGCTAAATATCTTAGCTCTAGCTCTTTGAGTTCTTTAAAAGAAGATTTTTTAAGTTTTTACTGTATGCATAAAGGGAAAATCAATGACCCCCTGGGGCGGGGCCAATTTTGACCCCAGGGCTTTTATTTGAACAAGAGCCATGTCAACATGGCCATCCCCCGCCGAATGTGTTTGCTCATTGGAAGAATGTATATGTAGTAGAGCAGAATAATTCCATTTTAAGAGGTCTTTTGGTAATGAAAACTGATGGCTATAGTGATTACAGATTTGAAACCTATGTGAATACTGATGGCTGAAAATAACAAAGGGCAATAACTGAAAAATAATGCAGGGTAGGTTATCATTCTTGTGTGCTGCATCCCTCCTCAGTAAAATCCCTCCTCAGTAAAATCTATCCACCTTTCAAGTTTCAAGTTGATACCTCAAATACTTTTGAGAAAAAAATTGAATTGAAAAATTAAGTATGAAAAATAACAAAGGGCAATAACTCAAAAATTATAAAAGGTAGAGTTATCATTCTTGTGCAGTGCACACCTCCTGAGTGAGATCTATGCGCCTGTGAAGTTTCATTTTGATATCTCAAAGGTTTTTTGAGTTATGCTCTGGACAAAAATTAATTTTGAAAAATAACAAAGGGCAATAACTCAAAAATAATGCAGGGTAGAGTTATCATTCTTAAGCCCTGCACTCTTCCTCAATGAGATCCATCCTTCTTTGAAGTTTCAAGTTGATACCTCAAATACTTTTTGAGATAAGCTCTGGACAAAATAGCATGAAAAAGAACAAAGGGCAATAACTCAAAAATTGTATAGGGAAGAGTTATCATTCTTGCGCACAACATTCCTCCTCAATAAGATCTATCCACCTATGACATTTCATGTTGATATCTCAGACACTTTTTGAGTTATGCTCCACTCGGGTGAAAAATTAAGTATGAAAAAAAACAAAGGGCAATAACTCAAAAATTATAAAAGGTAGAGTTATCATTCTTGTGCACTGCACACCTCCTGAGTTAGATCTATGCACCTATGAAGTTTCATAATGATATCTCAAAGGCCTTTTGAGTTATGCTCTGGACAAAAATTAATTTTGAAAAATAAAAAAAGGGCAATAACTAAACAATTATGCAGGGTAGACACTCATTAGAACATGTTTCATGCTAAATATCTTAGCTCTAGCTCTTTGAGTTCTTTAAAAGAAGATTTTTTAAGTTTTTACTATATGCATATAGGGAAAAACAATGACCCCCTGGGGCGGGGCCAATTTTGACCCAAGGGCTTTTATTTGAACAAACTTGGTAGACACTCACTAGAAGATGTTTCATGCCAAATATCTAAGCTCTAGCTCTTTGGGTTTTTTAAAAGAAGATATTTAAAGTTTTTTCTTTTGGTTGCCATGGCAACCAGAGTGGCAACCAGAGTTCTGCATGGAATTAAATTCTTTGAACAATTTTTAAAGGTGACCACCAAGTTTGGATGAAATTGGCTTAGTGGTTTATGAGGAGATGTCATTTAAAGTAAAAGTTTACGGACGGACGGACGCCGGACGAAAAGCGATCACAAAAGCTCACCCTGTCACTTTGTGACAGGTGAGCTAAAAACGATAGCATATATTTCATATTATCATTAAGAATAATTATTCAAACTTAGAAAAAATCTTTTCCTTTAAAAAAAAAATATACCATAGAAACCATAAATCTGTGTAATCTGTCTGCTTTCATGATTTCCTCGTAGAAGAACTATCTTGTCTGGCCATCTGTAAAGAATATGGGAGATAATCCACATACAATGTTAGACAGAGTCACTTGCCAATGTGTACAAACGAGGGTCGTGACAATACAGAAGAAGAACTAACAATGAAAGGTTTCAATTCTTTAAGCTGTGTCACTCAATTTTTCCTGCTTAATAAAGTATCAGAATCTATGCTTACTACACAAACTATGTTTTGTTTGGTTTTACAGCTCACCAACTCAATTAATGTAATATGGCACTGAAACTGGAAAGATGATTTTGGCTAACTTCTAGTCTTACAAACTTATAGCAAGGCCAGGGGTCAAAACCACCTTATTTGCTGCATAGACTCAAGTAATATTAACCCATTAAGTCGCCTCTTATGATCACACAGGGATAAACGATGGCAGCAATGGTGATATTTCAACCCTTAAATGCAACCTTTCAGCCACAAGGGGTATGCTTACTAAATAAACATTAGATATATAAGTGATGAAGTTGATTCAATCAGTACAAAGTCAGAATATCTGTTTATTCCCATATGTTTTTAAACCTATATAAAAGATATTCCCTAGATGGGCTAGTAAAACACATGTGAGATACTTACTTTGCCTTCAATGTGAGTAGTAATGTAAAAGTTTCCAAGCTGTAGTAGCCTCTGTCTACAAAATCTCCCTGAAAAAAAAATACATACTTTGATACATGTATGTTCTTTCAAAAATAAGTTACTTTTTTACAAATATAAAGTAAAAACATGTTAGTATTGTCCAATAGATAAATGGTTTATATTGTGAGATGATCTTAATCACAAGTATGAATGAAAATTTAAAAGTTGAAAACAACACAAGAAATGTTTGTCAAACACAAAAATGGCTGTGCTTTCAAATGGAATCTGAAAAAATTGATACAAATTCCTGCATAACTGTCAAAGTTCCTGGTTACATTTATACACGCATCTTTGTAAGTACTGTCTTGTATCAATATCTCAGTATTGTATTGTGATAATTTATTATGAGGGTTATTATCAGGATTTACTAATGCATCAACGATATCGGCACAACTCTTAACAAAGACCACCTCTATATATAAACCATATTCATGTAATATCATTCAATTTGGAAAACTGATTGTGGATACTGATTGAACAAATAAGCAATATGGTTAACTGCTGATTGGGTGTTACATCTCACCAAAACAGTATAGGTTAAACTGCGACTTCCAGCTTAATTGGTGGAGGAAAACCTAAGGAGGCCCTCTGTGTGTTATTTCAGGCACAAACGAGCAACTGAGTAGAACCACTGATATTTCGAAAGCTAGCTGGATAGCTTCCTCACAGTAAAGAATCCGAAGACAATTGCACAATCAAACCTACAGCAGTGATAGACATGTGGTTTAAACTCATGGTTAACTGTAGATTCATCATGTATATCTTGTACACTGGTCATTATAGAGGATGTCTTAAATTGACATGATAAATGGCCAATGGTTTGAGTAAGACTTTAAGACAAAATGTAAATGTATATTTACCATGAAAATGTAATTTGTATCTGGCATCTGTCCACCTGTTCTGAACAGCTCCATCAAATCATAGAACTGAAAAAGTCAAATATTTCTAGTGAATTGACTTAAGATATATATATGTTACAGTCATCGAATTTAGCACTGGCCCTGTGGCCCATGGCCAGTGAAAATTAGCTTGGGCCAGTGAAAATTTTAAGAAATATAAGTTATTGTTAAATATATAGTACAATAAATTTACAACTGGAATTTGGGCTAGTAAATTCAAAAATTTAAATTCATTGACTGATGTTACGAATGTACATGTATGTATGTACATATGTATAATCAAAGTACCAGTTAATAACTTGATCTTTAAACGGCACCCCTTTTGGTAAACAATTTTACCCTTTACCTGCTGAATTTATGTAATGGATTTGCCCAACTTTGGACTTGAAACGATTCATTCAAAGTTTAAGGTATTTCAATAACAAAATGTACAAATGTACTAATAATATGGAGCCAAGTCAGACCAAATGTGCAAGCTGGCCCTGCTCTAAACTGTCGGCAAAGGCTTATTTAACAGTTCCAGCACTTTAAAGGTTAAAGGGGAATTACTTAAAATATTTTTCTCACTTAATTGAGAAGAGGCCTTAGCCTCTTGATTTTGTGAATAACTATCACTAAAATTTCCAATTTGGGAAGTAACAAAGCTGGTGTAAGTTCAGATTTTTACCAAAACTGCATGATTTTAAAGAAAATTTCAATTGGAAAGACACCTTTCCAAGACCTCAGTTACATGAGTTGAAATTTATATCAGTGAATTATTAAAGTCTCATTCTTTTACATCAGTGATAAAAGCACTCCAATAAATACTGCACTTGACTATCTTGATAATGAATAAACCAATAAGTATTATTATACAAATTTATTGCTAAACAGGTCTTCTTAAATTTTTGAAATTCTAACAAGATTCAAACCTACTGTCTGATGACAGGGTCAGAGGGGCAAGTGATTTGATTTCTGAAACATTAATTACTTAATTACAAAAGTCTCATTGTTTGTTGATACTACATGTGAATCTATATCATTTCTATAAATAAAAATAATTATCATACTGAATGTAAAGGTTTCATGTCATATGTGTCTGAACCTTGTTGTTTTTAATGGGCAAGAAACTTTACATTTAGTATGTCTTGCTTATTGATAATAGTACATGTAGCAACCCCACATTATCTTTTTGATCTAATTGTTTTTATAAACATGTAATTGTTTTTATAAACAAATAATGTCATCTAATAGTGCTCATTATAAGCATTTCAAAACAGTTTTCCTTTTCTAAATATCTTTAAAAATAAAAAAGTTATGGCATTTAATTATGTTAGAAATTGCGCATTTTTTTATAATTTTTGCTAAATATAATTATATATATACAATTAATAGGAAATAAGACTGAGAGGTGTAAGAGTAATACACATCAACACCAGGACAAGTTAGACAGTAATATGTTCAGTCTACTTGTTTCGGTCAACAATTGACTTTCATCAGGTCTGAGGACTGTCTAAACTAAATTTACAACAGTTCTTTACCTGGCCATGTATATCTCCACATACTGTGACTGGTGTTGATACTGGCTGCACATTGGACTCCTCCAGCAATAACTCACACACCATATCACATAATCTCTGAAAATAAATAATATTTTCTTCATTATCATAGTCTAAAAATATTTTAGTTGTTTTTTTTCCACATTTTAGGGAAAGGTGACAGGGGTGTGGAAATAATTATTTTTGTCACATGTTTGCAAAAGGACAAGCTGGGCAGAATTTTTTACTTGTCCATATAAAAATACAGAAGGTTGACCATTGTTGTTAAACAAAAGTGAAGTGTTCACTTCAATTGATAAAAATATAATATTTCATTGCATAAATGAATACTACAGTCTATACACTATAAACAATATCATATAATAACATCTCAAATCTAAAAATGTTTTAATAATAATACATAAATATAAGAATTCCACATTACTAAAATAAGATTTAGAAAAATCAATAATCATACTCATAGATCTATGGTTAAAATGATAACATATTATATAGTGTTATTGTTGCTTATTGATTATGAAGAAATACATGTAATGATGTATGTCACAAGCACTTAAGCCGGTGACAAATTGGCTAAAATTCATCCAACACAAACAAACTCTTTTAAGAAGCTGACGGTCAATTTATGCACAATGGAGTGATTCAAACGGCGGATGATATTCTACATCCTCAAATATGGGCAAGTACACGATCACTGATCAAGTCAATAGAAAAAGTCTGTTTGGGATTTAAAGTTTTTGGCCAAAATTACTTCTCTTTGATCTCGCTTTTACTATGGACATGAAAAAAAGATATGGTTCATTAGTTGTTGTTGCAATTTTCATGCCAACTGTTTTGTTTATTTTAAATTTCTTTATGGAGATTTGAGCCAGCCCAAAAATAGTTTGATTGATTATATTAGCCAGCCTCAGGCTCTTAATGACAATCATGCATATAGAATAATTATAGCGAGCTAAAAGAGCTGGCCAAAAGGGCCTGCTCGCAAAGCATGCTTTACTGTAATGCGAGTATCTGCTAGATAGTGATGGTTTTGAAAACTTTTGTCAGTGGTACTGAATTGACACATCGCAACTTTTTTAATTATAAGATCAGAGCAACAGATAAGGTGCGTATTTGCGTATTTACGCAATTAATTTCATAAAATACGCAATTGATTTTTTAAGAATGCGTATCAAAACCCATTAAAAAAAATAAAATACGCAATTGTCTTAAAAACCTGTGCGTATTGTCATTTTCATCACCGTAAAATTAATCTGTCGTATGCACGTAGTTTTGGACAAATAATAGCGATATGCATGCTATCCGAATATTCCCGAATCAATGCTAACTAATCAACGGTCTCCGGTCTTCGACGGTCCCCGGTCTCCAAAGACCGACTAAGTCAAATCAATAATGCATGACACCGTCGTTTGTCTACTCAGGTCGACGGTCTTTACAGACCGGCAGAGACCGTTGATTTTGCGGAGACCGTCAATAAGTAGGTCCCACCTGTATCAATAGACGCTTTGAAAGCAATATGGCGTCGTACAAAAGGGAAAATGATTTGAAACAAAACAATCGTAAATAATCAAAAATCAGTCAGAAAACAAACTTGTTAAAAATATTTTTATGAAATATAACTTGAGCATTTTATATAAAAAATAAAATAATTGTGAAAAGTTCTAGTAAATGGTTAATCCTATTTTCTTTTTAAAACAGTAAAATTTCATTGATATTGAAACCATAAAATTTTCATAATTGAATACCCAATTGATCTTGATATCATAGGGTATCGAGTTTTGGAATACCCAATTAAATGGAGCCAATACCCAATTCCAAAGGAAATGATGGAGTAATACCCAATTCACTTTTAAAGCTTATCTGTTGCTCTGTAAGATCATGATAAAAACTGAGGTATTCTAATTGAAAATGAAAGCAGTGCCCTGCGCACTTTTATAGGAACGATAATAGGACAGGGAACCAGAATAAATGGTCGCAGTGTATAAAATACTGACAATTTTAAAACGGAAAATGTAAAATAAAAATGAACGATTATTTTATACAATTTCACGGTAAAAGTAAATGAAGCATCTTTCTTTTAGATTATTAAGATTATTTGTCTATTAACTATTTGAAAGACCCTTCACAAAGTCTTGTCAGATGTTCCTTCAGAAAAAATTATTGGACATTTTCAGGTCTAGGATTTCATGATATTTACGTACTGTCCGTAAATTCATAGATGGTCTAGAATTTTAAAGATTTTTCAATCCATAAATTTACAGATATTCAATGTGAAATTTGCTGTTTTTAGTTTTAAACTAAAATCAGCCGCTTAAGACAAGTTGTTTTATTGATTGTTTATATTTACAAAGGTAATGGGGTGAGTTTCATCTTTGTATGAAGATTTTGAAATTTTTGTTAAAAGTGTAAATTGAAAGTCATCAAATTGTTCTGAATCTTACCATACTGTTACATTTATTCATATAATATGTAACTTATCCATTTTTACCTGAGGTTTTGAATTTTAATGCAACTTCTACTATTTTCTTAGTTCATATCTGTAAATTTACAGATTAAAAAATCTGTAAAATTATGGATCGTCCAAAAATTTACAGACTGTCCATAAAATGATAAATATCATAAAATCCTAGACCTGATTTTTAAACACCAAACTCGTCCAAAGTAAATTTGATGTATATGCCAAATTGTAACTTTGAAATACTATCGAATTAGTACTGTGAAAATGCTTAGGGAAGCGAATCATGGGCACCAATGGATAATATAAACTATTTCCCCTCCCACTTTTTTTTACAAAATCGGATAACTTCACAAATAACATTTAGCGAGAGATTTTTAGTCCTTCACTATATAACCTGAAATATTTAACCTTTAAGTCATTTTCTGGAAGATATTTGCATTCTTTTGCAATTTCTATCCATTTATCCACACTGTGCATTTTTACAATTTTTTATTTCGTTTCCTGTTTTTGATTATTACTTCGGTCTAAATGTAAAACGCAAATTGATTGGTCAATATTGTATGTATGCTAAATCTGTACCTTTCCGTTTCATACGGGACAGGACGGCTTTTAATCACAACAGTACTTAATTTTGTTTTAGAAGCTAATTTTACACACATCTGACACAGTCAATCTCCTATCATGCGTTATTTTCTTCAGCAAGCTTAAATTGTAGGCCTGAATAAACAGTTTACTATTTTAGGACTGTTTATTACATGCTTTTCGGTGGTTTATAGAAATATATCAGTGACATAAAACTGGTAATTTCACTGTTTGAAACAGTGAAATTACCACTTTGATTTAAGCCCCTTACGTTGTTTCAGTGAAATACCAGCGTGCACAGTACTGGGTACCAACTTAATGACGTGACGTCGTAAATGACGTCACGCTGTATTATTATTTGGCGCGCTTTTCATTCAGTATTAGGCTTAATGTCTCTTTAAAACGTTTCTTTGCATGTAATCAAAAGAAAATTTGTTTAGTTTAGTGTAAGATCGTAATATATTTCACCGAGTGGGCACCAAAAGGTATATTTCACGAGTGGCTGCGCCACTCGTGAAATATACTTTTTGGTGCTCACTCGGTGAAATATATTCCGATCTTACACTGAACTAAACAAATATCCTCTATATTTTACTGTAAAAAATAACATTGAAAAAAGCAGTTTTAAATAGCCCACAGAGCCCCATGTGCACAAATAAGGAAGTTGATACACAACAGCATTTTTCCACATCTTCCTTCTTCGTGTTGGCTGTTGATCCCATACTCATTTATGGATCGTTACAGTATAGTTAGTTATATAACGTATAGTTATATACGTTAGTTTCTACCGGCTTATTTAGTAAAAAAAACCTGCTGTTTAATTTCCGGGACGTCAAATATATGTAAACGTTGAACCTATATCAAAATGCCTCGTTGTAGAACTAGCACTCTGTCCTTCATCTAAATGTATTTTTTATCATTATTTTAGAACTCTGAATTCGCGATTGACGTGCTCGCAGTGGAGAATATCAGCCCGCAACAAAACAGCTCATATAATATATGCATATATGTCAGGTTTCATATGACTTGGATAGTGTTGATGAGTAATATGTTCTCAACAGGAAATGCTGAATTAAGCCTCACACAAAATCGACTGATTTAATTCATTACGTATAATGGACGAAAATTGAGTCCACAGGCCAGTACCACTAATGGCAAAATACCCCCAACACCTTAAATTTGCACGAATTTAAGTCCGAAAAGTCTTGGGAAACTGTTTAAACGCGTTATAGACCTTTTTACATTTCGATTCTTCCATAGTAACCGTAGGACAAAAGCGCAGTAAAATTGAGAACAGTGTATGGTACTTTAAGGCTTTAATAGTCGTGATTCCATGTTATGTCACCCAGAAAACAGTAATTTTGGGATGACTTAAAGCGGTTAGTACCTAAAACGTTAATTGATATTTATAACAGATCTATATAATAAATATTCGGAACTAATAATTCAATGGTCAAAAGGCGCACACAAATGTCATCTGTTTAAGGTATCATTAGACGACTTTTTCATCTGTTATTAAAATTTAAACAGCAGCGTGTTAAAGATTAAATTTTATTACCCCTGTATTACATAATATTACACAATGTGTATTGTACACTTCCTTTTGGATTGGCCAGGCGGTGTCAACAGATTGACACGCGACGCGGTTGTTTGTTTCCAGCTATACTGGTTTCCTAGCAGTTTCCGTTCCGGCCGTTTATCATTTTATTATTATTATTATTATTATTATTATTATTATTATATACCACATTTCTATAGCACTCTTTTCATAAATAATAAATGTTCAAGAGTGCTTTACATAAATCCGATAAAAACATAATCATATATATATATATAAGACATAATGTACAACATTAATTAAGTAAACATATTAAGCAATAATGATAATCCAAAACCAGTAAAGGATGGTTAGAAATACAGACACATTTAGTTTAAAATCAAGGCTCAATTAAAATTAACACTGATAATATAGCAAAAGTAGTACATGTATGATGATTTATGAACTAACGTCCATAGAACTTTATGAAATAATGTGTTTTGAGAGCTCTCTTAAAACATGGCAAGGTATTACAGTCTCTAATGTCAGGTGGTAACGAGTTCCATAATTTCGCTGCGGCTGTCTGGAAGCACCTGTCACCATATCGTACTGTCCGAGATTTAGGCACAACTAATGTCATTGAGTTATTCTGGGACCTCAGATTCCTGGCTGGGATGTACACGTCTATCATGTCTTTTATATAGGCTGGTGCTTGATCGATGAGGGATTTATATGTATAAGTCAAAATTTTATATTCGACCCGATACTCTATCGGAAGCCAGTGAAGTTCACGTAAGAGAGGTGTTATGTGGTCATATTTGAGTGTTTTGGTCACAATTCTAGCTGCTGTATTTTGAACATGTTGTAACTTGGTCATTGACTGCTTAGAGACTCCATATAACAGTGCATTACAGAGATTTGGTTGCTTAAACAGTAAGATAGGGTCTGATATGACCAATTTGTCTTAATTGTGGATAACAGTTCCTACATACATTATTTACATGTTGTTCCATCCTCATGTTCGAGTCAAGAAATGCCCCAAGATTGCGCATACTAGATGATTGGCTGATTTTCGAACTGTCGACTGTTACTGTAACATCTGAAACGTTATGTTCAGATGAGAAGATGATCAACTCTGTTTTGTCGCCGTTTAGCTTCAGCATGTTGACATTCATCCAACTTACAATATCATCAAGACATCTTTCAATACGGTTTATGTTCTCTTGAATTGAAATACTAGTCACTGGTTTGAAGGATAGAAAGAGTTGTGAGTCATCTGCGAAGAAATGGTTGTTAAGCTCATGTTTACGGCAGATCACTCCGACATGTTTCGTATACATCACTAGCTCTTGGGTCACCTCTTGGGTCCCAGGACAGACGCTTGAGGTACACTGTACTCCATGTGGACTGGATGTGATAGTTTGTTGTTTATGCATACAGTCTGGTATCGGTCGGTCAGGTATGACGTCATCCATCCGAGTGGCTTGCCTGTAATTCCAAAGTGTCGTTCAAGGCGGCGAAGGAGCGTTCCGTGATCAATTGTATCAAAAGCAGCAGACAAACCAAGCATCACGAGAATAGTCAGATTGTTATTATCCAAAGACCGTAGAATGTCATTTTGAACTTTTAACAATGCAGTCTCGGGCGAATGGAACTTGCGATAAGCAGATTGGTTGACCTCGTGTAGATTATTTGTCTTCAGATGGCTCTCAATTCGTACGTCAACGACCTTTTCCAAGATTTTAGACAGGAATGGCAAGTTAGACACAGGCCTATAGATTTTCAGTTCGTTAGGATCTAGATTTGGTTTCTTTAGAAGTGGTCTTATTCGTGAGTGTTTGAACATTTTTGGTACATAAGCAGCATCCAAGGACACGTTTATAAAACTGGTTATCACTGGTGTTAGTTCATCTTGGCATTCCTTTAACAGCCATGTTGGAATGGGATCTAACTCACAGGATTTGGTGGCGGATTTTTTAATCAATGCTTTCACTTCTTGCTCTGTGGTTGGAGCAAACACAGTATATTTGACACCCGTATATTCAGATTCCATATCTACATTATCAGGTACCGATTGTGTTTGAGAACGTATGTTATTCCTTATTGTTTCAATCTTTCCGATAAAGTAGTCACTGAATTTCTGGGCAAGGCGCTCTGAAGATGAATCAAATGGTAGAATCACTTCATTTGTATCTCCAAGTAGACCTTTGGTAATCTTAGATAGACTTTTATGATCATTGCCACAAGACTCTATTTTACTTGTATAGTATTCTACACGAGCTTGTTTTAACATCTTGTTCACACTAGAACAGTGTGTTCTGTAGATCTGATGGTCTATTGTAAGTTTAGTTTCACGCCATTTCCGTTCCAGTTTACGTTTTTCATGTTTGGCTTCGTGGAGTTGCTCTGTATACCACGGACAAGCAGGTCTCAATGTAATAGTCTTGTTAATCATCGGAGCATGTTTATCCAAAATAGAGGTTAGACTGTCTGAATACTCCATCATAAAACCATCTATGTCAGAAGGGATACACTCTTTGTTGAAGAATTCCATTTTCCGTATGTCATCTCGAAAAGAATCAATGTCAATTGCGCGAAGTTTTCTGTAAGAAACCAATTTCCGTACCGGTGCAGGTTTTGAGGCTTTGACATCAAATGTAACAGCAAAATGGTCACGTAAGATATTTCCACTTGAATCAGAGAGTCCAGGATCTACGACCTCTATGTTTGATACAATGTTGTCTGTTTCCTTTGATATCACTACGTCCAATGTATGACCTGCAAGATGGGTTGGTTCTTGTACATGCTGATGCATACCACATGCATCAAGGTTACTTGTAAGTTTTCTCGTATCGTTGTTGTGTGGTATATCTAGATGAAGGTTCAGATCGCCTACTATGATTGCAGAATTGTCAACTGTAGCGTACTTAGTTAAGAAAAGGGGCCACTCATGATCAAGGAAAGTGTTTGTATTCAAGCCGTTCTGTTTAGAAGGAGGTGGTCTGTATATTACCGCTAGCCTCATAGAGTACCGCCCAATAACTACATTACAGTCCATGAACTAAAATTGTGAGAATTCCTTGCTTTGACTTGACGACTCAGTGGTGACTTGTATAGAAGCTTTATGGATGATAGCTACACCACCACCTCGCCTACCAACACGCGGGACATGTTTCATTTTGTAGCCAGGAGGTACAAGTTCACTGATACACACCTTATCAACGGAACTACCTAGCCATGTTTCAGTTATGGCACATATATCAAACTCACTACTGGAGAGAATAAAGTCACATATGGATAGGGTTTTGTTTTTCACTGAGCGTGTGTTCATTAAACATATTTTTTATGTTTGTTTGGCCTTTTACTGTTGTATTGTGTTCAAGATTTACCCGGATTAAGTTTTTCACACTGCACATGCTGAGTGATTTTTCTATACGTCTTCTCTGATTAACTTTTGTTATTTCTTGGGGAAGTAACTGTAAATTGTCAACATTCACACCATTGTTAGTATCCCAGGCTCGTCTAATCCCATATTGCCCACCTCTGTTCCCTCTGTATTGCATTAACTTAAGTCCTTTCAAAGTGTTGATAATAATAGGATTAAGTCCTTTTTGTGAACTTGGTAATTGCCCGATATTATACAGGTCTGACCGTGTATATATAATCCTCGTCGAGTTTCGCTCACTAAAACACATAATTGCTGTATGCTTTAAAAATAAAATATTAAAATGTATAGAACCATCAACGTTTTAAATTCCAAATATCTTTAAAACCACAAGAGTAATTCACAAGCAATTTATATCACTGTGATTACAAAATGAAACTACGTAATATATCAAACTTTGAAAATTTTCAGTCAAGTATAACTTTCACAAAACAATCAAGTTTGCAGAGCAACAAAAAATGCAGCCTACACCTGGCGCATACTATTTTCGTCCAATACAGTCTATTTTCACCAGTAGGGCATCCACATTATTTCATCAATCAGAGAGACATTTGTTTTCTATGCTAAACAGCATTTAAAATAGTTCAACGATTTATGTATTTTGAAGTTTTGCCTGTTATTTAAAGTTACATAAGAGAACTTGCGACTTTCAAAAATAAGCAGCACCTGGGGAATTCAAGTTTGAATATCCATGCTCAATAACTAAATCCCATTTTAGGTAAATCAATACTTCGGAAAATATTGTTGCAGACGACACGGAAAAGGTTGGGAAGTTCTGTTTGTCTGATAAATCATTTTTAACATTACTTTATGGTACTGAATTATATTCAAAATAAAAAAAGGTCCGAAAAACTGCTATGATTTTTTAATAAAGGTGAAAAAAGGTGTAACGTGTCAGGCTTATATTCAAATTAAAAAGTAAAATGAAAGTGCAACATTAAGCACATGGCAATGCTGGACAGGTACCTAACTTTGTCCTGTCAAAGTTTTGTACCCCTCCGTAGACTGACTTTTATTTAGTTTGTTAAAAAGTGCGATTTGTGTCCGGAAACTGCTAAGAAACCAGTAATATCATTCAACCGGAACGTTTCAGTACCATGACTTAGTTAATCACGTACAATTATGAAAATCGTCATTTAAGTAATTTTTATATATACCGATCTCATCAATGTTTATTGATTTCGAGAAGTGACAATTAGCGTGACTTGCATTAAAAATATTAACAGGTGTTACGAGGAACAGGATAAATTATGTGTTATTTCACTTTCCTTACAGATTTTGAAAAAAAAAATAACTATTTAAAATATATTTATGTCACTTAAAAATTATCTGCTTTGCATCACAGTCAAATAATGGATAAAATCAGGTAAATTGAACACTAAAAATGCATGATCACAATGTCTGTTCTGACTTTTTTCAGAATGATAACTAACCTCGATTTCATATGTTATAAAATTATTTTATCTTTTTATGAACTATTTCAACAACAATTTAGTTGACTCCCATTTGAAAAATATATATAATGCCACATTTTCTTAAAAATCTCAATGTCAGGTCCGTGACCGTAAGGTGAAATTCTTAAACAATTTCCTTTTCCATTCATTTGTATCGCAATCTTGGCCACAAAGCTATAAAGGAATATTTTCTATTTTTGTTAAAAGCTAATTTATATAATTTTCTACCTTTAACCTTAAACTAACTTGGAATTGTCTATGAACTTCTTTTATATTTCTATATTATTCTATGCGCTTTTTGCCCTACGCAGATTGCGCATGCGCGGGAAAATACTACTTCCGATCGATTTTTCATAGCAACGGACCGCGTCGTAAAGGTCTATAGCGGCTGCAAGTAGAGGAGCTCACCCAGGGCTATTAAACGGCGGCTCTTCCACATTTTGGCGATCAATTTAAATGAGAGCACTCGACACTTCCAATGAAGAGCCCTCGCCCAATACAAAGCTGAAAAGGTAAACACAGTTATAAAATTATTCGATTTTTTTCTTCTTTTTTTTTAAGGGAACGGAGATAGCATTTTTCTTCTCTGAGTTATATCTCGTGGAAACAAGATAGCAAATTTTGTCCCATCTGTGCTTCCGTAGCTATGCTAAGCAATTTCGATACGAAATACCTCAAAATAACGTTGCTGAGTATAGATTAAATATAGGTTAAAAGTTTATTAGTACGTATTTACAAAATTAAATTGGTCAGGCGCGGCGCAATTTTTGTAAATACGTACTAATAAATTTTAACCGGCATAGTGTTTTTAAATTATTTTTATAAACAGTCGATTAACTAGACTGATTAACAGTTTGCCGATTAACCAAAGTAAATGTGTTACGATTCATTAAAAATACTGCAATCCTATTGGACAAAAATAATTTCAAACACTAAAGTTTATTAGTACATATTTACAAAATTAAATTGCTTAGGGGCAACACAGCCGCGCGACCAATTTAATTTTGTAAATACGTACTAATAAATTTTAACTGGGTTTTTGTTTTCGATTATTTTTATTAACAGCCGATGAGTTATGATTCTTTTGAAATACTGCAATCCCATTCAACAAAAATTATTTCAAACACTAATAAACTTTAACCTATACTTAAATAAAACGGAATTATTTATTAATTGGTTAATCGAAAAATTAAAAAAAAAGTATGTGCTTTGTGAAATAGAGAGCTAAATATGAGTGTTTTAAGTGTTCAGCAATGTTCGCAGTCGTTCGACCAATTTAATTTGGAAATGCTGAGTCCTACTAATGAATACTAACCAATTTAGTGTTTTAATTTTTTAGGCAATTTACGTCATTAGCGGGGCGGAGTCTGGAATTTCTCGCTACGTAAAATATCACTAAGGTCAAAAATAATATTGTGCTTTTGACAATCGGAATTACCGTAGAAAATACAATTATTAATGCAGTGATGGATAACGTTCGAAATTTATTGACAAGTAATTGTTCAGCTAGAGGGTTAGAACTTGGTCCTTGACCTGTGTTATGCAATGGTCGAAAACGTACATTCATTATCAACGTTTATCGATTCTTTCTTATTATTTTCTATCTACTAATACTTGACTTCTATTAGATTCTATCCTATCATCATATACATGTACATCGAAAGGTCGAAAGTACGATGATGAAAACACGAAATTATATGAGTTTTCACCATCGTGGTTTTATTATTTTGACTTTTCATCATTGTGCTTTCAACTTTTCATCATCGACTATTCGCCGTTTCACGTTCGTGGTTTCGTTATTTCGACGTTTCACCATCATATGTTCGTGTTTTCGTTGTTTCGAGTTATGTGTGTGTCGCGATGGCCCTAACAGGACACCGTAGATATGACTAGCTGATAACATGTGGCTTTTAGTGAAATACTTGTGTTGAATATTTATTTGTTTGACATAAATGATTAAACTTTACCTTTATCAGTAGAACATTTATCATATTTATCAGCAGGTGTGTAAGGTTTTAAGATGAGTATTATATATCTTCAGTGAAAATCAACAATTTGTAGAACACATGCAAGGAGTATATACTACAATGTCTGAAATGTCGCCTGTTGACAAGCGAGGGTTTGGCTAAAAATCTCTGTCGTCCTTGTTAGTCGCATGTTGTTTACCTTAACGTTGCTCATTGTGACGATTAAAACATAAAATGACAGATAGCCAGTCCACCTGCACTTCTGAACTCTGCTTCTAAAATTATTTCTTGAGTATATGTTTGATTCTTGCTTAGATTAAAATTAAATATGTAAAACTCTTTCAAGTCGGTAATCATGTTCTATGTAGGATACCGTGATGTTAAATTTACATGCATTACATAATTTTGGTCTTTTGAATGGATCGATAAACGAAACGAGGTTTACAAAGATAAATAGCTATCCAAATTTGTCTCTTATCACATGGTCGTAAATCACGACAAAATTTAACACTTTTATCGCCTTTCATATTTAAGCTTTGAGAAATCAAAATTAAGTCTAACGAAGCCCCGATATCCCTCAATTTTTAGTCTCTTTCATTCTTTAGTAACATACTCTATAAATTAATAATAATCATACTCTCACTAGAAGCATTTTATCGACCCAACACAGTAACACACTGATATCAGTGTTAACTATCACCCTGTATATTTCAACCGAGAGAATGAGTTTTACTATCGGTGTGGATATAAAGGGCATATACTTAATGTACCAACATCATTTCACATACTTGCGATGACTCGGTTGAGTAAATGTTCACGGATTATTAAACGAGGATGCAAACTCTCCTGTATTTTTATATTGATCTTTACGTGTGTATGGATACTATACATGTTTACAGATTCCAGACTCTCGCTAGCGCCTTGTAATATAGAAATTCTTAATCCATGGGATCCGGCGGTGTCACAGTATTTCACCCGGCTTGAGCCTGTGAAGTGTTCAGAAAGACGACATATCATATACGTTGACAAATCCGGAGTGCTTAGATACAACGAAGACGTCGCGAAGATTTATAAATTGAATACAACGTCCGTGAAGTGTTCTTATTATCCCCTGAAAAGAGGGAAGGGGGATACGTATAATGTTACGTTTGATGCGGAAATACCGATTAAGCTTCCGTGTTTCGTGAAGTGTCACATGTTTCGGATACAGTGTGTAAATTCATTCGCGAAAATCGTTTATGACTTTTTACACTTTAATCCAAAATGGAACGAAAATGCTAAGGATGACAATGAAGTTGAAGCAGAAACCGTAGACACACCCAGCGTAATAGTGCTTGGAATAGATTCTGTGTCGAGGTCGCATGCTATTAGAGCCTTGCCTAAATCTTATAATTATTTAGTGTCAGAATTTCAAGCTAATGACTTCGTTGGTTATAACCGGGTCGGTGAGAACACGTGGCGGAATTTTATTCCACTTTTGGCGGGAAGAAGTCATCGTAAGTACCTGATAACGATGCATATGATCTTTCACATAGATTTGATTCCATTCATCTGGTACGAAAAGGAGATGGCGAAAGTCTCCACATTTTATGCCGAAGACAGACCTGAGCTCTCAGCTTTCACGGTATTCGGGCAGCTGGGTTTCAAACTCCCACCCACTGACTATTATTTCCGACCATTTACCCAAGGTGTGAACTCCTTTGCTCCAAAAATAATTGACAAAGTTACACAATCAAAAGATTGCTACGGACCAAAAACAATGTTTGATATACAATTAGACTACCTCAAAGGATTCTTACAACGTTATGAAAGGAAAAGAAAATTTGCCATGTCTTGGAGCACACAGATTAGCCATTCTAGTTACAGCCTGTTGAGTCGATCTGACGAGGCCTTCCTAGATTTTCTGAAGTGGTTGAAAGCAGGAAATCACACCGAAAATTCCATACTTATAGTTATGAGTGACCATGGGCCTAGAATGGGAGGCGCAGCGCTGACCCACGTTGGCCGAGCTGAAAACAACAAACCTTGGTTCATGCTACACATTCCCGACAATCTTAAGACCAAGTACAAATGGATTCAGGAAACAGTTTTACACAATTCAAAGCGACTTACTTCCCATTATGATACTTATAAGACTATATCCGATATATTCCAAAATAAAGCGTTTAATACGAAGACTTATAGACCGGTGCGGGATACCTTAACACGTCGAAATTTATTTCACTCTTTACCAAAGGATCGGACATGCGTTGATGCGGGTATTGAGGCACAGTTTTGCACTTGTGACAGAAAAGAATTAGTCCAGCCTACACTGGATATAGTTCAGTCAATAGCTAAATTTTTGGTAGAAAAAATAAATGAACTAATATCTGAGAATGAACATCTTTGTGGAGTATTCACTCTTCATAACGTGACAGAGGCATTAGTGTCTTATTCAAAACCGGAAGAAGATATGAAAATTCGCGATAAAGTTTTGCAGTTTCTATATTCAGACAAATCAGGGCGATACAAAGTTGTGTTTTACACTATTCCAGGATATGCTTTGTTTGAAGGAACTGTAGATTTCGTTGAAATTTCTTCAAAGAAAATAGAGCACAGAATGCGACTTATAGGAGAGCTTATTAGACTTGATAGATATGACGCCAAATCAAAGTGCATGAACGATAAATTTATACGACCTTACTGTGTGTGTAAAGGTTGACATATCAAAACAAAGCAACCGTGTCGAGAGATTAACGGTCAGTGGTTTTGAAATCAAGTGTCCACTCCGCACTTTGATTACAATTGTTCAAGTGGTAATGAAGAAGCACTCAGTGGTAATCTAATGGGAGGAGAAGAGATCGAGACGGTTCAGCGAACATATTGAATGGGGGGAGGGGTTATAATTGTTCTCTTCAATCTCGTGCCGGAAATGACTTTATCGCCAGTGAAGCTGCAAGATGCGAATACCGTCGACAGTGTCGACTGACTTCAAAAAAAACACACACACAGAAAATGTGTAAAAAAAAATATACGTACATTTTGTATATTATTATGACGTTAACAGTATATAGTGTATTCCCGGCAACCGGTTTAATGAAAGATGAGAATGTCACTTCTTCGGGATAGACAAGCCAGAGTTATTATTATTATTGTTGTTGTTTTTTATAATTATTATTATTATTATTATAATTATTATTACCATTTTTGTTATTGTTATTATTATTTTATCATTATTACTATTTTTATAATTATTATTATTATTATTATTATTATTATTATTATTATTATTATTATTATTATTATTATTATTATTATAATTATTGACAAATTTGAAAGACCTAAAATAATCATATTATTCATATTTTTCCTTTCATCAAGTATTATAAAATAAAACAGCATTCAATTAGCGGACAAGATACGTACTTTTTATATTATTTTTTATTTATATATTTTATTTATTTATATTTTTGTATCTTTAAATTAACATCATATTGATATCGACTTTAAAACAAAACGGTTTAACAATGTTAAGCTGTCACTAAGTACTTTTATCTTTCAATAAAGTTATTTATTGCCAGTATTCTTATTGCTAATTCAAGTCCCTGCGTACTGTTCTTTTGTTGTGATTTTAAAAAAGCTGTTACTTATGTTTAGAATAAAAAGATGTCCGCATTCATACAAAACAAGTATAATCTTACTTGAATGGTTGTAATGTGTAATCTTTTCATAGTGAAAAAGATGCAGTGCGAATTTAAAGCATAAACCATGCTTGTGATTTTATCAAAAAGTAACACTGAAAATAATATTAAATTAAAAAATGCTAAGAGGCATCCACTGCCGATATACATAATACATTATTTCATGTCCAAACCTACACAAACCCTGAACAGCTTATTATATATGTTTTTAGTCATACCAACACTATTTAGGCCATATGACGACTTTCATAACCTCTGATCCCCTTTCGACCGCCTCCGTGGTCGAGTGGTTAGAGTTGATGACTTCTAATCCAGTTACCTCTCTGGCGTGGGTTCGATCCCCGGGAGATGCTTTGGTAGTTTAGCGCGGAGGAAGGTAGTCAAGTACTGGTGTAACTCTCCAGGAACGATGGTTAGGAAACTACCCGCCTATATGACTGAAATACTGTTGGAAAAAGGCGTAAAATGACACAAACAAACAAACAATGATCCCCTTTCATAATTCCTTTTTATTCAGTTCCGCCCATTGTTTTTATCGTTTAGGGCACACGCATTTTTTAACTTGGGGACAATATGCCGCTTTTTACGTGTCACATTGAAGGTTCCGTGATAACCGCCATATGAACACATCTGCGGATGTTTTAAAATTGTATACCAGTTCATGTTTAATGTTGAATTCTGCTTAAGCCGGTGCTAGGGGGCGTGGACGGTAGTTTGCACTTGACAGTACCGTCCATGAACAGGCCTTAATCAAACCGAACCTTCGACATTTTGAATTAGCCGTGTTGGGCTTTCATTAGGGATTCGTATTTTTTCTATTTTCAAACCTTAATGGTGGATTGGTGCATTATAGCACAAAATTGCACATAAGAACAACCACCGACGTGCCGTTAGCAACAAGTAGATGGATAGCATCCTCAAATGACAGATTTAAAGTCCAAGTCGGAATTCGAACCCACAGCAGCGAGGGACAAGTAATTCGAAACGACCTTAACCCCTCGATCACGGAGGTCCAATATCCTTTGCATATATTTACTAAACACATATTTTTTTCCTAAGACTCTGCGAATGTACAAATATCACAAATTTAAATCATCATTTTCGTTAATTGCAAAATTACTTCGTTCTATGCATTTTGAAATGCAATCCAATAAAATCATTAAGACAGGATTTAAGACAATATCCTTTTATTGGTAAAGGATGAACTCTTTATTTGCTCGCTGTTGTCCACATAAACGAATACACCACCCTATTTCGGTATGCGATCTCTTCAATGATGCATATGACCAGTTTCTGTTAATCGCGTTCCTCTTGACCTTCAAATGCTTTTGCATGCCCCTTGGTTGTATTTTCATTGGTCTAATATTTTCTGGAAATCCAGTGGTATGTTTCACTATTAAAGTTGGACCTTAATCAGTAGCGGGGCTTGAAAATACACTTGTGTGTTTTTATGTTTTATGAATTTGATAACCTTGACCTTGTTGTAATTCTTACAGCTCTTTGTGACAAACTTTTTCCACATATGCTGTGGGTCTTTTTTTCTTTCATATAATTTCAATCCTATATCACCGATTTCAAAATTATTATCATTTAAAAGGACAAATCATGTGAGGTAATCTTCATGAATTTTTGCAACTAAACAGTATACTTAAGAAACTGACCCACATTTGTAAAGAAAAATTCAAGTTGATAAAAAAAATCTTATAAAATAAAGAAAGCAGAATCCGTTAAGAGTACCCAAAACGGTTAAATTGAAAATGCTACAGACTCGTTTTGATTGAACTTTTTTTATTGACGATACTAAAAAATGCATGCTACCGTCCACGACCGCTAGCACCGGCTTAAGCAAAATCCAACATTTTAACAAGAAAATGCTGAAATTTTGAATTTTGCGACAACCACATATGTGTTTATACGGCGGTTATCATTGAACCTTTTGACAAGATTGTGCCATTCCATTAAAAGCGGCGTATGATCCCCAAGTTAAAAGAAATGCGTGTGTCCTAAACTTGAACAGAATTAAATAAAATATAATTTTGAAAAGGGACCAGAGAGTATGGAGCCTGCTAATTACAGATGAGATTTCAAAAGAAAATCAGGCAACATTTCCTTAGGGTGATTATACCTTATTGAAGCTGGAATACTGGAACCAACTAGAAATAGATCAAATAGAAGGAACTAAATGTTCCACCAACATGCACAAAAACAACTATGTCGTGCTAAACGATCTCCAAGACAACCATCTTTGCGGCTTTAAGGCGCATTAATTATGTTTTGATAAAATATTCCAGCAGGAGTTTCGAGAATATTCACAACAATTCAAAATTTCTAAAATTCTCTTAATATTTAACAATAAGTTTTTTTTTACGGAAATACTCAGGGGCAATAATGCTATCTGATTCTCTGGCACACTGAAGAAAACATGACAAGTGTGTTGAAGCTTGATTTTTCAACACATTTTAATTATATCAATAATCAATGGACATAGACTAATGTAAAAGACAATTACCCTCAAACAGGGTCTTTCAAATAGAAATTTGATATGCCCTGCCTCAAATTAAAAAAGGACTATCCAACCGAAATACAAACATTGGCGATGCACGAACTACTTGTATGTGCAGTGCCCAGGTGTTCACCTATAAATCTGCAGTTGCAAGACCATGCTCATCAATGAGGTAATATAAGAGATAAAACTGTCGTAAAAAGGCTGTTATGAACTTATGAGAACAGCAGGTCTAGTATTGTATGGAAAATGCACTCTGTATGCATAAATTATACTCTTTCTTTCTTTCCAGATCAGTTGCAACTACGTAATGCTGGAAACTGTTAGTCATTACGCCTTAAAATGTACTTTTAAAACACACCTTGCGGCATGTCTCATTAAAATGTACTTTGAAAAGGCATGTCTAACAGGATCGGAAGTAACATTGGTTTCCTGCATATCATACATGTACTTTATAAATTAATGTCAAGAGCAGATAATCCAGAAGAGATGGGATGAGAGTGATGTTTACACACGTTGTTGATTTGATTGGTTTTAATTCTAGCGAAAATCAAAATAAACAAGATTGCCATGGACTTGTCTTGAATAATTTGATTCAGATTCATTTGAAAATAAATAAATAAACTGTTTTATTAATTTTATTGTGATGTTTTTATACAATTGTGTTATATCAATTGATATGTTTTTAATAACATATTACAACATAATAAAATGACAAAGCACTGTCATCCAACTGTATAATGAGAATAATGACGCTTTTGAATTAAAACCTACTTTCTCACATCTTAAATGACTTAATGATACATATTCACGAAAACGTCTTCTATTATTTCGTACAAAATAGTTTTGTAAAAAAAAGCATTATGCATCTGAACAAAACTCATAATCAAACTTTAAAAAATGTATTAATTTTCACAATCCTGATTTAGTTTTGAATTCTAAATGCAATACATGGCATGCATCACTTTTTTTTACTGGATTCAATTCCGTTTCTAAATCAGTTCTGCTTATTTCTGGTTATTGTGAAATATGCTATGGATAGTAAGTGATTTATATTAAATCATTAAAATTACACGCTAAAAATTAAGTACAAAAAAAGCGCAATGCATTTTTACAAATCACAGAAATGCATAAATGTTCACATTCCAGATCCAATTTTGAATGCTTAAATGCAATACATGACCGAATTCTATTCCGTTTCTAACACAGTGCTTGTTATTTCTGGTTATTTTTAACACGCAATAGGTAGTTTTTGTGGATAATACTTGTAAGTGATTTAGGCCAGATTATATCACTGAAAGTGCACTTTTGTTTCAAGAACAACCGAACGTATCATGTGACATACCAATATACTGTTCTATATATTGAAATAAGTGTTATACATTCAGTATATTGACATACTCGTATATATTGTTCATTAAGTCAAATCTATAAAGAAAGTCAGAAAATTGAGAAATCCATTTGGTAATCGATTAGATTATTACTAATAATTAGATTGTTGTTGTTGTAGATATCATGGTGTTGAAGATGAACAAAATATCATGCTCGTAATAAAATGCACATAACTAATAATCTGCCAGTTAAAATTATACCTCTCATTTATTGCTGAAAGAAATATATATTATTTATAACAGTATCAACAGATAGAAAATTTTATTGATATTTTAAGAATATAACTTCTGTAATTTAATGATTCCTTTATTTTGCCAGGTTAAGTAGTATATTAATTTTACTGTCGCATATCAGTTCAGTAGATTTTAACATTGCAGGACTTTTATTGAAATATTTTCAATACACTGTTTCTTCAAGTTAATAAGAAACATAGACATGTCAGTATGAAATGGTATTCGTCTTCGATATCAAAATTGTTACACATTTGGTAGATCTTTCTGGTCACGTGTCTCATAGCCTTCACTGTTTGTATATTGTTTGTTGTTGTTGTTGTTTGTTTGTTTGTTTTGTTTTTTTTTGTTTGTTTTTTGTTTTGTTTATGTTTGTTTTTTGTTGTTGTTTTTTTTCTTTTTAGGGAGGAGGTGTAAGTTATTTTGTTAATTTTGGATGTGCAAGGGGGTATGTGGGGTCGGAGAGAGTTTGTTTGTTTGTTTTTTCTTTTTACTTTTTACTTTTCGTGCTTTTGTTTATTTAATTGGCTTTTGTTGTTGTTGTTATTAATGTTATTGTTGTTGTTGTTGTTGTTGTTTATGTTCACGAACACGTGGAAACAGTTAAGAGTTTGTAAAAATCTGTAAGCACGCCTCTTAAAAGCATCTAGTCCATTTTTTATATACACTGCTTTATTTACTGTCTGTTATACATGTAGTCACTTAAATTATAGAGAAAAACACACTCCAGCGATAATTTCTCTCACAAAACGTAAAGCAAGTTTACAGAAGTAGGCCGTCTAGATTGAATTAAAAGATAAAGCGATCACGTGTTAAGATATCTTTTCTAGAATATCATGAATTCTCTCACTAAAAAACTCATTTTGTTTCATTGAGAGTTTTTTTAGATGATACATGTATGTACAGTGTATGTTCCTGTACTTTATGTTCTGTTCAAGTATCAAAAGTACATTTTTGTATACAAAATGCTTGTCTTATATTCTTGTTGTTACTTTGTCTAAAAAAAATTGCATTGTTGATGATAATTTGCAAATAAAGATACATATATATCGAACCAATTATAGGCATGTCTAAAGTATTGATGGGCTCAATCTCGAAAGTCTAAATCTCAACCAAAAACAAACAAAAAAGGAATATTATTGACATTAATATTGATAGTTATATTCATTTAGCTAAAACTGAAACTGTTTTTCTAATTTTACTATTGTTACAGCATTTCGAAACATTTAAAAATATTTTCACATGGTCAATGAGAGAACAAGTTAAGGAAGAGTCAATTTATTAAGCAATTGATAAATCGTTGCAGATTCAAATGATAAAGTCTAGACATGCATCCATAATAACAAATGTATGCATGAACAAACGAGATCAAAGCCGTGCAGACGAACAATCATGTATTCACAGGGCTTGTAGCAGACGTTACTTTGATCTTACCTGCTTCAATGAACCTTACAATTTAATTATCTGCTTTCATTCAACTAGATAGTGTACATGTAAATGTCTTTTCGTAAGTTACAGTGTACCGTACTTCAAAAAGCTAGTACTTATAAATACTTAAGCTTTACATCCATTTCAAGTACATTTGAAATTAGAACATTTATTCATTTATTATCAAAATCTACTTTTTATAAAATAAGGAATACAAATGTACATGTACATGAATTCGAAATAAGAAATTATAAATAGAATAAAATATAAAAAAACGATACTATATGCAAATTGATATTTTGAGTTTACCTTTTACTAAGAATTTTTTATTGTCTTGTTAAATCAAACATCAGAAAACCCTTTGGTTTATAGAGACAAATTAATTATACATTCTTCTCGTACTGTTTGCGAGCAACAATTGATAAATAAAATACAATTGTGCTGCTCAAATTGTTTTAACTACATCAATTACAAAGCTACAGTAAATGAATGACTAATTTTCATGTTTAACAAATTAATAAATTAAAGACTAGTAAAATTAATGATACTCGTCACTAACGTTCTTTTTATTGCAAAGTTTACAATTTATATGATATATAAGGACTCCATTCACAGGCTTAAGACTAATTATCTTAAAATCGATGATAAAGGAGCAAATCTATTTAAACTTATTGATGTCCAAAATGGAATTATTACAGATGGTCTAGTTCTGTAATATATTTTTCTGTTGAGAGAAGGCGGTGGCTTATCACTAGGTGACCTAATTTTACAGTCTCTTACACCGCTTATCTAAAATGTTTCTGTAAAACATAACTATGTGAAAGTATCGCATTTCACGGGGAACGCTAAGGGTTAAAAAGTTAAAAATAAACATTTTAACAAGATATTGTCAAAATAGCACTTGTTTTGAGATATCAATTGTTTCGAAGATATTTTACTGTTCTTTTTATTCAAATTTAAACAGATTGTACCATTATATCAGTAAAAATCCGGAAGATGTATTGTTAATTAATTTTTTTACATTTTTTTTCTTTAAAATTTTCTTTATGTATTTAAACTTTTCCGTATTTTAAAAAAATGGAATAATCAGTATGAAAGGTTTATCTGCACTTGCTGATACACTATGAACTATTTTCTTCCGCATTTTTTTATTAAAAATAAATTCGACGTTCAATAATTATATCACTAACATGAACAAATAGTACCTGTTTATCCGTTTATATATGCTTGCTTATTTTATTTTACTTTTTTATTCATTTATTTTTTTTTAATTTTTATTATTATTATTTTTTTTCATAAAAAAGTTACATAAAATATATTTGTAATTAATCGATTATAACCTTTTACCCGTCTTTAAAAAAGTTGCCTTAAGTTTACTTCAAAAACATGTTTTAAAAAGATACATGTATAAATCATTACAAATCCTTAACATAATGGAATGCCCACTTTATTATATACATAATCATGTAGTCATGGTTCCACGTGAACACATTAATGCATTTACACACCGCTTTCTCTGCCGCTTGGTTTTTTGAATAAATGCTGACTCGTAAAGAATCTAAAATTTAACGCCGCAATATCCCAAAAAGCCTCTTGGAGCCCCATAAAACAGAAGTACAAAAACCACATGCTACGTCATGTAAAATTAAGTTATCTCAGGGAACTTTTCTGCTGGCCGCCATTTTCCGTTGGTTGCAGTTAGTTCTCTGATCACGAGAGAAATAAGGCAACCAGGGACGACAACTGACCCCTTTCGTGAGGAAGGGACATTGTGCGGACAACGGACAATGCAGTGGTAAAGTAAGAGGGCATTTCTGGAGTAATTGCGTGACGGATTTCTGGACTTTTGTGCGTAAAGACGGCGGATTGCGGCGGCCCTTAATTGAAAGAGGGTCTGCCACGTAGTCAAAGAGAAAAAATGGATTTACGGACTAGAATCATGGCTCTTGTGTTATTTTATTTATTTGTTTTATTTTGTCCTTCTCAGGCTGCAAATTCCATGCTTCCGGAGGGTAAGTTGAAAAATAAAATATATAATCAGTTAAAAAAGAACATTGTTTAGTTATAAAATGACACATGAACGTCGCGTTATTTTGAGTTTGATTGTTTCATTGATTCATCTATTCTTAAACTTTCTGTACTATGATTAAGCACTTAGTTGTGCGAAAATTGGTTTTACTTGTTACATTATTATTACCAATTTTGACGCACTTTTTAACACAAAAGCTGTTGGAAACCTATTGCTTTTAACATATTTGTTTAATTTACACGCAGATCAGTGCTTGATATTAATAAAAATGTGTTTTTTAATACTGCACATATACATTTATGATTTGATCAAGACCCTAATAGAGGCATTAGAAGATCGAGTTCGTTTTAAAAGTAGATTGGTCTACAATTGGCATATTTTCAATAAGTATTTCAAATATTTACCAAAACAATGGAAATGTATCATTTGGATATTGTTATAAAGTATGTTTTCAGAAATAAAAGTTAATCTAGTTCTTAGTGTTTAGTATGTACATTTATATGCTGAATGACAATATTTTTTTAAGAACAATTTATTATCTGCTATGTATAGATTCCAATATCGGGTCATGTATCTACCACTTACCAACAATACCTATTATATGTAATTCTTTCGGGATTTGCTGTCATATGTGATACTAGTCCAACTAATTGTACTGCGCGACGAGATATTGTGCTGTTTTGTGTCTGGGTCTAAAAAGCAAGATTCTGACCCAGAACGAAAATATCTCAGAATCTGGCTTTGGCACGTCAATATATTTTGACTAATATACTATATACTGTGATACTAGATAATACCAACATAAATAGTTATGATATAACTGACCTTCCATGATGGACCAATTTATTTTAAACTATAGTATCGACAACTCTGATATTAAAAGCCACAAGTTTGCAACATTTGATACGAGTTCACATCAGTATATGTACATGTAAACTTTTGATTAAAATTGTTTAGGAACGAAATTTGCTTTTATAATAAAAATGTTGTGGTCTGCACTTAATACTTAAGTTATTACTTTGATGTGAGGGCGTATCTATATATAAAAAACTTTAGATTGAAATTGAATAGGAAGGATATTTGCCTTGATAATAAAAAATGATAAATATATATACTTCTCGTTAATATATTCAAAAATAAATAGTCTGAACCATAAAGTTTGGAAATCTTCGAGGGAATACACTAATGTTTTACACTATATTGCTTTGAATTCCAGGTAAAAGTAAACTAATAAAACAATATATCACGGAGAAAACGTTCATTTGTTTTAGTAATATTTCCATAGCAGCAATGGCTATATTTTTACGAAATTCATGTACCATTTGATATACGTCTGGACTAATAAAATGTGTGATTCGCTTTTTCTTCAAAATGATAATTTTTATAGTACGAAATGACCCATAGTATGCGAAGCGTTTTAAATTAGTCTAAAACTGTATACCAAACCGACTGGTATATTTCTAATTATCGTCTGCATATCTTTCTGGTTTAAGTGTTGCAGTTGATCCGTGAAAGAATTTTAATTTTTATGTTTTAGCTTTCGGACCTCAGTTCGTATTAGTTCGTATGTATATGTTAACGATTACAATGTTATCGCAAACATGAAATAGGATTATTTCTTATAAGAACCATTAAAGTAATCTAAAACAGATTGCTGAGTATGTCCAGGCCTCTGGTTCACAAAGAAAAGATCAGAATCTTAACTAAATAATCCTGATTTTATTTTATGATACAAACATATCTCACACGCTATACAAAAATGGTTGATATGCAAAAAACAACATATTTTCAGAAAAAAAAATAAGTGAACAACGAAACCAAATACAAGAAAACTGAATAAAAAATAACATCAATTTTTAGGATCAAGATCAATATTTGAATCTACTGTTAAACGTATTGATCTTTCAAAGTAATAAACGTTTTTAGTAAATTATAATACTTTTCCAACAATAAACAAAGGGGAACTTTTAAGTTGAATTTTTATCCTGATTTTGATTCTGATACATAAAGTCTTAGTGAACACGGGACCAGGTGTAAGTGATGATACCAAACAGCCCACTGATATGCTTGTTTACATTATCACATTCAAAATAAGATTTGTTTTACACTTTAAAAGTCAGAGTGCAACAAAGGCTTTCAATGTAGAATTGCTGATTCGTCAGTTTCTTTGAAAATGAAAAGCTGATAAAAATCTCCTGAAAAATAAAATGCACGTAGAGCTATGTTTAACGACCGTATACAAAACGCAATATGTGCATGTTGGTGAATATAGAAAGGATCGCAACTGCATAATGTTTTAGACCGCAGAAGCTATTGCATATGTTTAAAATTAATTTTATGACAGTATTAACCATTCTGTTTTCTTTTTCTCGTTCGCGGCTCAAAGAAGTCGACTTATTTTAATGAGAAACATGTGTTGAATTTCTCCTGTATTTATTTCTTAGTTTGCAAATTAAGCACTTCACAATTGAAATAACGATGTTCATCAAATCGTTTAATCTTTTTGAGCGATATAAGCCATTATGCGTATCAACTCGAACATTTGCAAGTTCTGGCTACGTTTGGTTTAATCAAATACTTTTCTCTAACGGCAATGGGTTCGAGTTAGATTTCTCACACTTTGATCGAGTAAGATGTCAAAGACTCGCGTTTAGTAGTTTAATTTCAACTGAAATTTGATTTTCAAAGCAACATATTTCCTTAATTATTGATAACTTACCTAAACACAAGTATCCTTTCAATATAACTGCCCAATTTTACTATTTGCTATAGGTACAAATGAGCCGCATCATGATAAAACCAACATAATGGGTTTGCGACCAGCATGGATCCAGACGAGCCTGTGCATCCGCGCAGTCTGATCAGGATCCATGCTGTTCGCTTACAAACCCTTTAACAAGTAGAGAAACTGATAGCGAACAGCATGGATCCTGATCAGACTGCACGGACGCGCAGGCTGGTCTGGATCCATGCTGGTCGCAAACCCATTATGTTGGTTTTGTCATGTACAAATGTATTCATAATACGCATCATGATGAAAAGCCATAGCCACCAGACTGAGTTTAGAGCCAGGCCAACTTGCACATCCGTTTATTTTTCTGATAAGGCTCCTTTTTATTCGTTACTCAATTTTTTTTTGTATTTTGAAATTGAATTCCCTTTAACTTGGAATGGACTGTTCCAAATTCAAAGCAGGGCAAATACATTACACAAAATCAGCAGGTTAAGGGTTACATATAAATGATATTCCGCGAATTAGCAAGGTTAAAACACTTACACATAATACTTAAACAAGTTCAATGACCTTTCACCTGCATATCATATCATCTAAATTCCAGTTGTTTTAGGAGAAAATGGGTCATTGACCTAAAACTCGCCATTCCGTTAATAAGTAATTTATACAGGTACCAGTCAAACACAGGAGAACACTATTAAACAAAAGAACATATGTTGATCCGTTATATATGTTTTAATAGTTTACTTTTTTTCAAAGCAACATAGTGTAAATCTTTAGTGGAGTCCCTCAAAGTTCTCCAAATTTTATGGTTTAGATTAACTTAATTTACAGTAGGGAGGAGAACACTGTTAGCTACCCTGTAAATTGATGCAAAGTACATGTATAAAAATTAGTCGACATTAAAGTGTACAAATTTTGAAGCAAAAAGCAGTGAAATACAAATAATAACAGCGATAAAAGATGACAAAATTTGAGTATAAGATCTATTTCACCATTAAGCCAAAAATGCTCTTTTCTTTTTTTTTTATAATAAAGCCTTTTTCTTTTGGTGTCCTGAAATAGTTTCTAAAACGAGGAACATTTGTCCTTAGCTGAGCCATATATTTGCCTATATTTTTGGCATTTATTACTGTTACAGTGATTTAGTATTTTGTCAAAATACCACTTTGCTACCCTTGTCACAAATATTTCACATTCAGTGCTACATCCTTCCGGAGATAAGCATATCACATGTTCTGAACCCATTGTTACATCATTATACAACACATGTTTGCATTTGTATAGAAAAACAATACGTCTGAAGCATGAATTCTGAATACCTAAGATGTTATGCAGATAACGTAAGTGGCATCGAACAATTTGTCTAAAAGAATTCGATTCCTTAGCCGTTTCATAGACTTTTTCCTGCTTACTAGGAAATCAGCTAACTAGCTGGCGATAATTTAGTCCTTATTAAGGTTGCGTTCATTCAAATTTTGTTAGGACAGCTTATTTTCAACACTTTCTTTCGGCGTCGTTTTCTTCGTTTTGTTCTTGTCTGGTTGCGAGCGTGGCGTGATGTCACCAGTGCAAAGACGAAAAAACGACAATGAAACTGATATCGCGCGACGCGTTGTCGTAACAACACTGATTAAAAGTATGATCAAATCAATCACAAAAGTTAAAAGCACCTTATAATGCCCCGTATTGCCTAGGTGGTCTCCATCGGCTGATAAAAGTATAACTTTTCACAATCACAGTCATTCTTATGAGCGATTACATTTTGTATATGACATATTAGCCATTGCACGAAGTCGTAGCTTTGCATGCAAGTGGGCAGCGAGAAACGACAAAAGTCATCATGTGTACCATCTTCTTATGCACATTTACCCTTTAATTCTACAGGTTCCATTGATTTTATGAACGAATGGTTCCGGTATGCTGATGCCGAGACACAACCAGTATTCACCGAGGGTATGTGCCCAGCTAGACCGAGCACAGGGCCCGATGGTGCTTTTGCTGTCCATGCGTCATGGGACTATGATATGGCGTCACTAGTCGGAGGTTTGTAACATATTTTCGCGATTTATGGGAAATGTATATAACTTTCAAAGATTTGTTGTTGATGTGTACTAAAGTATAAGTTTATACCAATATATTTTTAGTTCGATTGTGTTGGAAGCTATAAGCTTATTGAAACACTCTCGAATCCGTTCCTGGAGCCATCCACTACTAAGCAACGAGTTTGAAGTTTCTTGCTCACGGAAACAACGGCTTGCCCCTGACGGGTTTGAAATCACGCGGTCAGCAATCCTTAGATTACTAGTCCGGCCTTAACCACTCAGCCACGCCGCCATACTGCCTGAGTATTAAAGTTTAGATAATAATTCCTTTAGCAATTCATTTCAATATAAATACATAATCTATATTTGCAAGTTGCCATCTATAATAAAACAGCTATTCAAACAAGCGTTAAATGAGCTATGATTGTACACGTGTACTTGTATATACGTAACCATGACGCTTTTATTTTAGAAAATTTGACAAATAACGTTTTAATTCCATACAAATAATAGTATTTGATTATGTTACTATGGCAATTTGAAACATGTTGATTTGCAATAAAAGATCATTTACAGAATGATATATTGTCAACATGCTTGATATAGTCATCAAACGGTGGAGAAACGGTAGAGCGGGTGACTCAACAGGAAGGAATTGCATGTATATGATTTCACTTTGTATGAAATAACAAAAAGTTATATTGAATCTTATTTTTTTAATTGAATAAGTATAATCGTTATGATATTTTACAGAGCGGTTCTCTAGTGACAACTTCTCCGTGCTCGTCACGTTTAGAAGCTCCGCAGCTACGGACCAAAGCATAGAATTGTTCAGGTTTGCCGGGCAATACGGACAAACTGATCTGGCGTTCCGGTTCGGAAAAGAGGAATCGTATGTAATATATACCGGACTCGTAGAGGACCAGGATAAAATTCCTGAAGAGACCGTTTGGACTATCCCTATTTCCATAAAATCGAACGAGTAAGATCTTTGTATTTTTCATGTGAAGATTTGGACACCATGTTAGATTCAAGCCCCGCTTATCTCGAATTAAGGACATGTCTATCATTGAATTTTGAACTGTTGAATGCAAGTTATTGAAATACAGAACAATGAGTACTTAAAAGCGATGTCGAATTTGCTTAGCTATTTTGTTAACTGGTGACATCCGTGCAATTTTTATACCGTTCTTAGCTATTTTGTAACAAGAATTTCTCTTCAAACTTTCCACTACTTTGTTCGTGTTTTTATACAGAATTTCCAAATAACCAAGTATACACTTTCTTTTGCGAATGAGTATATAAATGTTGTTTATTTGAGAGGTTTGATTTCCGATGCATGAACCATTCTTTTTATTAGTATTATCGGGTTTTACGTTTAGGTCAATAGGCGACTTTCCAGCTGAACTGGTGGAGGAAGAAATCAGGTGCCACTCTGTGCGTCAGATCAGGCACAAACGGGCACCTGAGTAGAACCACCGACGTCCCTTAATTGTATTAATAACTATGATTATCTTACGAAGGTATTATCGTTCGATATTTCAGGTGGAACCGTGTGGCCTTCAGTATAGTGGCGGGAACAATCACGGCATTTCACAATGGTGCTATTGTCGCCAACAGATCCGAAGCTGCTTACGTTAGCAAAGACGGAGAATTTTCTGTGTCAGGTGGATACGAGCAATTCAAGGTAAAATGACGTAAAATGACATAGCTGATACCTTGATATCCTGAATAAATATTCCGAACCAAATAATAACACACCACTTCATTGTCTATTCATTTAAACCATGAAAATAAATTGTCATTTATTATTTTGAGCTATTTTTGCTCCTATTGCCATTTTGTATTCTACATTTTATTTCCTAAAAATTAAGTTATTGGTCAATAAATCATTCTACAGAAAGGAAAACACCAATGACTACCGGTTTCTTGAATGTTCCTTTGCTGAATGAAAATTAACGTTTTTCTGCCAATTAATAAATCGTACACTCATACGAATTCCGCTTATTTTTCCACTTTCTGTGAATATGGTCATAAGACATCATTCTTTATATTACACGGAAAAGGACGATTTTTTTCGGATTTTCAAGAGTTTAAGATGTAGTTAAGTCTAGCAAAGTTTTTAACCATCTGTTACAGGGTGTAATCCAAGACTTGCTGTACGTGCCCCTTGATTATGCTGCGTATGAACAAGGTTACAAGTACTGTCCAACGTGTGATTATGAGTTCCCAGAACCAGACCCGCACGGGTTTGCCTTCAGGAGTGCGGGAGGGGGCAGTGGGAACTTTTCATACGGATCTGCTCATGAAGGAGGGAAAATGGAAGCTGGATTTGCTATTGGAATGGACAAGAAGGAAACTATTTATGTGAGTGTTTGCGTTGCGGGGAAAATAATATCGAATTATTTACCTCAAATATCAAAATCTTGAATAGAAATAAAGAGAATACGTACAAAAAGCCATTTAAGTCAATAATAACTTTGTCTATTTTGAACAACAGTGTAACTGCAAACCTCACAAAAGTAAGATGAAATGCTTATAAAAATATTTTCAATTTTTGACAATGATCAATTAAATAAAGACAATTTTTTTATCTGCAATAAAGCTATTGTGTTATCAAATAGATGTATCCAGCTGTGCACGGCAAGCAAGAAAGGTTAAACAAGAGTACAACTTCTGCGGAGGAAAACCATTTGGGAGACAATCATTTGGGTTGTTGCTAAGAGATGTTGCTTGAAAGAGTTAAAAAATATTTTGAAAGCATACTTTTGGGTGAATTCATTTGAAAATTGGTAAAGAAAGAATTGCTGTACAATGGGACGCTGTGTAAATCTTGCAATGTATATATGTGTTAGAATCAAATCATTCTGTAAGTCAGTCTAGGCCAGGCATTGAATCATTAGCTGCTTTCATTCTATTCCATATTAAAATTCATGCTATTTACAGCGGACGGTTTCAAACTTTAACAGAAATTGTAAATAGCAAAAAAGGTAGCGGTGTATTTGTCAGAAAAATCATGTTTTAATTTTCATATATTTAACAGGCTGTTGACAAGTATGGAACACAGATGGGCTCATCAATGGCACTTGGTGTACCATACGTAAGTTTCCACAAGTCTTTGGCAGATAAAACATTGACACATAATTTGAAATGTAAACCTAGCTTTATAACTGTTTGCTCAGTTGTTTTTACAACATATACTGTATTATAGTTTAGGTGAAAAGTTTTACCATTGTTTTTTGGTATACAATACATATTGACTATTGAGTTTTTACAAAAGTTTATATTTAAACCTATATATCTAAGATCGATAGTAATTGCGACTTTTCTTCAAGCATTTTTACAATTCTATAAATCCCAAATCGTTTTTCATAAAGTCACATGTCAATAAAAAACGGATTTGTAATATTATTTATTTAGCAATATGATATAATAGTATTTATGGTATGATATATGATATTATACGTGTCTCAATATACATAATTTATATGATTCCATATGACGATTGAGGCGTAGGCCTAAATGAATATGATTTGTTACGTAAGAATTCTAACTGTAGTCGTTCAATATATTTGTAGGGCTGAAATTGTGTTTTTCATTTTGATATCAGTTTGTATATTTACAACATAGTTTTTAATAAAGAAACATTTATCGCTTATAGGGACCACCGGGGCCACCAGGTCAACGCGGTCAAATGGGACCTCCAGGGCCAAAGGGTGATATTGTATGATAATTTCATTATTTATAACATATTATGTATTTCACAACTAGAAATTTAACACGATTTTTTATATTAAAATATCCATGTTTTTATAAAGAAAAAATAAGCATGCTACATTTTATATGTAACCGTCAAACTTTGGTAATAAAAACCATTGAATTATGAAGCTTGGAGTTCAGAGAGTGCCTAAGGAAAAAGGGAATTTGCAAACATATACATTTATAGTAACAGTGGCGGCTCGGCCCAAATATATGTTAACCAGCTGGGCTGGAATATATTTTTGTCAGTGGCTGTAGTGTACTTCCTTATCAAAACATTAATTGCTGTCATCCAGTTGTTAATCTCCTGCCTGGGGGCTTGGCAGAGATCTTTATCTATCAACATGCTTGAATGGTTTCAATGTTGAACTGCATAATTATTTGGTTTATTACTGTCCAAAGGTCTAATGAAATTAATAGTATAATCTTTTGAAAGATTTGAAATTGAACACAGATAGTGGTAAATAGATGTGTTACATAGTACACAATATTTAACTATATTTGTTTTTCCATTTTCTTTGCAAAAGGCTTATAATTACGAAATTGAAAACAAGGATTTGTAAATTAAAAAGATGGCAAGTTTTACAAAGATAATTTTAAAGGAATCACATTTTAATAACTAGTTTTACTAAGATTTTTATAAAGATGAAATGACTGGTTATTTGCTTTTATTAACTTTTTATGGCAGTTATATTTCTTAAATAAAATTCTGATTTAGTCATAATCTAAAATGGATTCATTGATGGAAAAAGATTCTTATTGAATATTAGTGTTTGAAATTATTTTTTTTTTGTACAATAGAAAGGCAGTATTTCAATACACCTTTACTTTGGAAAATCGTCTATTATTCAGATGAGTAAATTAAATTGATTGAGTGTTTCAAACACTATATAATACACTATTATAATAATATACTCACTTTTCCTTATAGCGTTAAAACTGTTAGGTGTCTACCCGACCACAGCTTTAACATTAGTTTTGAAATAATCAAGTTACAGTCTGATATCATTCATATATAGTGATAGCTTAGAATCTAATATAACCTTTCATTTTCTCTATCATATTGCAGGGATTCCCTGGCCGAGATGGTATGCCAGGAAATAACGGACTTCCCGGTCCACCAGGCAACACACTCATTATCCCGGTAAATAATGACTTATATTTCAGATAAATAAAAAAGGGAATATTATGCGTAATTGATCATAGTCATTGATAAGTTTTAAAATATAAAATCATTATATATTAAGATACTAAAGTTCAACTTACAAATGTCGTATTTTTTCCAAGGGAGAGTACACTTACTCATCTAATGGTATAATTTGAAAAGGGAAATTACTTATGAGCAAAATACATTAACCAATTACGCGATATACATCGCCAAGAAAGTTTTGGACTTGTGAGAGGCTAAAAATGACCCCAGAACGATCATAAGGTAACGTGTAACCAACGCTGAAAAGCATTTGACTCTATCTCAATCCATTGAGAAATTGCAACACTTTGAAATCAATTTTGATGGAAAAAATCAACGCAAAATAGTGATTTTTGGCAAATTTGAGATGTCCCCTCGTTGCCATGGTAACATAAAATTTAAGCCTGAGCATGTTGTTGCAAAGGCAATGGTCCAGTCAACATTTGTGCCAAGTTTGATCATTTTATAGTTTTATAGCAATTTGAACTTGTAAGGGGAGACTTTTCAATGAAAACAGCCATTTTTCACAAAATGCTCACGAAGTAATGGGTTAATTCTAGTGAGTAAAACTATTCCAAAGAAAATGTATTATATAATACTGTTTACTTAATTGTTTTTGCGCATGGGCATTTTAATTATGAAAATGATATGAATATGAAGGTAACGTGTTTTACATAATATGTGATGTCATTATTCATAAGCTCTGATCAGCATATTTCACCACGTCTCATTGTTTGCTATTTTACAGATGAACATCGACGGAAAACATCAAAACCAACGAGAAGCCTTTCAATTACTTTTGAAGCAGCATATGGTACGTTTCCTTAACTTAATAAATGAGAAAATAAATTGTAAAAAAAAGAAGCAAACAAAAAGATATGTTTTGTTTTTGTTTTTTGTTTTTTTGTTTTTTTTAACTGATATATAAAATAAATTATACAAAACGTTTGAGAAAAGATGATTTTTGGATTTAATGAGCCTGTAATTTGTTTCCGGATGATATTTAAGAATTGATTTAACATTTTGCAGCAATCGATGCGAGGAGCAAATGGGCCACAAGGAATGACTGGCTTACCAGGAAATGCGGTAAATTTGTAAAATATTTACTACGAATTGTTCAAGTACGAATCTGAATGAAATGACTTTATAAATGGCGCATATTTATTTCAATGCATTAGATGAAACTTTGAAAATAAAGAATACGATATACATGTATCAGAATTTTATTCTGTACTTTTAAACAACAGCTACAAACGCATTTTAATAACAGTCTTTTATAATCATATTTAACATGCTCTGTTCGTCTTAGATATCGCAAGTGTCTTTCGCCAAATAATCGTGCCTTGCGCTAATTGTTCGTGACTTTTGTCAATTAATTATGACGTTCACCAATTAATTATGATTTTCACCAATAAATCGTGACATTTGCTAATTAATCGTGACATTTTTTCCAATTAATTATGACTTTCGCTAATTAATTATGACTTTCACCAATAAAGTGTTACTTTCGCCAATTAATAATGACTTTCGTCAATAAAGCGTGACTTTTGCCAATTAATTAAGACTATCACCAATTAAGATATAAAATAAAAAAATGTCGGTATAAATTGATAAAAAATAGTTGAAATTTGTATTTGTATTAGGGACCACCAGGAGATCCGGGTGACAGAGGAGACGAAGGTTTGCCAGGAGAACAGGTATTATATACTTTTTGTACTGTAAATAGCCTCTCAATAACTACATGATCTTAATTAAATATTCAAGGAATTTCAATCTCATTGGAACGTTTAAAACTTCCAGTCTTATTCACAGATTTAAAGGAACGCCACAGTGGTACAGATGCCTAAAAGCATAAAATTTGTATTTCTTACATAGACCATCTGGGTCACTCAAAACAGAACAATTGCAAAAGATTATTAGGAAATACCGGTATACTGAGAAATAAGTTAAAAGTCGTATTTCTGTGCTGTTTTTAGCCTGAAAAGCGTTGCAATTTGATCATTTTCACAATAAGAATAATTATTTTGGAAAAACGGAGTGAGCAAATGGTCTGAAGCTTTGCACACAAGTTATTGATCTAGATTTTCATAAAGTGGAGCATTAATCTCGGAAGATTATTTTCAGTGAAATAAGTAAGACGTTAAATTAAATTTAATGTTTCAACTGAAATTCTTTTTCAAGACGCAATTTCTCTATGCATGTATATGTTTTTTTCAGCATACACGTACGATCTAGTAATTTGTTTCACATTTCAGGGACCACCAGGACCAATGGGTATGCCTGGACCCGACGGACCAAGTGGAAAACGAGTGAGATTAAAAACATTAAAATTCATGCTTTTCTGCATACCAACAAAAAAAAAGTTGTATAAATGGTTTATGATATATGCTCGTATATAATTCTGCTACATGAATGTATTGCTAGTAGAATTTTGGTCATACTTGGCCTGAAACATGTATTGTATATCATTGCAATCCGGTAAAGCGTTGATGACGTTATGTTACGTTACATTAAGGTTGACGATATTGTTACGTAACATTATGGTTGAATATACCCTTACAATGCAAGAAGGTATATATATTGAAAAGGATGTTGTACTTTTGTCTGGATCTTGTTTTGGGTCTTGTAGATCCTCCTAAAATATGCTATCCTTTAGTGCATCCATTCCTTTTGGGCTTCTTGTCAATATCAAAGTCCATTGAAGCCACAATAGTAAATAGTAAAATATATCAAAATGCAAACCTAAATAAAAGGTCGCCAGCTATGACAAAATAGAAATGTATGGTTTAGATTTATTTTAGCCTGTTCATAGACAGCTTTGGTAAACGCAAGGTACTGTTCACGCCCCTAGCAATAATTGAAGCAAACTTATACATTTAAACTTAAAAATGAGTAAATACGAACGTTATCATGGAACTTTTGTGCCATTCCATTAACAACGATATCATGTATGCTTCCCAAGTAAAAAAAAAACGGAAAAATTGATAGCTTCTTGATCTAATGCGAAAGTTATTATTCGTATGGAAACGTTTCAAAGATAACCGATTTTTCTTTTGTCAATACTTTCATTGCAAACTTTTGGCACTGCTTTGAAACAAGTGTATGACTATTTTAATGTTTTCTAGGGTCGTTTTGGCAGAGATGGAGCACGTGGTCCTATTGGACCAATTGGAGATAAGGTAATTAACTTAACAATATTAGAAAACGAATTTTAGATGTGTTTCTTGCCATTGATTTACTGAATTTAAAAATTAATGTTATTTTTTTCGATAACCGAATCTACTTCTAATAAAATGTAGTCGAACTTCATATCATATTTATACCATTGATATGTTATTTTAGGGCGAGGCTGGCTACCCAGGTATTCCTGGAAGAATTGGAACAAAAGGAGACAGGGTACGTAAACAAAACTAATATATTAATATTTTACACTGAATGTTAACAGAGTCTTTTCCCCAGGGGTAGCAAAATGAGGTTCAGTAACCAACCCTTCATTTAGGTACAGTTCTTGAACAACAAATCTTGTCTGTGATTGATTTAAAAAAGAGATCATTGCCATATTCATCGTCGGATACCCATGGCCGACCCATTAACATTTACTCGTTAATCAACCGTGGATATCCAATGATGTGTTATATAATTTAGTGTTCTTTTCCACCTAGTGGAAAACTTCTAATAGTACTGTATTACTGTAATATATATATCGCAAGTTGTAAGATTACCAAGTCGAAATGGATAATAATTTCATGATAAAGTACCATTTACTACATATTTTGATGGACTTTTTGTAGTAAGTTTTGAAGAAGAAAAAAACGGACTGACTGAAAAATCACTCTCGTGTTCTAGTACCAACATGATGTATCCGAATTGTATGTAGTTTGACAAATATAATTTATCTCAATTAAATTTGATTAGGACCTAAACCTGTGCTGTATTTTTATTCATGATCAAATAATAACGCATGAATTATTTTTGTATTGGAAGCTTTTATTTAAAATTGATATAAATACGTTATTTGTTTTCAGGGCTACCAAGGTTCCGCCGGAACTATGGGTCCACCCGGACATGACGGTGAACAGGTAAATTTCTACACAGTAAAATAGTGATCATTTAATCATTTGGAACATGTTGCCTTTTATCAATAACCAGTCTCATCCAAAATTTGGCGGAAAAGTGGAACGAAAAAAATGCTTTTGGTCACTTTTCATACAGTTGTGATTTGGAACTGAATTTTTCTCATATCTCTGTATAAATATTTAAAAAAAAAACATAATTTGAACTTTTTAGAAGCTTTTATTTTTATATGTTAGATTATAATTATGTTTAAGAAATGATCGTTTTTGAATTTAAAAAGTGTTTCTTGTAACGTATAATTTGCTTATGAAATAAATATATGGATTAGGAAGGTTTAAAAGAACTGAAAACTATATTGTTTATATCATCCTTTATATAAGACTGTTAATTATATCTGTACAATATATGTTGGCATATTTTCCTTCCTCGTTTAAAATATCTGTGTTATGATTGAAGCTATGTGACTTCTGTGTAAATTTAGAATTAGAGTTGTATTTTGTACTGACAAAAGTTACTTTACACATTTTTATAGGGAGAAGTAGGTCCACCCGGAGCTATGGGACCGGCTGGAGACCAGGTAATTAAGATTTTAAGTACAGTTACACCTTCTTGTAATGCCTATTGTGATTAAAGACACAGCATTGATATAATGCCTTAATTTTGATAAAATACAATTCAAGAAATATTGATTCAAAGCTGTTTCAGATAAAGGGCATACATTTTAACGAAACATAGATATTTTAGATATGATATTATTTCATTTCAAACTTGCAGTTATTGTCTATCGAAAATTACATGCTAAAATATTCTTTTCGCAGAATTATTTTATTTCGTTATTTTAACAAGTTTCGAATGCGAAAATTATAACAATAAAGATTTTTCTTTAAAATGGTCTTTTTACATTTGACAGGAATTATGTTGCGTAGGGTTAAATACATGTATAAAAATGGTATCCATAAGTAGATAAAATATAATAATTTCATATGTTATCTTCATCAGGGCCTCAGAGGATTCATGGGTCCACGTGGAAAGCCGGGACCAATTGGAGCACCAGTAAGTTCTCGTTTATTACCATACTTTTGTAAAAACGAATCAAATTTATACATTTATGCACGGTCATTTTACTATAATGATATAAATTATTTCATACTCCTCTAGTACATTACTCATTGGAAAAAATTACTGAACTACAACTGTAATCAGATCAAATTTGGACCTATTAAGTACTGCCTGCCTAGCACACTTATCATATTTTGATGATTTGAAAGCATTTGCATTATCCAAGTTTCATGTTCACTCATTTCAAAGTGTGTTTTTTTTCGGGCGCCCAGTTAGGGGTTAACCCCATTTATTTCCCCCGTCATTGGCATGATAGGGGTCGAGGAGCATCCTCCTATCAGCCTTACAATGAAACATGTATATTTGATTCTGAACAAAACATTTCAAAGTACTAACAGTGATTGTATAATATTTTTAAGGGTATTCCCGGCGCTGAAGGGGCACCAGGTCCAAAAGGAAATCAGGTTTGATACCACAATTTTTCTATGAATTACTATCTAATTTTCACGAGAAGTCCGTGCAATTATCTCCCCTCCATAAATTAATTTGCTTTCTTTCTTAAAAGCATCTTGTTTGGATATTTTACATGTTTAAACACATATATTCAAAATAATTATAGCATCGTAAACTATTTTGTCAGCAGTAAAAGCATCTTACTAAAATTTAGGTAGAATTCATGACATGTTTTATTTGTATTTTTAACAGGGTGGAATAGGCTCCCCAGGTGCTCCTGGACAAGCCGGTGCCCCGGGACCAGTGGTAAGTTATAAGTTACAAGTTTAAATCATATATATTTCCTTTAAATGATAGATTTATAAACATTTTTAGCTCACCTGTCACAAAGTGACAGGGTGAGCTTTTGTGATCGCTTTTCGTCCGGCGTCCGTCCGTCCGTCCGTCCGTCGTCCGTCCGTAAACTTTTACTTTAAATGACATCTCCTCATAAACCACTAAGCCAATTTCATCCAAACTTCACAGGAATGTTCCTTTGGTGGTCATCTTTAAAAATTGTTCAAAGAATTTAATTCCATGCAGAACTCTGGTTGCCATGGCAACCGAAAGAAAAAACTTTAAATATCTTCTTTTAAAAAACCATAAGAGCTAGAGCTTAGATATTTGGCATGAAACATTTTCTAGTGAGTGTCTACCAAGTTTGTTCAAATAAAAGCCATGGGGTCAAAATTGGCCCCGCCCCGGGGGGTCATTGATTTTCCCGATATGCATATAGTAAAAACTTAAAAAATATTCTTTTAAAGAACCCAAAGAGCTAGAGCTAAGATATTTAGCATGAAATATGTTCTAATGGGTGTCTACCAAGTTTGTTCAAATAAAAGCCCCGGGGGTCAAAATTGGCCCCGCCCCGTGGGGTCATTGATTTTCCCTATATGCATATAGTAAAAACTTGAAAAATCTTCTTTTAAAGAACTCAAAGAGCTATGGCTAAGATATTGAGCATCAAACATGTTCTAATAGGTGTCTACCAAGTTTGTTCAAATAAAAGCCCTGGGGTCAAAATTGGCCCCGCCCCAGGGGGTCATTGATTTTCCCTATTGTATATAGTAAAAACTTAAAAAATCTTCTTTTAAAGAACCAAAAGAGTTAGAGCTAAGATATTTAGCATGAAACATGTTCTAATAAGTGTCTACCAAGTTTATTCAAATAAAAGCCCTGGGGTCAAAATTGGCCCCGCCCCGGGGGGTCATTGATTTTCCCTATATGCATATAGTAAAAACTTAAAAAATCTTCTTTTAAAGAACTCAAAGAGCTATGGCTAAGATATTTAGCATCAAACATGTTCTAATAGGTGTCTACCAAGTTTGTTCAAATAAAAGCCCTGGGGTCAAACTTGGGCCCGCCCCGGGGTGTCATTGATTTTGCATATATGTGTTTAGTAAAAACTTAAAAAGTTTTAAAAAAGCTAAATAGTTTGAGTTTAGATATTCAGCATGAAACATCTTTTAGTGAGTGTCTACCAAGTTAGTTCAAATAAAAGACCTGGGGTCAAAATTGGCCCCGCCCCGGGGGTCATTGATTTTCTTTATATGTGTATAGTAAAAACTTAAAAAAAATCTTCTTTTAAAAAGCATGAGCTAGAGCTTAGATGTTTAGCATGAAACATCTTCTTATGGGTGTCTACCAAGTTTGGGCAAATAAAAGCCCTTGGGTTAAATTGGCCCTGCAATGTTGGGGGTTTGGGGGTGGTGGGTTGGGGGGCCTATATACAGGTGAGCGACCTCAGGGCCATCATGGCCCTCTTGTTTCTTTTACCGTTCAAGATACATTAGTCTCTAGCAAAATAAACTTTTAATTATAAGCCATTTGTTATGTTAATGGTACATGTATATTCAATTTAAAATGAGTAAAATTTTGTGAAAAAAGTTAATTTATGACACTTTTTTTATATATCGAAACTTATTTTTACGTCAATAAATATTTGTTTGTTTATTACTAGGGTTCCCCCGGACCACCAGGGCCTCTCGGACCTCAAGGTATTCCAGGTGCTCAAGGAAAACCCGGTCTTAATGGACTTCCGGGTCCAATTGGACCACCAGTGAGTTGTTTAAAGTTTGTTGTCTTTATGCATCACCTAAATAAATATTTAAAATACTTATATGCATCATTTCTTTGTCACAGTCTTGTCTGTGTTTGATCTAACAGACATTAAGTAACAGTTTTGGATGATTTTGAATGAAAGGTACTCATATACGTTCGTTAACAGAAGTTACTATCCGAAACAAATTGTAAAATGTGTGAAGAATAAATTTGAAATCGTTAAATCAATAATTGAGCGGATTGCTAATGAAAATTAGCGTTACCGCTATCGGAACACCTTGCCGATTAATGAAGGACTTGCAATTGTTTCAAGACATAGTAAATTGTTTAAAGCCTTGAAAGTTCTTTTTTATTGGAACTTCTCTGCGGATCGAGAATTATTAAACTTGTTAGTTTTACCGTTTGATTTGCCCAGAATTTTAATTATAATCAGAATCCTGCAATATGTCAAAGTTTTATCGAAACTGCAATTGCATTGAACATAAGTTGGTACTTTATTTCCAACGCGGATGTATAGAAAGAAGTCCGTCATGTAATTGTAAGTAGAAAATCCACTTCTGGGTTTCCAAGCGTTCGTTTCTAACAACAAAAGCGTTATTCATGTTCTTTAATAAAAAATAAGATTAATAAAGATTTTATTTTATTTCAGGGTATTGACGGACTGAAGGGCTCACCAGGACCTAAAGGTGATCTTGGCCCCTTAGGTCTGCAGGGTATCATAGGATATCCAGGTCCTAGAGGAACAAAGGTTACTAATTTTGTCTATTTATAAGATAAACAATTGTATTTTTATTAAAGATATGCTATGCCCATACTTGAGTAAAATATTTTTATCAAAGAAATTTATTGAAATCTATAAAATTCTTACCGAATTCTTACCGAATATGTCTCATTTGAATAAAAGAATGAATAAATAAACTGGGAAGCTATATTTCCTATTTCAAATTAAGTAAAGTTTGTCTTTTTTTTTCAAAAAGAAATGCCAGTTTTTTTAATGACACTATATTTTCATATTGTGACCACCTATGATGTAAAGAAGTTTAAACAGAACATATTTACTTTGTTTCAAGTCAAACCATGTTATTGTCATATTTACAGTGAGGCTGTGTAGCAATAAACAACATAATTTCAAATTTTTGCATAGTGTATCAGGAAACCTTATAGGGCGCGCATTATGAGCTTAATTTGAATATTTGAAGATGTATAGATCTGTAAGACAAATTATTCCATACTTTTATTCAAAGTTACATACATCTCTGACCTAAACATCTATAAATCTGTTTATTCCAACGTTTTTAAGAAGATAGAATTGGAATATGTTGATCTGGGGTACTTGAAATGCTTTATTACTGTACATGTATTTCAATTTGGTAAGGGTTTTGGCAATATTTTTTTACACGTAGCCTATATAGGTATATCTTTCAAGGAAAACTATTTCAGACATTATTAAAGTCATGACCTCTGTTTCTAGGGAGATACCGGAGCACGTGGATTATTTGGACCTAAAGGAAATCAGGTATAGTTTACCTTTTTTATTATAACTATGGCCTTTTAAGTTTAATTTTCATTCACAATAGTATACAGTTATTGACTAGTAAGCCAGTTAAAAGTTAGATGTGATGACATATGAATTTTTAGATCAAATTATAATACAAAATAGATTCTTTCTGAGATATTGTGATCTTGAAAGTTACCAATATTAATATAATAAGATGCCTGCAATTCATATGTCTATTACCGTATTAAATCTAAATACTCACCACCTTTTTAGAATTCTTCCCCAAACAAGGCAGTGCCTCGATTAAACAATTTTGTAGCTTTTATCAAATCAAGTCATATATATTGAAAACATGCTAGTTGATTTAGTTTAAACATATTTACTTCCCGAACATATAGTTTCTTTTTAGTGTATTTTTATAATGTGTCGAGTTTTGTACTAAAAGGTAGGACAAATCGGGAATATAAATATTTTGGAAATATTTTTACAAAGATGATTTGATACGGTATCATTTAGTGACAACACGGTTTGGTTGACAGCATTATTATATTATCATTTTATATCATTATTATAAAAAGCAAACAAACTAACTTTATACCCTTTTAACTCGATTGAACAAAAAACGAATTTAAATTGTACACTGTAACTAATATATATCTTACAGTTACGTCCGTACATGGTATTAAAACTTTGAAAATTATGATACTTCTTTTACTCTCAACGTATTTGTGAACAAACAATATACTTGTAGAGAAATTTAATTTGAATCTGATATGAATTTTACAGGGTTCACCTGGATTCCCAGGAGATCGTGGTGATGTTGGAACGAAAGGCAACAAGGGTAATGCGGGAGATTTTGGGCCAAATGGACCAGAGGGCATTGAAGGAGCCAAGGTTTGTTAAATGAAGTTTATATGGTGTAATATGTGTGCAGTGACTTGAGAATGTTCAGATTTAAAAATGGAATGGTTCATTGTTAATTAAAGAGAATGAATTATGTTCATATTAAGCAGTCTGTAATATAGAACATGATAGCTTTATTGAGCTTTATTGGCAGGGTTCGGGCGCTAATAATTGTTTGGCTCTAGTCGATACACTGCGCATGTCCAGTTTCGGTTATCGCTAAATACTTTTAAACCATTTAGTGAAAGTTCGACGAGAATAAATTCGTGACGTCACTATAGTCTTACCATTCAATCGCAACTTTTCGGCCCTTTCCGTCAGTCTTCAGATAAGGAAGATATTAGCCGAGGATATTCCGATTGTCTCACCGTTGTAAGAGTGGAACTACTGTGAACCATAGTTAGCGTCCGAACCCTGCCTTAAAGCCAGACTAAACTTACTTGCTAGAGCCCTAATCTAGCTGACCAGCAAAACAACCAACCTGTGTTTTTATGGTGAAAATCACGCTGTAATGCATTAATTCAGACATTTGTATAAGACAGAATAGGGTAATGTCGGGATCAATGCATTGCCGAACATTTATATGCATTATTTATCAAATTTATCTACATGAAGAATATAACCCATTTTTTTCTCTTACAATAACTTCCAATTCCTTTTTTATTTTTGAACGTGTATGTACATGAATAAATTTTGACTTTTTCTCATGCTTTTTGTTAGGGGACTGTTTCATTAAGCGACCATTTTTGTTGTTTCCCTTGCGTGGCCGCTTAATACAGGTTTGACTGTAATCTGAAGTAAATTTTTTCTCTACAATGTATTTATTATTATTATTTTATTATTATTATTATTATTATTATTATTATTATTATTATTAACGTACGTATGTTTTATTAACTTGTTATTCAATAATTATGTATTTCATAACAGGAATAAGATATTTTCTGATAATTAATTTATTATTTGCTTCAATTAATGTATTATTTGCTTCAATTAGGGAGACCGGGGACCTGAAGGTGAAGCCGGAGCACCAGGAAGTCTTGGGGCAAAGGTAACTTATAATGTATTTATGATTTAATAGAGTAAAGCTTAAATCTACATGTGCATGTTATCATTAGATAAAATTAAAATTAAATCTTGCTGATTAAACTTGCATCAATGAATTTGTGAACTTGATATAAGTAAGAAATATTTCGTACCTGAAACATCAAGGTTTGTGTTAATTTCTTTCTTTTAGGAAGTATATATGACAAATAAATGACGCATACAAATTTTTTTTCGTTGAATAAGACAGCTGAATAAAACCCGTCTTTAAACAGATATATTTTCTGTTTTGTGTGTACACAAATTAAATAATCGTTTCCATTTCAGGGTCGAATTGGACCTCCAGGTTTACCTGGCTACCCAGGGCCCCCTGGTATGAAAGGATCCGGAGGCGGTCGTGGCCGACGAGGAAAACGTGGTCGTAATGGAAAAGTTGTAAGAACAACTATATATACAAGCTTATATCCTCTATCCTAGATAACTCTATTCTTATATTTGATACGTTTCTAATTCTGTAAAGATGTTTTAATATTTTGATATTCTTGATTCAGTGAACATCTAAGATGAATTATAAGGCGTTAACATTTAAAATGATGCTATGATTTTTGTAGAATTACGTTAACATGACTTCATGATGTAACATTAGTAAAGTTATTGACAAATAACTGAAATACAATAACATACCGTTTTTACAGACTTGATACGTTTTAAATTACGTTTCATGAAGTTTTCATGAAGTTCACATGCATAAAACAAAATGGTGTAAAACGTTTGAAGTTAATTGTCATTTCGCACGTTGTCTTACACATCTTGAGCAATGAATACTATGTATAAAACATAATCGTTATCATGTTAGAGTGGTGTTTTTCTTTCAGGGTCCCCCAGGCCCAGTCGGAGACCGTGGCGACCCCGGAGCACAGGTAAAGTTGATTTTATCATACATTCATCACTTCCAATACAAACAATATTTACGTTTTGCTTATCGACTCAAATTGTTAACTTAAACAACCCAGTTGCTTTCATTGATTGCCATTTATTTCGTTTTTATCCATGGTTAGATAATGAAAATGATTGGTACTCAGTATTTTACAACCACATGTCCTCTTTCCATACAGGGACAGCAAGGAGAACGCGGTAAAACTGGCATGCCTGGAGCGGTTGGCCCGAAGGGTGATATTGGTGCAGCCGGACCCCCGGGATCTATAGGAGAACAGGGAATTCAGGGACCCCCTGGAATGCAGGGACCACCAGGACCCCAGGGACAAAGTGTATGAAATCTTTTTGTCATAGTTATTATTCTTATAACCAACTCATCCGTTTACTCACCGATTTTAGGAAGTCGTCTAAAAGACACAAGTTTATATTCATATAAATTAGATAATAATTTGATATTCAGATTTCTTTTTTTTTTCAAAACGGTACATAGAATAAAGTAATTTTAAATTGGAGCGTTAATCTTTCTTCATCAAGGATAAATGTTGATCCAGATTATTGATTATTGGTTTTACAGGGACTTCCAGGGAAAGACGGACTGCGCGGTGCACCAGGAGAGAGAGGGGAACCGGTAAAAATATACAAATTCTTTGATAATTGTTTTAAATAATCATCTCAAAACTCACTTAATTACAAATTCCATGTAATAAGAAAGCATAGTCATTTTTCCTCTACTTCAACATCATAATCTATAAATTGAGTGATGTTTTTTTATGTTTTATATTTGTGTAAATGTTCCTACTTGGATATCCACTGAGATTAAGATAAATATAATAAAGATATTAATTATATACATGTATAACTTACACAGAGATTACTGGTATGAGTAATAAATAAATAAATAAATAAGTGTTTATGTTAATTTATTTATATCTTAATACATTTTACTATTTTAGGGTCAAACAGGTCAAATTGGATCAACCGGACCATCTGGCGTCATGGGACCAACCGTGAGTAAACTTTAGCAGTCTTAAAGTAATAATTTGTTTTACCTTAAGTGTACATTATTTTACTTTTGTTTTCTTTCATTATTACAATCTTACATGAAAGTAGTGTGTTTATTTTCAAAGGTGAAACAGGGGCTACAGTGAATTTTTGTTCTATTTGTAGGGACCACCCGGGGACCCGGGACCGACAGGTAACAGAGGTCCACCAGGCACTCAGGTAAAATATATCGATAATTAATTTCTATCTTAAGCCTTGAAAAATAAGGCATCGTTTCAATTTATTATAAAAACTTTAAGCAAAGTTTGACCCTTAACTTAATGGACACGTTACGCTTCCATTTATGGACCTGTCCACTATCAATTTGAGGATAAATAAGTCAACTTTATACGTAGTCTCCTCAGATTGCACCTTAGTCCAGGTTGTCCTGGTTTTATACCGGTGACAAAGATTTAGATATCATTCTCGGTTGCAGCAGAGTTAGATATAGATACAGTTAGTTCAGTAAGGCCAAATACCACATACATGTAGTTACATATAACGTACAAGCAGTTTCATTTTCATAGTCTATATCATTAAGTTGAAGTACTTTTTATATGTTAATTGTAAGATTTTATTTTCAAAAGTGCATCTTATTGACTGCGATTTTTTAAAAATAATTTATACATTCACTTATCTCAATTCAATAGCAATGTTTTGTTTATCTTTGTCTAGTAAATACTTTTGTTTACTTATTTTAGGGATTACCCGGAGATACTGGACTACCAGGTCAAGCAGGAGCAACCGGAGAACGAGTAAATTATTATTATCTTTGTTTTAATGTTTGGTGCCGTCTTCATTAGATTATACGTACTTTATTTCAGTTCGATTGTGTAGGAAGCTATATCATTTTTAAGACAAACTCTTAAATCCGTTCCCCTAACCATCCCGTTCTTAGCAATTAGTGTAGAATTGTTTTGCTAAGGCAAAGGACGGCTTGCCAATGATGGGGTTTGAACCCATGAATCTTGTTATAGTTGTTTAAAAAAAAACAATAATTTGTATTTGAAAGCAAATAATCAACAGTTTTTAATTGGATTTCAAAAAATACATGAATTATATTTTCTCAATCTAAGCGTCTAGATATACAACATTTACATAAATATAGTTGACATTTTTAGCAAATATTTCTATAGTGATAAAAATCATACAGTTATGAGTGTATTTATAATCTCGTGTATAGGGACAACAAGGTATTCCCGGTGACCAAGGACCCCCCGGGCCACCAGGACCCCAGGGATTTGACGGAGACCGTGGATACCCCGGACCACCGGTAAGTCGGTTTGTATTAAGACAGTCTCTTCAAAATTAGGTCCAAAATTAAAACACAACAAATATTAACAACATTAACAACATCTCTACTTTTCTATGGGTTTTGTGATTCTGCTGAGATATGCTTTGTGGGTATGTTATATTATTCAGTAATTTATTTCAATTTGAGCAGTTTAATATTTCTGGAATATTTGTAAATGTTATCATCCTCGTATAATGGACATTTTCGCGAACTAATGTGTCATCTTTAGATTTTGATTTACATGTAGTATGTTAAAACATTTGTATGCAAGCATTATTTTTCCCGCGATTTACAGACTGTGTTTAGAAATTAGGCGTTTTTCTTTAGGGAAAAAGAGTATATCAGTTTAGCAAAAACAAATCACGAAGATAGGAAATTAACAAAAAAAAAGAAAATATTAAGCTTTAAAGTTTAAAAAAAAAAATTTTAAAACACTAAACCCTTATTTAAAGTGACATTATGGTCACTGTTTTCATTGTCAAATTGTGTTGAACTAGATATAATTATTTCAACAGATTGAGTATTTTAATGGTGAATTACCAATAATTGTTAATAAGAAATGTTTAGACTAAAGTATAAAACTGCCTAAAGTATACAAAGACTGCCTGATCTTTTTATCAACTGAGCCATTAAAGTTATTCATAGAAGTTTCCGTGTGTCTTATTCATTTAAAGTAGAATATGAAATTGGAAACACATATGACAAAATATTATCTTATTTTTTACTTTAACTTGCACTCACATCATTTAATTACATGTTGGATCGGCATAATGTCACTTTATTCACCAGGAACTTCTGTCTATTATCTTATCCTTATTAATACTATTTCTTCTCAGGGACGAGATGGACTCCCAGGAGATAGCGGACCTGAAGGACCACCCGGACCACAGGTAGGATTAATACCATAATTCTGTAATAAAAAAAATAAAATGAAAATCAAATAAAAAATTAAGGGAAAAAACATTTTAACACTTTAAAGTGTAGGAGAATAAAGGAATTGCAAAACAAAATGAAGGTATATGTTCCGATTTTCCGGCATTCACCTAAATATCATTAGTTCGTTCATTACTTATGATGATTATTGTCTGTCTTGAATGAAAAACGGGAACGCTGATCGTATTGGTCAAAGGTCAATGACATTCATGATTTCTCTCTAAACTTGCTGATTGTGTGATGGATTCGTCCTGCAGCCCATGAGAATATTAAGGGATTTCAATATCAAACTAAAAACATATGTACGGATGCACAGGCTGGGCCCTGAGCTCTATTATGGTGGCAAAGGCTGATCATTTTCAGTACCAGAACTGAAGAGTTAAAGAATAAGCATCACATTTTTGAATTACGGATTTTTTCCGTAACAGCGAGTTGGAGAAGTGTGACGGTGTTCTTTGTCAAGTGAACGAAGTAATAGATTAAAAAGAGAAATTGGCGATAAGTCTGAATTTGCACGAGGTAATGGAGAATTATGTTGTTGTTTTTTATTTCAGAAAAACAACTTATTTTAGCATATATATATTTTTTTATTTCTAACAGGGAGAGAAAGGACAAGAAGGTATGTCCGGCGATTCCGGACCACCAGGACCCATGGTAAGGATATAACTGTTATTTGCAAACAATAAAATAAGAACGTCTTAATCACGTGACTTCAGCGATGAATTTACCAGAAGACAAAAAATAAATATGGAATTTAATTAAATGAAATTTCACCTAATGTGCAACGTACTCACATCCCCCCCCCACGACATGTGATCATCTATTTTGTCGTCATATTGTATGAATGATATAACTTCCGTTTTTAAGGAGCATCAAATTATGTTGATAGAATACTGTTGATTTCGTAGCGTTTCATGTACATTTTTACATCGATTGCTTATTATATATTTCTTAAATAGAAAGTATCTACATATAGATTGTCATCTTGAACCAATTACAGTATACATGTTTTGGGGGTTTTTATCTTGGGGAAGTGAGGGTCAAATTTGTTTATCTATAAAACAATGAAAATATATTGTTTACTTTTATACATCAAATTATTACTACAGCTACCACGTGCTTTCCTGTCTGTAATGTCTCAAAGTACACAGTTTCCTTGTATTTATAATTTTATTTATTTTGTATTTCTCCATCATTACAGGGACCACCCGGAATGCCAGGTAATGAAGGACCCAGAGGAACAAAGGGAGACATGGTAAATTATTAAAGACTTAATGTTTAGACAATATTTGTAAAAAAAATTCTTTGTTGTTTACACTTTCTTTGAGCAAGCAAGTTTTTTTTTGTTATTTTTGGTGTCCTCTTAAAGTTTCCAAAAAGTAACTCAATGGCCAATTACCGGAATCATCTTTAGCTTTTGCTGCCTTTTTGGCATTTACTACAGTACAGTGATTTTAGTATTTTGTATGGAAGTCAAAATAGTACTTTGTTTACATTTTGCAACTATGACAAATAATTTCATATTTAGTGTGTAAAGCATCTAACATGCTCTAAACTATTATTTTAATGTTATAAAACTAATGTTTGCCCTTTCTAAAGAAGGAAAACAATATCCATTTCTGAGGCATAATGTGCTTTTAAGATATTGTTGATATGGTGTAGATTTTTTAAAAGAGGCACAGTGAGCCGTAGAAAATGCTCATCTCCAAAACAAAGCCTTGCGTATTGCTTTCCAAGGAACTCAACATACATCACTTTGCGTTTTGAAATCTGTGCAGGTATCTTCATTCATTGTCGTGAAACTATTCATTGCAGTGAATTTATTTTTCAGGGACCTGAAGGTCTTCCCGGAGACCCAGGTGGACCTGGACCCGAAGGATCACGTGTAAGTAATCTTTGGAATTGCATTATTTATTTAAGTTAGATTGTGTTGGAAGCACACTTATACGAATCCGTTCCTGGAACAAACCAGTACGTTACTATGTGTATGGCTTATTGCTCGAAGAAGTAAGTTATCTATGAAATTGCATAATCAGAACAGAAGCTGGACAGCGTTTACGTTATTTGAAACAAACAAGAAATCATAAAACTGAAAACATAAACAGAATATACATTTTATGTGATATATAAACATTTTAAAATTCAAGCATGATTTAAAACTATTCGATATAAAGAGTTGTAGATCTAAGTTTGTTTCAAGGTATTGATATTTAATAATATGAGTATGCGAACAATATTGCTCATCATTAAATTATCTGCTATACTCCTTTAATTCATTCTCAAAAATATTCATTTAGAATTTTACAAAATATTGTTATGATATGTTATGGACGTGTTCTATTTCTTTTTTTTTTTCTTTGTAAAAGTATCAATACGAGTCCGAACTAATTGAACAATATTGATGTAGTGTGACTTTTTCTCAAAGTTTTTTCTACTTAGAAGAAAAGGTAAGTGTGTGATATTTGCATAAATCGTTGTTTTTCATAATGCATGTATGCTATAGTAGATAAAACAACTCCCGTTAACGAGGATACCTTTTACAAATTTAGTCATGTCACTATATAATTATATAGTTTTATATGTATATATTTACAGGGTCTACAAGGACCCCAGGGACCTGCTGGACCCCCAGGTCAGGACGGTGATAAGGTATTTGTTATATATATTATTAAAATAAAAATTTACGTCGTCCGTTTCTAATTCAATATTATATTTAGAGCGTGCTTGCTATATTATTATTGTATGAATGTTTAGACACGCCCAGTACATTATCTCTGTAAAAATGTGTCTTATATTCTTGCCATTAAGCATTTTCTTGATAATTATACTTAAATGTTCTTTATTAAGTTGTTACAGTGTAAATACGGGGCATCCATGAGCGTGAATAAATTTGCACAATTCATTTTCACTTGTATAAATACTCATTCAAAATGAGTCTGAAACCTGTGCAATTTATTTGAGCCGCGTCATGACAAAACCAACATAATGGGTTTGCGACCAGCATGGATCCAGACAAGCCTGCGCATCTGCGCAGTCTGATCAGGATCCATGCTGTTCGCTTTCAGTTTCTCTACTTGTAATAGGGTTTGTAAGAGAACAGCATGGATCTTGATCAGACTGCGCGGATGCGCAGGCTGGTCTGGATCCGTGCTGGTCGCAAACCCATTATGTTGGTTTTGTCATGACGCGGCTCATTTGTCCTTTTTTGCATCAGGAAAATTCCATATTTTCGGCTTACGCATCTTTTGTAATAATCACGTCAACGTAAAAGTATGATATAACTTTTGAAAACATTTGAACATTATTGCATACACATGTATAACGATTGCACGTGATTCTCGTAATTTGTGTAAATTTGTGTAACTCCGGTCTTTATTTATAGGGTGATGTAGGACCAGCCGGACCAAGAGGACAGAAGGGAGATTATGGTATTCAGGTATGATAAATATATATTTCAATTGTTTTTCTAATTCATATTTTATATACATTGAATTTTTTTATCATTAATTTGTCAAGTATATATTCTTATAATGCTTGACCTTTATTAACTTAAACATTCTCGTTCATTTTTTGATAAATTTATGACTGTGTCAGTATATAAACATAAATAATACGAGGGATGATTAACCGGACTTTGTAAATGATTCTTTACCTGTTAAATGAATTTACATAACAATACACGGAAAATACTAGTAAATCGGAATCTTTCCCCTAAAAGATACAAAAAATACCAAAAAAGAAATTTTTAAACAAAAAAAAAAAGTTATGTGTTATTGACATTACATGTAAAGCAATGGGGCGCAGGGGTATAATTTAAAATTGACTTTTAACGACGTCCAAACGTATTTTCCTTTAACGGAGCAGCTTTTACTAATTCATGGGTAGGCCAATATGTGTACAGTCATGTTGTTGATCGGTGGATCCACTCTATATATATTTCTATACAAGCGGTAAATATTGTTTGTGATAGAATGAATGGTGATAAAAAGCTCCTGGGAAAAGACCAAAAATTCCGTTTTTTCCTTTTGTAATTGATTTTTTGAAAAAAAAAAAAAAAAAAAAAATCCACATGCAATTAACTATATTATGTTTACAAAAATGTAAAATTTAATGTTGTCTGAATATAATGTATCATACATACGAAAGTATAACAGAATAATAACAACTATGATCAAAATTGTCATAATTTTTAGAAATTAATTTTAAAACGCATAGCCGATTTTGAACAATGATGTTCAAATTGTTGACTCAATTTTTTTCCATAAAACTTACTGCGTAAATAAGAAAAATAATTGATACAATTGTTAACCCAAGAATTACAATACAATTAATGCATTAACTATTATCATTTTAAAATCCTCAGAGTAGACTTTGCACTCCGTCCCGAAGCTACTGTCGAACATCTACAATGTCCGCCGTCAATCGACTTCATGTTTCAAACTTGGCGGATTAACGTCACCAACGTCCTTGAAATTTTTTCTTTTTTCTGTCTCTCCCTTACTTGTTTTCTATTTCTCTATTTATCCTTTCTTAATCCTTTAAGCTAATAAAAAAATATGCTTGGGGATTTCTGGAAAACTTTTCCTTTTTTGATTTGCCCATAATCTTTTTCTACGTTTTTTAAAATTTTTTTCTCCGTCTTACCATTTGACCAATTTTTTTGACATATTGATCGATTTTTCCGAAGACATTCCGACGAACATAGTTTTAAACGCGAGTTTTCACTCATGTGACCCCTTTGAAATTGTGATTGTTAAAATATAAAATATGGTTTAAAATGAGGTCATTTTTAACTTTAAAACGATTCAAAATATGGGTTCCCATGACGTTTTTTGGCGGTATTTTGAAATCTAAATGTGGCCCATATTGTAAAATACCACGCAGCCATAAAATTTGCCTGATGTCCAAGGCCCGAATTTAAACCCCCTTTTGCCGCCGGGTTTGATTTTACCATGGGTTTTTGAATTTCCCTGTTACGAGCAAGCTATTTGCGTTTAACCATTTATTAGATTATAAATCAGTTCTTTTACAGGTATTGTTTTTCCGTTAAAGTGTGATATATAACAATAAAGGTGATTAGGACCGAAAAAAAAGTCATAGTCCGGTTTATTTTTGATCATCCCTCGTATATCTCTCACAGAAGGAAAAAAATTCAAAGCTTCCAACCAGCGCTTAAATCAGTGAAATATAAGAAATATATCACTTCGAAGTGCAACATGCGTTCGAAACATTTGACATTAAACACGTTTTACTTTATTTATTACTCTTTTTTTTTCAGGAAAAAAAAACTTTTAGCCGTATCTTTTATCTCGATAACTAAACTGGTAGAATACTTGTGGTGAAAGTTTAAATACTAAGCTAGAACTCTTGTTACCCTTATGATATAACGATATCAAAATTATTTCACTTGATTGATATAAACATGCATAATAGCATTTTTAAGATACAAACAGATGTAACTGATGTAACCATCTTTTTTCAGGGACCACCTGGGCCACGAGGACCACCCGGATTACAGGGATCAGTTGGGCCACCGGTTAGTACCTGATGTTTTTTATAATTGTCCAAAATATATTCTAGACTTTCAATTTTTTATCAATCTTATATTATTCTAAAGTCATTATAGCATAAGTAGGACCTCATTGTGATATAAAATGATAGAATATTAGAGCAATATGTGATACAGATATTTCTTTATATAGTGTTACTAAAAGTAGTGTAAAATGGTTAAGTTAAAAAACGTCAAAATCTTAATCATAGAGTTAGCTGTTTAAATGAAAGTATATTTTTTCACGCAGGGTCACCCAGGAGAACCAGGAATTCAAGGCATTCAGGGACCACCAGGAAATAAGGTACCAATCCTTTACTTATTCATTTTCTTGTTAACTAAATATTCTAATATTACATGAACGAATAACGCCGCTGTGCCATAAGGCATTAATGTCTCATATACAAAAGTAAAGAATTTTTACGCTTAATTTGTGCTTTAAATAAGCGGACATTAATCTGCCTTTTGAATACCTTCTCGAATCGGTAGGAAATGTAGCTTTGACCAAACAGTCAAACGATTATTAATCCTGATCAATCGATCACGTTGTTGACAAGTACTTTTATTAAAACGCCCAATCATTTTTTCTCTTTTGACGGCAATTTAAAATATTAGGAGAAATTGTAAGTTTTGTTTCTGTTCGATAAGCAAATGTTTACATTGCACTATTTCAGGGTTCAGAAGGACCAAGAGGTCTTCAAGGCCAGTCAGGAAACCCAGGACTTCAAGGTACCCCAGGGTCACCCGGACCTAAGGGAGAGCAGGGTGATAACGGAATGTTAGGCCCACCAGGAGCACCTGGCCCACAAGGACCTCCCGGACCTACAGGTGGAAACGGCTCACCAGGTTTGCCCGGAAATCCCGGACCTGAAGGACGGCAAGGAGCCAAGGGAGACCCAGGAGATGCTGGACAGCCGGGGCCTCCAGGACTTGACGGTACCGATGTAAGTCTTACCAATATCTTCGCAGACTCCTCACAGTAATTACCTCCCTTGACAGATTGTAATCTCTTTAAGGGGAGATCACTACGTAGGAGATTGATAACTTCGTGACAAAAACGTCTTATATCAGCCTTACAAGTCCAGTAATAATATTATCTTTGTACTGTCTCAACATTCTCAGCTTTTTTCGTTTCTTCTTTCGCTCGAACAGCGTACATATCCTAGACTATAATATTCGAATAATTAGATTCCAATATCTTATTGCAAATTTGTTTAATCGTGATTGAAAATGTGATATGTACATTGGTTTTGAAATATTCTTCAAACACACAATGATTATTTCCGATCTATATATATCATTTTCTCAAAAACAGGGACCACCAGGCCCTCCTGGTGCCACAGGTGAAGAAGGACGCCCAGGTGTTGAAGGAGAGGCCGGCCCAAGAGGTCCACCCGGTGTCGATGGCCCTAAGGGACATTCTGTAAGTTTTTATTACATTACTCATAATACGTCATCAAAATAATTTCACATCATCTTTTTAACCCTTACCACACTAAAACCCATCCATCGTTTCACGGAAAATCTATTTCTGTTTTACAGAATTAAAATGAAAAAAAAAATATTTAAAGTGCTTCAACCAACAATTTTTCATTCTGCAAAAATAAACTGTGGCCTTCGTCCCAATTGTTCTCAAAAGGGTAAGAAGAGAAGATTTGGAGACACAATTATCAATGCATGTTTTTAAATAGACATTAGTTAAACTAGAAATTATTATAGTTGTCATTTTAAAAAATAATAAATCAGATATACTTTGAAAAATACGGAACAATCCTTTTACCAACTTTTTTTTATCAATTTTAATGTCAGCATTTTCTTTGCAAAACATTTAATATAACACAAAATGATTCAATATTTTCTGTTTGTAAATTCAGGGAGAATTTGGACCTCCAGGTAATCCTGGACCACCGGGGCCAGTCGGACCAAAAGGCGAACCCGGTATTGATGGTAATGAAGGAAAACAGGGTCAACCAGGACCGAGTGTATGTACAAGTCTGACATAATTTCAAGCATCTGTTCTTTATTAAAACCCGATTATTTTTATTTTTAAATAGCAAAACAAACTGAATACATTGTTTGTATTCTTATGGTTTAAGCTTTTATTTTAGATTGTATCAACAAAGAATATTAAAAGGTTATTTAGCTAGGATGTTTTGCTAGAATTAGCAGTTCAGTTTGATGTACGCATACTTCGGATATTGCAAGTTGTATAATAGATATATAAAACAACAACAAAAATAGAACTCTGCTGAGGCCAAAATATCTAACAACATAAAAAAATGAATGTCAACAGAAAAGAAATGCTAAAGATAATTAAGAAATATACTGGGAAATAATGGAATATAAGATTTTTGTGGAATTTCAAGGTCGAAGTGTGTGAAAAGCGTTTCAAGGTTTTGGGTTTTTTCAAATTTGAAATTTTCCTACATCAAATTGAACATAAGTCTCGAAAAAATATTTCCAGTCCCTTCATTTCAAAAAGCCTTAGTGGAGTCCCTTTAAAATACTGTATAGTACAAGCGTATAATATAAAGTATACATTGTTATATATCTTTATCAAATTAAAGGGACCTGTCGGTGTTCCTGGAGAGCCTGGTCTTAGAGGTTCCTCTGGTAAGCAAGGACCTCAAGGACTTCCTGGAACTCAAGGGTCAGCAGGAGAAGCCGGACCAAAGGGTGACAGAGGACTTCCGGGACCAATGGGACAACGAGGTCCACCAGGGCCACAGGTATGATTCGAACGCTTGTATACAATACATTCAATTTTACATTACAACTTATGTAGAATATGTACTATAGATGTATTTTAATTTACATATTCATGTATATGTATGTAACATACACATGTATATCTATATAGATTTGGCACGGCTTTGTTATCGCATATCATTATTGCCATATATCTTTAATGGTCTTGACCATCTGTCAATCTGGACACAACCATTCATCAAATTTAGGGAAATTTGAAATGTTCAACCATTGACAGACGGCATTAAATTTTGTCCCATTGGAAGCATTCTTAGAGTGAAATATTTGTAAAGTGTTAAGTATTTTACTTAAACTTAAAACATCAGATCAAGAAATCCGTTTGAAAAGGATATTTTTTATGTTATATTCTCAGTTTATAACCGTAATAATGAATAAGTTGCATTGATGACGTTTAATTCTTTTTCTTCCCTTAATTTTGTACTATTTTGTACATATTCATATTGTCTTTTTCATGTTGGAAATATGTTATTTTTTCTAGGAAAAATAAAATTGATGAATAATTTACATCTATAATTACAGGGTGAACAAGGTCGACCCGGACCAAGTGGACCACCCGGTGCACCTGGTCAAAACGTAAGTATTTATTGTGTATCACGTGACTTCCACAATATAAAAAAAATGTACTTCTTTTATGGTATTCATTTATAAATTTTTAAAGAAAGCATCTAGTCAGCAAGATTATTGCTGATCATATTTGTTTGAACACTTGTTCAGTTTTTATAAGAGACGGAAAATGTTCCTGTGAATTCATACGAGCACATGATACATGTGCTGCATCTTAATTTGATTAATATAATTATAAGATGTGCACATTTATGGAGAAATGTCATATGATTTATACTGTATTTATAAGACATGGAAAATAATGGCTGACGGTCACGATTGTCCTCTTCTTGCCTATACTGGCCCTATCTGTTGAAATTATAAGCGTGTTATTCCCTTTATAACAAAAATAAAATGCAAAACACGTCTTAGATAATATAATGTTTAGCTAGGTAAATAAAAACTCTGGAAAAAAACTTGCTTTGTATTGATTCATTTCATAAGAAATCGAAATGATAGCCCTGGTAAAAGAATAATTAAATAATAATTCAACTTTTTTTTGACTTACAGGGTGAGGCTGGACCCCCAGGAAGTCCCGGAAGCGCTGGTGAACCTGGTATTATTGTAAGTTATGTCTTTTTGAAATCAAACTTCCTGTAAAGAAATAATCATTTCAGTAATTCAAAAGTGTAATCGAGTATGTCCCGGACATGGAATATTACGTACACCAATTATCATATGTGTTGTGAGAAATAAAGTAGGAATCGGAGCTGTCTTTTCAATATACAAAGCTTTCACTTAATTATATTCATAAAAATATGTATAAATAGGTGAACAAAGCCTGAGATTGTAGTTTATTTTGAAACGGCTGCTTAACAGTGATTTAGATTGGATTACAAGTTATTAGGTATAATAAAGGTGTCTTTGATGTTAATTACAGGGACCAGCCGGACCAATTGGCGCAAAGGGAGAGCAGGGACAGAAAGGAACAAAGGTATGGCCTAATTTTGTTCTTAGTGTTCATGATCATACTGTTGCACAGTAAATTATGAAAACCCTCGGTTTTAATGTCCAAATTATAGTCTAACTAACGTAACTTTCAAGTACAACTTGTTACTAATGAATTGTACAATGTATGTCGTATAAATTATTGCAAATAATAGTACATGTATAAGAACACGCTTTAAAGTGGGGGTATAATTTACAAAATATCGTTACTCTGTTATTTCAGTACTCTATATGTAACCATTGTTTCAATAAATTCGTCACCAAGACTTATATGTGATCATTTTTATATGACAGGGTCATCACGGACGAGTTGGACCAACAGGATTGCCTGGAGATCCCGGACCCCAAGGGACACCCGGTGTACCAGGACCACCAGGCATGAAAGGTGACCGTGGTGAGATTGTAAGTAACTTAATTCGTTTTTTTGTCACATGTAATATCTTTAGAAAAACACGATCTTACAAAAACAAAAGATATTTATCAACAAAAACTTTATTATCTTGAGAATAACAATGATGAGCAAAACATATATCCTTACCTAGATTATTATCTAAAAATTGACTCGTCCATCCTTCAGTACGGACAAAACCATTTATCAACTTTTTTAAAACGTTTTTGACTGAATAGGATGTAGTTGCAGACGATGATCACTTTAACTTAAATTTTAATTTAATTTTAATGTAATAATACATGTATATGATAGCGTTCGAACGGTATTTGTACATCATCATACATACTTGACACTAAAGAGTGACATATAACCCAAGCTTTCAGTACTCGCCTTTCATATACACGTATACTTGTTTATATTTCTGGTTCTCGTGTTTTCTATGTCTGTTGTTATATTATTACAGGGACCAGCTGGGCCAACTGGACCACCAGGAGCCGATGGGGCAACTGGCTCTACTGTATGTGATGATATCATTATTATTTCATTTCTTAATTCCTTTATAATATAATTAAGATAAAAAGCAAAACAAAAAAATTTCCAAGCTAGAAGTTGTAAAATGTCACTATTTGCTTTTTATACATAATTACATGTCTTTAATTTTAATATTTGCGAGAATTTACATACATGTATCAGAGACAAAGTTTTTTGTGGTGGTTGTGGGTTTTTTGGTTTGCTTTTTCATGCCGAGTCTGTGCACTGTTCAATGCGATCTGCGGAGTTTTAATATCAAATTTAAAAAAGAATGAGGACATACGGTTAAGATCCCTTGTAAACAGTTTACATGAGCCTAAATAATGATCACTTAGGCTGAACACTGTATTAGCAAGCACCATTGTATTAAAAGGTTACAGATTTTTAGCTGGTACATTTGCTACATACATGTCTGTTACTAAATTGGATTTTATTGGCGGATATATTCATTTGCAAAAAAGAACAGTAAAATGCATAAAAATGACATTTGCGTTTTTGTTATCTTTCAGGGTATTGAAGGGCCAATGGGTCCAAAGGGAGAACCAGTAAGTATTTCTTGTCCATTTTATATCATAAACAAAGCTATTTTGCATTAAGAGCAAAAGAATATGTAGCACAGATGTGCACTTTAAGATTTTCTTTTGGGATACGTCGCAGCAACACTGTTACAAGGTCATATGGCGACTTTCCAGCTTTACTGTTATATGAAGACCTCGGGTGTCCCTCCGTGCATCATTTTAGGCACGAACGGGAATCTGAGTAGAACAACGACGTTCCGTTAGCTAGCTGGATAGCTTTCTCACATGAAGTAATCCAAAGTCCATAGCGGAATTCCAACCTACTGCATGTGGGGATAACAGGTTTGAAGTTAACGACCTTTATCACCCCTGCACTTTAAGTTTAAAGAGATGACTTGAGAATACAATGTAATACCTTTATAGCAATACATTTGAAACATTTTGATATTATGCTGCCGTTTATATGAAAGTTTGGTTGAACTTGAGATATGTGTCTCAAATACTTTTGCATAAAAAAGTGACAGATTTTCTTGGGAAATATGATTCAAACAAATTAAGTCCTTTGCTTTGTTTATATTTTTGAACCAAACAGAACTACTTCCTACATTTTAACTAACATATAGTTTTAATTGAAATATCATACATTATATATGCTTCGAAGTAAGAATGTTTTACAATACATCAACATGTCTTCGTGAAATTAGATATTATTTATAATTTTGTATTACAGGGGCAAGATGGACCTCCAGGAGTTCCTGGACCACAGGTTAGTAACAGATACTATAAATACGATAATAATTAGTAATGTACCGATTGAAATAATACTTTAAAATGAATCACTCACCTATCAAATACATTGTTCACTCCCCTGCTATATTTCCACATGAAATTGTATGGTAAATATTTATTTATCAAAGATTTATTAAAGCAAATAACGGGATCTGTATAAAAAGTCGTGAAGCAAATACTAATTCTCAAATTGAACCGATTTATAAGATTTAATTTTTTTAACATTTTATTCGTTCATCAGCAAATACAATGTACATGTAAAGTAGCCATACCGAATTTGACGTACGTACGAAAGCGATATAATGCTTCCGGTTACGCCACTACCGCATCTTGTGACAAGTAATTTATTGTATTGTTTTGCCGGGTTTTTTTATTGGTACAAGAGGGGGGAAATACGGTAGTATTAAATCCAAACTTTGCTCCATAATAGAGCTGAAATAAATTTTCTATAAACTATAATGATTACTTCGAACCATCAGGGTCCCCCAGGTCCAGCCGGTCCACCAGGTGGAGTCCAGCCATACCCTGCCGAACTTATGGGTCAAGACAACTTGTTGGTGGTAAGGAGGCGCAGAAGCGCTGAAGAGCACCCTGCCATGGTCGATCTTCCTGATCTTGAGGCTGATTTCCAAGAAGCTATGTTTGCTATTACAGAAAACCAGGTAAATATGCCAGCTACAAAAAGTTCTCGTAAACACACAGCCGCTACAAATTTATATTTGTTCTTTTGCGCAGCATTTTATATGAATAAATAAACCTTCCAAAGCGGACATATACCATGTCAAAAATCTAAACTGAATTTCAAAAACATTTAAGGATTGATTGATTTGGAGCAAAATGATTGTCAATTCATTGGAAGCGACTACTGTGCAAGAAAAGTTTAAAAAATTTACCAAAGATGAACAATAATTGAAAGATGAAATACGTTGCAATATTTCAGGTCACTTTGAGTGAAGGGGTTCATATGTTCGTAGACAAGATGTGGAATCATATAGTGAAGGTATCCAACGTTGTAGATGAACTGAAATATCCACCTGGCTCTAGACAAAGTCCAGCTGTGTCTTGTAGGGACATCAAGATCTCTTATGATGGATATCAAGATGGTATGTTTTCCGTTACACATAAAATAAAATAAATTATTCAGTATTGTATATATAGATAATTATGGAAAAAATATCTAATTTGCCATATATGATTAAAATCGCTCATTTGAATTTTTCGTAAACCTTCGACCTTCTGTAACGTTATAGACTCCCCTTGTTTTGTCTGAATATAGTTGTATGTATTATAAATGCCGCTGAAGAATGCCGAAAGGCAAAAAGCCACGGCAAATTCAAATTAGCGTTTTTTTATTAAACACAATCAAATGAGTCTGCACCATTTTCAGTTTATGGACTTCTAAAGGTATCTGTATGTACTCTTTAATCAAAGGACATACATGTATGGTTATAAATTCTGCAGGACTGTTTATCTGTAACTTGTTTTCATACAATTTATGACTATTTCATACAAGATGGATAAATAAAAAGTTCTTTCCACCTGATGAAAAGGGCAATGTAATGAACTGTATTTAACATTCCGATAACCTTGGGATTTCAGTGTAACGGGGCGACATCTAACTAAATTCGAGACACCCAAATGTAACGGAAAAGCAAACTTTACATGTTACTTTAAATAACAAGGTTATGAGTTAAATAACGATGAAAAGTACAATGTTTATCATACTTTTTCTTTTTTATCTTGTTTATTTTTTCCCTTGTCTGATTTTTCCCTTTGCATTTTAGAGTGTCTATACATTTAGAGAATAGTTGGTATAACTCCTCTTAAAACTACACACAACACCGACATACATGGTGAACAGGTACAATCAATCTGCAAGATCTAAATGAAAAAATTACCACAATTGACATTTGCTTTCTGTATCTTTGTAGGGTATTATTGGATCGATCCTAACCAAGGCGGTATAAGAGATGCCATCGAGGTCTGGTGCAATATGACTGGTGGTGGCCAAACATGTTTGAAACCGGACACAGACACTGAATGGGTAAACTTGACGCTTTATTCTGCAATGTTCTTGATGTTTAATGTGTAGTCACTTTTTCCGCACCTTAGAAAATAATGACTAAAATTTCAGTAAACACTAAATTGATATTTATGAGACTTTTATATGACATGCTTGATATGTATCTTTGTCAATCTCCATCAATAACATAATGTTGTCATTGTTAAAAAGCGAAAAATTAAATACTGGTTTTCAAATTTACTGTAAAAATATAGCAGAGACAAAATATCCGAAAACCTAAACATATCTTATGTAAAAGAATATGTAATCACGAATGTCAACATTTTATCACATTACTGAATAAAATCAAACCGTATCAAATCAAAAGTGTCTATAAATTTGTACATAAAATATAATTATTTTATCATTTAATACATTTTATCCAGGTAAGAAAGTTGAACATCTTTTTTTTTACTTTTGGTTTTGTCGAAATATTTTCAGTGCTAAATCTTGTATTTTTGTTTTAAAGGCTGAGACAAAACATTGGCAAAATGGCGAATGGTTCAGTGAAATGGATGGTGGATTTGAGGTATGCTGTGTTTACCATTTCTTTCTTGTTCTCCGAAGAGGAGGGGGTATAATTGCCCTCCTTCCGGCAGTCTGACCGTTTGTCTGTCCGTCCGTCACACTTGACTAATTTTATCATGCTCAATTTTTCAATCTTTCACTTGCTGACAACAATAAATAGCCTAATGAGCCTGGTTTTGTTTTTATTGCTTCTAGGTACTGTCCATTGTCCATTTACTTTTAAATATGAGCGAATTGTGCCGATCACAAAACCCAAGACCAAACTGTTCCGGTCACAAAACCTAAGAGCAAACTGTTCCGGTCACAAAACCTAAGAGCAAACAGTTCCGATTTCAAAACCTAAGAGCAAACTGTTCCGGTCACAAAACCTAAGAGCAAACTGTTCCGGTCACAAAACCTAAGAGCAAACTGTTCCGGTCACAAAACATAAGAGCAAACTGTTCCGGTCACAAAACCTAAGAGCAAACTGTTCCGGTCACAAAACCTAAGAGCAAACTGTTCCGGTCACAAAACATAAGAGCAAACTGTTCCGGTCACAAAACCTAAGAGCAAACTGTTCCGATTTCAAAACCTAAGAGCAAACTGTTCCGATTTCAAAACCTAAGAGCAAACTGTTCCGGTCACAAAACCTAAGAGCAAACTGTTCCGATTTCAAAACCTTGTTTACATCTTCATTACTTATAAAATAACAATAACATGTTTCACTTACATTACTTCCACGTAACATATTCCAGATCACATACAGCGAGCAAGTAAATGCCCTGGCATCAAAGTCAGACATAGCAACTCAGTCGTTCGTGTTCAACTGTGAGGGAGTGACCGCCTGGTATGACCAGACTCTACAATCTACAGAGAACGCCGTAGAATTCCTCGGATCCAACGAACATTTGTTTGAAACCGCAGAACTCAGAGGCTTGAGTGTGCTCCAAGACGGATGCAAGGTAAATATTAATACATTCGGAACACCTCTCATAATTATTCATTGTTCCTTATCCGAAGTTTGACGGAAAGGGCCGATTAGTGGCGATTGATTTAAACAATGACCTTGTTGACTTTGCTGCTTTTCTTTGCATTCTTAATATCACTGTAGTCAATCATTTATAATTCCACGAATTATTAGAGTTCCCTGTTTCATGGGTGAAAGTTTTCAGGATTATTCCTGAAGTTCAGGATTCTCAGTCTCCTGAAAGCCTTCTATTTCCTATGTAAAACTATAGAAAAACTGCTAAATTCAGTAATGTAATTTTTTTAACAGTACAGGCTTTTCGTAGCCTTTATAAACCCTCACCATGCTTAATATCTTAAAAGGACTTGCCCACATTTAATCTGGACGCAACCATTGATCATAAAATTTCAAAAAATGTACCAATTTGAATAGCGAACACGGTGGACTATGATCGGACAGCACGAATGTGCAGGTTGATGTTGGGTAAAATTTGTTGCCGCCAGTAGACTTAGTGTTAACTTGACCACTCTATACTTTTGGCTGGTCAGATTTAAGGGTTTTTTTATACCTATAGAAGTCATTCATATATTATTTAAAACAAATAGTCGCAGAAATTACAAATATGTTTAATAGATGGGGGATAACACATATTTTTCATACTTTTATAACTGTAAACATGACTGTATGTTTTTTTAGGATAAGACCACTGGCCAGACTGTGTTCCAGTTGAAGACAAAAGCATCCCGCATGCCCGTTATTGATGTATTGCCCAAGAGCTATGGAGAGCCTCACCAGAAGTTCGGCTTTAAAGCAGGAACTGTGTGCTTTCTGTAATGCCTGTGCAGCTTAAAGAACTCGTGCTTGTGGTGGCTCGTAAAATATATATATATACTTTTTAATTGAAAAGTGTTTATTACTGTTCAGCTAATGGTATCTACGAAATTATTTCAGTGATTTGGATATAACAATGAATACCAATAGATATAAATATACACATGTTACAAACTGTTTTTCTAGCGTCACATATGCGTGACAAAGATTTGGAAAGAGACATTAAATTAACTTCAAAAATGTGACTGATCCAAGATCAAAATTACACCATGTCACTGTTTCTATATGGTGATAATCAAAGCTTACTATTTGATTATCTGTCGTGTATAGTAAAACTATATTTCAAATATATCGAAGAGTTGTTCAAATAATTAATTAAAGAATCATTGATGGAGCAATTAAATTTCAACAACTTTGAAAACCTCCTGAAAGATAGAACCATCATGCAATGTTTTTAACAGAAATTTCTTCCGAGATATCATTAGCCGTGTTACGAATCCGTCCATGATCATATAAAATATTATTTTCTGTTGAATTGTATTGTTTCGTGATGTCAACTAACCATTGCAGACTTGTTTTCATTTTTCTTCTTCATCTCACTCTCGGGCGTAAAGCCAAACTCCTACGCAGTGGTCTCCCTTTGCTTCGCTACACACATTTAAGTGTAGCCAATCAAATCACTGAAAGGAGTTTATAAAATAAAGCATGTTTTCATGTACATTTTTAATGAACTGACTGACCTCGGATACAATCCAAATATCAAGTATTTCAGCATATTGATAAAAATCTTAGAAGAAAAAAAAACGGAAAACTACATTTTCCATTCACGCCATTGTAATAGTACGTACCTTAGAATTTTCTTCTTCATTATTACGTTTAAATAGGATAATCTTGTAATTACCTACGTCAAACTTGTATCATTAAATGCCTCTATGTCAATTTGTATTGTCTTGTATTTCTTTTTTTTCTTGTTTCGTCTGCGATGGTAAAAGAAAGGTTGTATTTCTATTTCATATATACATATGTTCAAAGTTTATGCCAACTTCACTGTACAAAACGGTTTGTTTGAAGATTGTGATGTTTTTGATAGACAAACTGCCTCCAAAACCAGCTGAACTGTGATCTACTTCATCTAAAGCGCCACCTATCTTGTTACCGCAACCATTGCCGGTGGAAAAAATAATAGTAACATAAAAGCTTGTTTTTCGTTTAATCATTAGATGGCCGGGATGTTTGCAATTTAAACATAAAACGTGTAGTTAATGATATATTTTATTTATGATCGACGGCGATTTACACCTCTGATAAAATTATAAATTCTATTTTTTAAAAATCCTTTTTAATGGAAACCACATTATCAATAATAATTATTTGGTTTCATTTATTTAAATGGCGTGGAAAAAGGAAACTGTTTGATTAGAATATGTGTACAAAAACGAAGAAAAACACTGCGGAATTGGTTGCGGAAGATGCGTGCGCACTTTAATACTTATTGTCACATGTCATAAATAAGCCACGCCTACTCCCGGGAGCTACCTTTGCCACACATTTATATTTTCTCATCGCAACACTATCACATGCACAGCTCACTGCTTTGTTCGCCACGCTTTATGCTTCGCTGATTTCATATATCAGAATAAAATAATAATAATATCATAACCTGTTGTTTTCATTTACTCTCAAAAATTATTTAGCTCCAATTTGTGTGTATTATTCCACGAAAGAATAAGAAAACACAATATAGTCATTTTTTTACAATCTTGTTATCATTGCAAAACATTCTGAAACTAAAACACAAAATAAGTGTGTAATGTGTAATAAACCATACTTCACATTTTAAACAGAGATCGGCCTATGAAATAAGTACAAGAAATTTTTGTCGGCGTGACTTAAACACGACGAAAATGTAATAGCACACACACCGTTGTGATGGAGTGAATGCCTATTTCTCTTGAGTACTCGAGCAAACACCCGTTTAAAAGTTATCGTGAAACATTATCTCTAATGCATTGCATTGTTGTGCACGGCCATCAACTAGAGTGAGGGGAGGCATCAGCTGGACGGACAGACTGACCTCATCGTGCTTAATATAACAGAGGTACATTGACTAGTCAGCGTCACATTGACCCAAATTTGACTGTATGCTTGTGAAGCTGAGGATCAGTTCATTTCATTCTATTGGACGATAATGTGCTTCTCTACAGGACTACATGGAGAGGGGGTATTGAACGCTCGACTGTTCAGCTCGAACACTCGACCTAAATCCAATTGAACATAGGGTCATTTGACCTTAATCCAATTGAATATATGATCATTTGACCTTAATCCAATTGAAAATATGTTCATTTTACCTAAATTTAATTGAACATATGATCATTCGACCTAAATCCGATTGAACCTATGATCATTCACAGGTGGCAGTATCAGTGTTTGGACATCCCTTTTCTACCTGCCCCTGTACCCCTACTACAACCCTGAAAAAATAAATCAACACCCTACGGGGTTAACATTGACGCACATGACTACTGATTTGATCACGTGACTAACGTGTAAATATAGCAATGTGCTTTTTAATACGCATAAAAATGGCAGATGATATAAATTGCTGTAGATAGCTAATTGGTTCCCCGAGCTTATAAATGTGTAAGATATTTCCTAGATTAATATATAAGCTTACTCCTGAATATACACGTTTTAATTAATGCGGTGGTTCTACTCAGGTGCCCGTTCGTGCCTGAAATAATGCACGGAAGGGCACCTGAGGTCTTCCTCCACCAGTTAAGCTGGAACGTCGCCATATGTGACGTAAAACCCAAACAAACAAATATAATTATACACGTATTAATGATACTCCATACTTTTTGAGTACGGCTCAAACCCTCAACTGTTGCCTCACGTATGTTAAGGAGACAGTCAAATTTGTCCGTCACGTTGGTAAAAAAAACTTCACTGCCAGAGGTATAAGTCTTTGACAAATATGGAGCCGTATTTATTCTTGTGATGACTCATTCTTTATTATCTTTTTGCCTGATTATAAACAATATTTCATTATCCCCAAATCTAATGTTCATAAGGTGCAATGCCAATAAAATGGAGAAAATAAAAATCACTTAAAAGCGCCCAAAACAGCGAATTTGAAAACCTAAACCAATTTAACAATTCAGTGATAAAAATAGTTGTTTTTGATGTCAACAGTCAAACATCTGCACCATTCAGAGGTAATAGACAGCAAGTTATAAGGTTCCCTGTGGATGTTTTTGTAAGCTTTAAGGATCATTATATACAGATCCTTTTGCAAATTTATCTTTTTGTCATTTTTACATTTTTCTATATGTAACAGTGCGATATTGCTTTGCACGATTTCGTGGATGTAAGAAATTGCTTTGCACGATTTCGTGGATGTTGTCGCATTCTAATACCTTTCCAACGGTATAATCACGGTTTTTGACTAATATTTAGTAGCCTGTCGTCACATTTTTTTTAAAAGATGGTTGGGAAAAATGGGTTGGGAATACATGTTTTGAAGAAATAAGAGGTTACATGTACATGTATAAAAAGTTCACACAGAACTGAATTGGGTTCTGATAAGAAATCTTATGAGACAGTTCGTTGGTTTAGAAAGACACTTTTGGCTGGCACAGACCTGTCAAAGATGCAGTTAAAACTAGCCGACCTCTGATTGTAGCAGGCAAGATAATGTCTCAAAAGTGAGGGAAATAGTTGAAAGGTAAACGATTCGTGATATTGCCCAAACTGTTGGCATACCACTGTAGCCCCCTCACTGCTGTTGGTTCGAATCCCGACAGGGACTTTGAATTATTTTATGTGAGGAAGCTATCCAGCTGAAATAATGCACGTAAGGGCATCTGAGGTCTTCCTGTACAAGTAAAGCTGGAACGTTGCCATATAACCTATACTGTGTCGGTGTGACGCACACCCCAATCAAATGGACATCGTACAATATACACATTGGTTTAAACATATTTATCTAAGCTCAATAGCGAAACAATTTAGTCGCTTTCGAGTCCGCTTCATGAAACCAACCAGTACAGTGTCCTATGAAGTAACATGATTGTGACCCAAGTAGGGCTCGAACTCATGATCCCTGGGTTGAGAGCCTGACACTTAATCCGCTAAACAGTCGCTCCCCTTATATACACATTACATTTACTATATCAAACAACCCTCGTAAAACATTTATTATAAACGCAAAACGCATTGTATACCCGTGAAACAGTCCCGTGCTATCACAGAATCAAGAATGGCACATCTATCTGAACAATTAAAACCAGTGCCCATGTGTGGGATATTTAATGAAACTTAATTAAAACTTATTCAAAATATATTAGCAAGTAGTAAAGTCCTACATCAGATTGATTTTGATATAGTATATAAACTTTTGTTTACCCGTACTTTCTGATTAGCATCAAAATATCAGTTGTTAACATTTTTTAACTATTTTTTATCTAAACACATTCATGTTTTTTTCTATTGCATATGTATCATGAATAATTATCACGACCAATCTTATCAATTTAGCCTGGTTTTCATTTTGTCCGTCCGAAAATTCCATATCAAAACACTCATCAATCCGAGTTCAAAACATCAATATCAAATAACTGATGCACTCTGTCTAGCCTCGCTCTCATTTTAAGAGTCCAAAATTTCATATCAAATCCTTATTTTACTCGAAGTAACAAAGTTCTTTAAAAATGTGAAAATTTGGCGGTGTGAAAAAAGATATCGATCATTATACATTGATGAGTACAATACTGGTTCTACTGGATTCGTTCACAGTTACAAAAACCTATATTGGACTCGGCAAGTACCTCGCCCAATATAATTGTGTCAGAAACGTCATAGATTCAACAGTGTATAGTAACCTCATGATGTCAACAGGCTGCCTGAGGGAATCGTTTGAAATAAAATAAATAATTCATTTTTTAAAGAAATATCCGAAATATTCCGGAAGGTTGAACCTTTATAAATGCCATCCGGGAGGATTGGGATCGTAGTCAAATAAGGCAAAATCTAACTGAAATAACTTTTGTACTCTTTCTAACACTGTTTTATCCACATCTCGGTAGGCTTTCAATAGAAACTCCTTTCTTTGTTTTTCACGTTGTTCCGTGTTCAGATATGGCACATTGTTCATTTTGAATTCATAGAATATGCTGTCTGGTGTTCTGATTTTAAGTTTATCACCAATGGGGCCTCGAAAAAGCTCATCAATAAATTCTAAATTTCTGTCAATACTTCCGAGAAGTTTTAAACCGTTCCATAAACGATGGTTTATGGAATCATATAATTCCCTGTCCAGAAAGCAGTCGTGTTTCGACACCCATTGTTTCCAGTGTGTATAATATGTAAGTATTTGACTTTCTATCCCGGATTGTCCCGTATAGTCCTGTACGGTATGAACTTCTTTACCCGTATAGTTTTCATGATATATTTTTCCGAATAGATAGTCTAAATCATCTTTGAGATTTTCTTGTTTAAGTATGACGTCATAGCGTTGCTTACAAGGATCGCAGAGCAGTGATATTGGGGCAAAATGGGTGTCAAGAACTTGTGAAGACGTCACGAATTTAAGGAATTGCTCAAAACTTATATCGGTCATTTTACAGTACCATTTTCTAAAACTTTTCCCTGTGTTGTGCCTCAATTCTTTTAGTATTTCTTTGGGCATCTTTTTGTTGAGTGCGGCATCTATATATACCGCTGTTTTATGGAATTTTCTAAGGTAGATTTTGTCAATATAAGCGGAGTACAAACGGGTATATGGGTCCCTTGTAACAAAAAATGACGTCATAGAATTCTGGATGCACGCGTCAGCCGACATGTTCCGGACTTCTTTCAGTAAATGTAACCGGTGTCCGGGTAATGCACTAAATACGTCAGCTTTTTCTGGGTATTCTAACAGAAGGAGTGACCTGATAATAGACGTACTGGCAGCTTTTGGAACATGACACGTGCATATATTTGATCTGTTGTGATAGTGATACACGCTTAATACGGATGGTGTGATAGAGTTGTTAATTGTATCAACATCCAGTGTTTTACAATAATTTCTTATCCTTTCTGGTCTCTTTGAAATACCGGTTGGTTCGTCATTTGGACTGGTGTTGACAATATCATATTTATGTTCAAGGAGAAATAATGACCGTTGAACACTATGAACCTCGTCTGAAAAAAAAAAGAATTGAACTATACTTATTGTACATACATGCAAATGAACTACACGTATACGTTTTTACATCTTATCGACTAAAAATGCATAAGTACAGTTATTTGTATCGATTGAAAAGAAACAAACGTAGAATTTAAAGTTAAGACTGAGTAAAACCCTACTTTGAAGCTAAGAAATATAATTTTTTGAAATATAATCTTTTTGTACTATGACACGAATTCTAGATTCTCTCTTAAAACAACATAGTCTACGTTGATTATGTATATTTTATAAAGATTTATATAGATTTGTTCTTTAAATGTTCAAACCGTACTTGAATACTTGCATTCAACCGTGTTTCACACCCTTAAAACAATGGTTTCTCATATTTTATTATTATGTTTTAGCTATGTATCCTTGGGGTCAAATAATACACTGTGTTAAAAGGAGACAGAGACAAAATTTTCATATCTTCGATTTGAATTTTTCATCCAATATTCTATAAATATCCTCGAAATAAATACACTAAGCAGTCAAATTTGGTATCCTAACCTGACAAATAGAGCATTAAGATTTCACGATATTTATCACACTGATCTATGGAAACGTAAAGTAACCTGTCAAATGAGCGACTCGGACTTGTTTCAATCTTTCAATATCCACAATATCTGGGGTTTTTTTTAACTTCCAGAGTTTATTATTGTCAAATGACTTGTATTAAAAATACTTGTTTATTATGTCTGCGTCTTCATTTCGTTTAACATATGCAGCTTTATTTACATTTGAAACTCATATTATATAGTATATATGAGCTGCGTCACAACAAAACCAACATAGTGAGTTTGCGACCAGCATGGATCCAGACCAGCCTGCGCATCCGCGCAGTCTGATCAGGATCCATGCTGTTCGCTATCAGTTTCTCTACTTGTAATAGGGTTTGTAAGCGAACAGCATGGATCCTGATCAGACTGCGCGGATGCGCAGGCTGGTCTGGATCCATGCTGGTCGCAAACCCATTATGTTGGTTTTGTCGTGGCGCGGCTCATTTCAGCTTGATATGATTTATTATAAAATGATCATTTGAGATTTTGTCAATAATTTGCGTGATCGAGTATCTCTTTAAACAGGTTTGCTATTGATACATTACTATAACACTACTTCTATCATTTGATATAACATTTTAAGTTATATTATCTTTTATTAAAAATTGTAGCTCAAGATACCAAATTCTTTTTGACTATAGAAAAACATGGCCAAGTGACAAAAACATTGTACTCTACGGCATGAATATATGAAAACAACAACAACAAAAACAACAAAAATAAAAGTTATACAAAAATATATTGTCACCACTTACCCCCTCTTACTATACCATCAAGTAATACATAAAATATCTTCGTGAAACACAGCAAAAACAGTCCATACACAAGATATCTTCGATACTTCATAATATAAACCTTTATCCGAATAAATCAGTCTTTTTTATAATATACAAATGTGTATAGTTTTAAAACATACGATAAAATACAAACACGTTATAACAAAGGGTCAAATTCTACACGTTTTTTTTTCTCTTTTTTTTTAAACCACATATCGTATTTCCCATTTAAAATGTTATGCGTCTATACTGCCCTATTCATGCATGATATCTGTGATTAAAATCAGTTAGTCCCTCGGTGAAAATGATTTACTTTATATACAAATTACTAGTACGTTAGTTTGATATACTTGTCACTACCACTCTGCAATAAAACAATATAAATAATTCAAATTACACGTTGTGAAACCTGTGTATTCGTTATTATTATCTTTCTTTTTGCGAAGAACCAGATTAATTATTTGTTCATAATTTATATTTACTGACAAGGTTCCCCTTACAAAGTAGTATACATCCAGATTCATGCTAATTTTCATCAAAATTTTGCAAATGTATTGTCTTTTCAAGTGAACAACGAAAGTAATCAACGCATTGCAAACGGCAGTTTTAACAAATAAATGTCAAATATGCAAAAAGCCCGTATTGCGTTAGTCACGCGTTAGAGGCGAGTCTCGGGTAGCTGTTTAGATGGCACGGACGTGTCGCCTGACATTGGATTTCACTTTCGCGTGGATAGAAAAGGTTGCCCTCAGAGGATTAAGGGTTTTTGTAAAACAGCTGACAGTAAAACAATACACAAATACCACAGATATATAAATTTAGCTCCTTGCAAATACGTAACTGGAGTTCAAGAAACAGGACACAGACTGGTAAAGTCTTTAGCTTGCAGACTGGTGCACGCATGAGACCACACAGTTATGCATACTAGCACAGAACTATATTTAAGACTCTGTTACTACAGCAACTAACTGTTAATTGCCTGCGGCTAAACTTTGGTAAAAGATATATATGAGCCGCGTCATGACAAAACCAATATAATGGGTTTGCGTCCAGCATGGATCCAGTCCAGCCTGCGCATCCGCGCAGTCTGATCAGGATCCATGCTGTTCGCTTACAAATCCTATTACAAGTAGAGAAACTGATAGCGAACAGCATAATAGATCATGATCAGACTACGCGCAGGCTGGTCTGGATCCATGCTGGTCGCAAACTATGGAACGCCTGGACTGTCTTATGTGTAGAATAACTTATATACATGGTTAAATGTCATTCTGTTGAGTCCGAGATACAATATGCTGTGTCAAAATCCCAATATACTGGGTGAAAATCCAAATGCGCTCAGTTATTGAAGTGTAATGTTGTGTGCTGATTACATTTTATTCAGTCAAGTCAATGTATTGTCGGGTGCATTAGTCGTTCTGTTCAGTTCTTAAAACAAACAGGCATGTGGTAACACAATTATGTTGAGTTAAAAAGATATGTTGTAGGGTGTCACAGTTGTTATGTTCGGTTAAAATAGCTCTTCTCATCATGTTCAACCATGAAAATCAACAGTTGAGAGGTGCTATCACTTTCGTTTGGCTGAGGCAGTGTATTATTGGGTGATACTTTATTATTTTCAGTTGCAATGACATGCTGTTGGTGCTTTATTCAGACTGTTCAGTCGTGAAAAAGAACTGTTGAATAGTACTATCATTATGTTCAGTTCAGATGATATACTGTTCGGTGCAGAGGTCATTATGTTCAGTAGTGAACACAAACTGTTGTGTGATACTATCATTATGTTCAGTTCAGATGATATACTGTTCGGTGCAGGGGTCATTATGTTCAGTAGTGAACACACACTGTTGTGTGATACTATCATTATGTTCAGTTCAGATGATATACTGTTCGGTGCACAAGTCATTCTGTCCAGTAGTGAACACAAAGTGTTGTATGATACCGTCATTATGTTCAGTTCAGATGATATACTATTCGGTGAAGAGGTCATAATGTTCAGTAGTGAACACAAACTGTTGTGTGATATCGTTATTATGTTCAGTTTAAATGATATACTGTTCGGTGCAGAGGTCATTATGTTCAGTTCAGATGATGTACTGTTTGGTGCAGAGGTCATTATGTTCAGTTCAGATGATGTACTGTTCAGTGCAGAGGTCATTATATTCAGTAGTGAACACAAACTGTTGTGTGATACCGTAATTATGTTCAGTTTAGATGATATACTGTTCGGTGCAGAGGTCATTATGTTCAGTTCAGATGATGTACTGTTCGGTGCAGAGGTCATTATGTTCAGAAGTGAACACAAACTGTTGTGTGATACCGTCATTATGTTCAGTTCAGATGATATACTGTCCGGTGCAGAAGTCATTATGTTCAGTAGTGAAGACAAACTTTGGTGTGATACCGTCATTATGTTCAGTTCAGATGATATACTGTCGGTGTAGAGGTCATTATGTTCAGTTCAGATGATGTTACTGTTCGGTGCAGAGGTCATTATGTTCAGAAGTGAACACAAACTTTGGTGTTGATACCGTCATTATGTTCAGTTCAGATGATATACTGTTCGGTGTAGAGGTCATTATGTTCAGTTCAGATGATGTACTGTTCGGTGCAGAGGTCATTATGTTCAGTAGTGAACACAAACTGTTGTGTGATACTATCATTATGTTCAGTTCAGATGATATCCTGTTTGGTGCAAAGGTCATTATGTTCAGTTGTGAAGACAAACTTTGGTGTGATACCGTCATTATGTTCAGTTCAGATGATATACTGTTCGGTGTAGAGGTCATTATGTTCAGTTCAGATGATGTACTGTTCGGTGCAGAGGTCATTATGTTCAGAAGTGAACACAAACTGTTGTGTGATACCGTCATTATGTTCAGTTCAGATGATATACTGTTCGGTGCAGAGGTCATTATATTCAGTAGTGAACACAAACTGTTGTGTGATACTATCATTATGTTCAGTTCAGATGATATCCTGTTTGGTGCAAAGGTCATTATGTTCAGTTGTGAAGACAAACTTTGGTGTGATACCGTCATTATGTTCAGTTCAGATGATATACTGTTCGGTGCACAAGTCATTTGACAATGCGCTGAGTGGTCATACAATTATGTTGGGTTCATTCGGATATCTTCGCGTCAAACAAGATGGCGGGCGGGAGCAACTAATTTCCATAGGTCATGTCGAGGCTAATGACCACTAAATTGCCAAAACAATTTTTTTCCCCTTAAATACCATCGGCAGCTTAAAACGTTATTTCCATCAATTGGACAGATCGTATGACATATTTAATACCCAATAACAGACCCAATGGGTATTTTATCAAGTTAACTTATGACTATACTATACTGTTACATTCATAATGGGCACAGTATATAAAACTTAAAATATGGGCAAGGGTAGCGTGTTCAAGTCACATCTGACCACCGTAAATAAAACTTAAAATATATGTGTTGGTAACTTTTTAGACATGATGTGTGATGTGTGACTCAAATAGGGTTCCCTTACTTGTATATGATGTTTTATATTTTAAATTCTTTTATAGGTTACCAAACAGATCAATTTTAAGTTTTATTTACGGTGGTCATGTGTGACTTTAACAGGCTACCCTAACCCATATTTTAAGTTTTATATACTGTACCCATTATGACTGTAACAGTATAGTATAGTCACGAATTAACTAAATAAAATACCCATTGGGTATTTAAAAGTCCAATTTATGAAAATAACGTTCTTAAGCCCCCGATGATATTTACGGGGAAGAAAATTGTGTTGGCAATTTAGTTGTCATTAGCCTCGACGTGGCCGCTCCCATCTTGTTGTCCGAAAATATCCGAATGAACCCAACATACTCATATGAACCCAACATACGCGTTCGGCATACCTACTCGAGTTAACACGGTTAAACGGTAATGCTCTATACAATGGTTCCCGGGGGTAATTTTATCGTGGACAAAATTTACCCCCAAGAACCCGGGGAAAGGGGTAATTCACCCAAATAATTGCCACTTGCAATAAATAGGGCGGTACGGAAACCTCAACCGCGTTTTTGAGGGGAAAAGGGAAAAAATGGGAAAAATTTCCCCGAAAAAGGGGTTATAGTTTAAATAAAAAACCATATTTTTGTCCTTGAGCTGTTGTTGTGCATAGTATCTGCTTTTTTTAATTTTAATGATTTTTGAAAATTATGCCCTTTAATGTTTTTTTCTTTTTTTTCGACTACTTTTTTTAACTACTTAACAATTTAAATAAAAATTTAGGATTGTGGTACCTCAGTATCCCTTTTATTTAACAGTTTTTTGTTAAATTTATTTTTGCTGATTATCCTATGGAAAAAAGGCTTTTTTCCCTTTTAATGATTGTTGTGTCATACAGCCAAGATACCTATCCAACAAACTGTCCAATCACCCCTCAAGCTATCATCAGGTGACACTTGGGATCACTGATCTCTCTTGTTTTTTGTTTTCGTTTGCTTCCTATACCTCTGGAAACATTAATTCACTTAAAACTGTATACGTTTACTTAAACTTTAATGCTTTCCTAGTTATACATAGTTCCTTCTGTATTTTCTTCAGCTGTCCTATGTTTTTTATTACACCCCACAAATGAAGTTTATTTACTGTTTTTAGCCACCAGCAATGTAGAACGTCATGAATGAATGATTCTGAGACTAAATTACTACTTGATACTACTGCTGCGAATATGGAAAAACTGAAAGGGGCTAAAAAACAAAAACAAAAGTATGGACAGGTATTGCGGAAGTTCTCATAACACATGGTTTCAATGTTACTGTTACATAATGCATAGACAGGTACAAATATATGAAACGGTCATACAAAGCATATGTAGATAAAAAATAAGAAATCAGGAAGTGGAAAGTGCTCATTTAAATATGAAAAAGAGATGCATGCTCTTATTGGGGACGACCCGGCAGTAAAACCACTTTTGCACATTTGGATCAGGGGATAAAGTAGAAGGCACTGATTTTGATGCCAACGAAACTGATGAGAGTTCAGAATGTTTCTTCACCAGCCTTTGAATCCAAGCGTCCACGCAGAAAAAGCATGGTAAATGATTGAAGGAATTGATGGAGGAAAGAGACCAGAGAATGCTGTCTGTAATCGAAAAAAATGAAACAGTGAACAAAACAATTTATTGAAGAAACTTATTGATAAGTTGTAAATCTACTACAGTTTGTAATGAAGGTTTAGTGTCCCATATAAAAAATCACAGGTAGCTGTTGGAAAGGTTAAAAAGTAAATGTTTGAATTTTGTTTATTTGCTTTTTTTAATATATGTATAACAAATATTACAAGAGTTTTATGTTAAATATTGTTTTGCCAGGAAGGCTTCTGTTTTTCATTTTATCAAAA